TTTCTGTGTACGTGTGTATTATAAATGACTAATTTGCAAAATATTTCTTAGATTTGTTAGACTATAATAAAAACTGAATTATTTCGCGAATTTTTAAAATTTGTTTTTTAGATTGTCGCGGAGATAATATGGTGATTAGGGCCGTCGAAGTCCCCCCATAGCTCTTAGACTATAATAAAAACAGTATTGCAAATGTCGTTAACAAAGGCAAAGAAAACATTTATATCAACTTATTTCACGAATTTTTAAAATTTGTATTTAGATTGTCGGGGAAATATGGTGATTAGGGCCGTGGAGAAGACCCCTCCCCCCCCCCCCACTGGGTTTATATATATCTTTTCATCGAAGTCATCCATGGACAAAGGAGACCAGCAATATATAATATAGGCCTATTGAAGAACTTTCCCGGCCAACACCGGGAGCGAACCCGAGTACTGCCATGGTTAGCGAGTCAGCGTCTTACTGAACCATCGCGGCTTCGTCGATATAATGCGTATTGAAACTACTGTATTGTGGCCGTCTTCGCATGCACGGATGGAACAGACATAGGCGTATAGGGGGTCAATCTCATTTCGGTGGGCTGAGGCTATTTGTCCGAACATTTTCTTTGTCACTCGAATTTTCAGAAAACGAGGTTTCCACAAATTATATTGCGCGGGGTCTTAAGCATTATTTTATTCAAAACTTAAACCATGAGCGATTTCATTTTGCAATTTTATTTCTATGATATATGGTATTTTTCCCTGATGCTTGTGCCCCAAAATCGGAAATACAATGCCGAATTATGGACTGAGTGACTACTAAAGATGAAGGGGGAATGGATGGCCGATTAGTTAGCGAGTGCGCGTTAAATCATAAGGTATGTCTTCGAGTCAACTGGCGTGGTTTCGATTCCCCGGTTGTATACGCCTGTCCAACCTCGTGGGTTTTCTCTGGTTCCTCCGGTTTCCTCCCACTGCTAAAGACCCCTACGCGCAAGCGAATTATTGAAATAAAATTGAACCATATTTTATTCCCGAAATGACCTAGTTTGGGTCGAGTGGACGTTAAACTAAAGCTGAAAATTACAAGTAGCGCTGAATTCATCATGCGCCCGGGTGTTATTCTTGCTGACATATCACTGATAACCACCTGATTAATCTAATTAATCGTCGCCGATTGCTAAAGAGTGTTGACTGTTGATTGGTGTTTAAGTCTATCGCCACCTCTGCAGGGATGTTTGGAGCGGTTTGGCCCTGATTTATTATATCGTAAAAAGAAAGAATATCTAAATAGATGCTGGTGCAATGCGAGGTGGAAGAATTTTGCCCGGACAGCGATTTTTCGGACTATGCTGTTCTTTAACACATACGTACGCCGAGGAAACCAGCTCAAGTTTTGAGATGTAAATAAGGTTAGGGCACCTGATTGTTGGCGAGATTGTAGGTTAGGGTTATGGTAAGCATTGGTTCTATATCTAAAGTTAGGTTAATTTAGAGTTGGGATTAGCGATAGTCCTGTTTACATCTTGTGACCGATGACGAAAAATTGAGATAGCCTTATCATTTAGCACTAACCATTCCCGTTAATTATTCGGTCAATGTCCAAATCAATATCGCGCAGAACGAACAGTGTACATAGTGAATTGGATGTGTGTACTACGATGGCTGTTTTCACTGTTGGCTCGTTAGCTCTAAGAGTAACTGACCTCCCCACCACACGCAACGCTACACAGATTCGGATAAGTGGCTTTCTGGGTCAGAAAGCAGTTAAGTTTGAAAGAAAGTTTCGAGGCATGTTTGCGTTCTCCTAATCCTATAAAAGATGCCAGCATACCCTGTTGCCGTTTCTCTAAAACAAACACATAGAAGACAACGGTTTTTTTTGTCGAAAGTCTTCTTTGTAGCGTTCGCTAAGTACAGACGCTAGCAGTGCATTTCGCGTTCAGAGAGTTGGCACTGCATGGGCTTGCTCGGATAATATATCTAGCTAGCTTCGAATGAGTGTGGATACATTTCCATGTGTATTTTTGTAAACTCCGTAGGAGAAAGTGAGAGGCCGATAGCGACGCTATCGGCCACTGGGAATGTTCGGATAGATCTAGCTAGCTTCGAATGAGAAGTGCATACATTTCTTCATACATTTATCAATTTGTCCGTCGGATAGATGGATGAAGTCGTAGTCAAATGAGATAGAAATGAAATGGGGTTTAACGTCCCATTGTTCTGCTCCTAAACTGGGCAAATAAAGACGGGTACATACACCATACAGTGTGCTATGAGGGAAATTTTGCCTAGGCAGTGGCAAAATAGGATAGAAATGCATTTATCAACAACTAATACTATATATATACAGAAAAAATAACTCTACAGAGATTCATTAAGTCTGCAGCGTCAGGGTTTAACGTCCACTCGACACAGACTAGGTAATTTCGGGACTAACATATGGTTTAATTTTATTTCAATAATTCGCTTGCGCGTAGGGGTCTTTAGCAGTGGGAGGAAACCAGAGGATCCGGAGAAAACCCACGAGGTTGGACTGGCGACCCTACTCCTTGTCACGTAAAACCTGGGATTCGAAACACGGCAGTTAACTCAATGACATGCCTTATGATACAGCGCGCACGTGCTAACCATTCCCGATAATATTTTGGAGAATAAAACTGCTTAATTTTGTGTTAAAATCCCTTAATTTCCTCAACTTTAGGGCCGAGCAACTAACTTAATAAGTGATATATATTCAAACAACTTAAACCCGTCAGTCTAAATCTGGAAATGGAGACCCGTGTCCCAGGCTGTATTATGCGGTGTCTGGATAAAACCAGACTTTTATTTTATAAAAATACTGTGCAGGTGAAATTTACCTTTCGTTATCAAGTACAGCACATGGGTCATTTACTGCATTCTAAATGAACGGGAATCGATTATCAGATCACCCAACGAAAAAATTGACCCAAAATCTTAAAAGGGTTCCGTGTCCGGATAAGCAATTTTGACGTTCAAGTCCAAACGACACAATATTTTGAGTGAAATTTTGAGACAGGGTAACCATTCCTCTATATTTTGACGCTTAAATGTCATGTGTACTCGGACTTTTATTTTTGAGACTGTTCAAATCGGACTAGTTCCTTTAAATTAATCGTTATTTTGTCCTGTTTGGTATATATGACTTGTTCCATGGTTTTCGATGTCATTTTGTTGAATTCTGATCTCAAAATATTAATATATAAATACGGAATGGTCGTCAAAACGAAGTCAAAAATGGCCAATTTTCAATTAATTATTGCCATTTTCGTCCGTTGGATATTGGTTGTAAATTGTAATATGTCTTATATATATAAGGTTTATGGGGTTACTGAGTTCAATTCCGACTCCAAAAACTAACTTAGAATATGGCGTAAATTTAAAACGACAATCAAAATAGGATCTATAATGGTGATTTTTTCCATGTGTGTATTGCTTTTAAAATATATCTAATAAGGTTACTGAATTCTATTTTGGGTAGTGGTTTCGATATACCCAGTTGTTTATGAATTTGATACCCAAATATTAATTCAGAATCTTATTTTCTATCCTGGCGGAATTTTCAAAATGTATCTTTAAATTCAGAGACATCTAAACAATTATAAAGACATAATAAAAAGTCATATCTTACGAGATTCTAGCTGGTTATATGGGGAAAATGCTATTTTATTACTAAATTTGGCAGCCATTTTGAAAGAAATAGCCGACTTCACGTGAAAAATCCATTTCTTCAGTTTTTGTTTTTTCAAATTCTTTTTTTCGGCACATTTCGCCTCTATAAGCACTTTGTGTTAAAATAATTTTTAAAAACAAGTTATATATTCCCCCAACACTAAAACACACTGGTTAAGAGATGTCGCTCTCCGAATTTGAGTATGATGTTGTCTGACATAAGTATCATTGAATCAAGCTACATTGGATTCTTTTGCATTTTGTTTGGGGTAAAATGTTGTCCCTTCCGGCCCATTATGCCGCCATGTCTCTCGCTACCTCGACTGTCCAGACGAAACAGCTTTTGGCCCGAAAAAGCGGTCACGTTAGGTCTATCTGCGCGTTAATTGCTTTTAAACTTTTGGTGATCCCGGATGCAACTTGTATGTCAGTATGGTAGATAGAGAGATTTGTCTGGCATATACATCATGGAAAATGACATATCTATTGTACATTTTTTTTATCCCAGTCAGCCCAAAACCCCCTCACCCTCCTTTAATCCTGGTGCTTGTATGTATTTCGTCGACTGTTTTTTAATATCTCGGTGATTTGGTGTTGAAATGTTACTGGGGGTAGAACCTTAAATAAAATATTCCACAGCTCAAATACAAAATAGGAGTAAACAATCATGATTTTTAACACATACCATTGGTGACACTTTTATGCAGGGCCCTCGCATAGGGTGGGTGGAGGGTGCTGAGGGGGATCACATATGCCCCGGGGGACCCTTTGAATATTTATGGAATAGCCTCCGTGGAGGCTGAGATAGGAAATCACCGGCATTCGCTTCCCTTAAACCGGCGTAAACCAGTTCATATTTCAGCAAATGGCGAGGGTAGAATTATTTTTCCAATAGCCTATATATAGGGGTTTTCGATTAAATGGGGAGTTGAAGGGGAAATAAACAAGTTGACTTAATTACAGCTATTTAGTTAAAGTGTTAAATGTATAAAAATTGTATTTTAAAATTTCTTTAAGCATAAAAAAATCAACTGGGCACAGGCACTGATCAAAGCAGTTACCATAATATGTATGGGGGGGCACTGAAACTTTAGCCCTGGGTCGCCAAACGCTTGTGGGGCCCTGCTTTTGTGAGCAATGATGGGGGATATCTGTCTATTTTTCATCATTTTGTTTTAGAATACTTCTAATCATTTTTAGACCCACAATCTTCTTTCTACAACTTTTAAAAGTAATCTTAATTGTCCCGATCGACAGTTAGTAACGAAGATCTTACATGTTTTTATACGAAACTAAACTCAACCACTTCCCTTTGACCCTTTGACTGACCTTAATCAAGGGTCAAGGACTGTTAAGATGCGGCGTTGAAAGGCAACAAGATTGATCGAGAGTGTTTTTATTTGGAAATATTGATACAAAGTCAACGAAATGTAAATCAAGTTGACGAATAGCTTAATGGTTGGACACTGTTGAATAAAAATCATGTCATACAGAGTGCTATCGTGCGCAATTCCCCGGATTAAACCGGGTGGTAAGTGAAATGATATATATGCCATTTATGGAATTTCTATAAAAAGGTTGTTCATCGTTTATAATATAATATATATAGCTTGAAACTTCAGTATTAATTTCATCATGCAGATATGCCAACCGACACACATGACAGACCAATGAAGTCTTATTAGGTATGCGAATGATTTATGAATAAACTTTGTTACTTTGCATGAAATCAAAACGATTTTCACCAACCAAGCCAGTCGATGTCCATTATCTGGGACACAATCTGTCACTGTCATGAAAGTAAGAATAGGCCTACACTAGACAGATTATTTTGTGTTATAAGAAAAAACTTGGATGGAAAATCTGGCTACATTGATTGAACTTAATTGTTTGGTTAAAGGCTCAATACCACTCTTATTGTAACTGAATAATATGTCCCAATCTTTATTCTGGTCAACAAATTGTACTATTTTAGAATATTTCAATTAATTGATGATACTAATTTCATCTTAACACACCTTATTTAAAATTTTTGAAAAATTCAACATAATGGTTTGAAACGTCTAACGTAAACCTTTTCAAATGAAACTTCGATTTAAAAATATTTTCGAACCCTCTGGACAAGTAAAATAGGATGTAATGGATAATTTACACAACAGGTAGGACACTTAAACATCTAGTACATAGATAGAGATATTATTTATTTTCTGGAGCTTTCAAGCCAGCAAGAGTGTTATTGTCCCTTTAATAACAATTATTAATACTATCTGTTCTTCCCAAGTCATTAAATACCCCCAAAACAGTGTTACTTTGATTATGTAAATTATTGGCCACATAAATGGGCCAAAGGTAATGGAGGGGGCACATAAACAACATTCATGTAATAAGAAAAACACTAACAGTTCTAGGTTTATATTATCCATTAAATTTACCTGCATAATGCCAAGATGACCAAGACTGAATTTCTTGGATTAATCTATAGAGCACAATAATGGAGTTACTGAACAAGTTTATCTGTAAAAATAAAGAATCTAGGCCATGCCTTATCACTGCTGTCAGAACTGTAAAAAGTATTGATGTGTAAATGTACAGTAACCGTCAAAGTAATTTTGATTGATGGGGACTAAATACAAAATACACATATCCATATGTAAATCAAACATTTTAATACAGTTCTATAAAACTTAATTTATTTATATGCATAACATTGTACAGACGGTTCACACACCAGCTAGAGTTCAGACAAAGAAAATTCAATTTGATACAGAATTCAATCTAATTAGAATATAGATCTATATTTCGTTTCATTTTTTATACTTTCGATGGCCTACACTACATGTAGATCTAACAAGTTATAGTGGGAGTTCACGATCTATGACGTCAGGTACCAAGCAAGCGACATTTGACCCGATTACGTTAGTCATTCGATTAACCAATTAGCGACCGCCATGTATTTTTTATCTACTTTTGCTTTGTTATAGTGGGAGTTCACGATCTATGACGTCAGGTACCAAGCAAGCGACATTTGACCCGATTACGTTAGTCATTCGATTAACCAATTAGCGACCGCCATGTATTTTTTATCTACTTTTGCTTTGTTTTGATTTCTATTGCCGCTAATGTCTACCCACAGTTCCGCGCAAAAAAGGTCAAACGCTCGATTCGACAGACCATTTGATTGGCTGACCCCTCATTTCAAGCAGAACACGAGTTAAATAACAATGCTACCAGATCCAAGTGTAGTAAAGACAAGTAAAATCGAAATTTTGAACTATAAAAACGAAACGTAATTGGATCTGTGTTTTAATCAGATTGATACAGAGTTTATCCACTTTGACATAATCAAGTTCTTTTTTTAACAAAGTATAAATTCCTGTTAGGCAGTCATGGTTCATGCGACTTTCTAATCTACATTAGAGTGCCACTCTCTTTTTTAATTAAAAAATTACCCCTGAAAGACCAAGTAGGATGTTAAAGGGTCATTGCCAGATTTGTAGACCTTTTTTTAAAGTTAAATACTGCCATTGCCACCCCAATACCATGGTTTATTAGAAATAGGTCATTACATTTGATGATAAATAATAATCTTATTTATTATTTTTAGGAGTATTGGTGTCTCCGAGGTTACCATCATGTGTTTGTATTTGTCATAGAGGTTATCAGTCTACAATACTTAAGGATGGGTAAGTTCCACAATGAAGATCTTTATATTACATAGGTCACAATTCTATTATTGTTTATTACTGAGTGACATTTTGACCAGGTATCTCTTGCTTGTTAAAGAATCTAGTCAAAACAGCAATCATTATAAAACAGTAAATGTATACCATAGAATTGTGACCAGTGTAATTCCACTAACTAAATGCCATTGAAACAGTTTATCTTTATTTTAGTCTGGTTTTAGTATATTGTTCATCTATCCACTTTATGTACTCATTAAAATTTGGGTTAAATGGGTCAAGATAGTCAAAGTAGTGCAGGCCTTTCTTCGTTACTCGGATTTGGGCAGAGAAGTAAGATGTTGAACCCCATAAATTCAATTCATTTCACATAATTCAGCCTGACCGTGACTGGACAACTGTTATGAGGATGAATGATCAAGTTTTGAAACTCGTATCAACTTTATTTTTTTTATTAAAATCTAATATATTACAATGTTTTATTGCCTTATACATTATTAACTATTATTAGTGATTTAGCATTATGATTTCTCATAGATTTTCATGAAAATAGTTTTAAAAGGTACAATTTGTCTTCTAATATAGATGCCAGACAATGACATCGCCATGAATTGACAGAAAGGGGTATTATTGTTCTGTAGATGATGAATTTTAGAGTTTAAAAAATATGATATCCAAATTGGTACTTTTTGGGGGGTGTCATTTACAGCTGAATGAGTTTGTAGTTTGCCATATAGCTAGTAACATTCTTTAAGGGGGGTTGGATGGCCGAATGGTTAGCACATGCGCGCTGTATCATAAGGTCTGTCATTGAGTCAACTGGTGTGGTTTCGAATCCCCGGTCGTATGTGACAATGAATAGAGTCGCCTGTCCAACCTCATGGGTTTTCTCTGGGTCCTTCGGTTTCCTCCCACTACTAAAGACCCCTACGAGCAGGCGAATTATTGAAATAAAATTGAACCATGTGTTAGTCCCGAAATGACCTAGTTTGTGTCAAGTGGACGTTAAACCCCATTTCTCTCTTTCTCTCTCTAGTAACATTCTTTATGTATTACAGGGGTCATTTTGGCACTTGGAGCAGACGTTTAAGACTACAGAAACTAACCAACCAGATTCAACCCACTGCCAGTTATTCACAGCTTTCAACCAATCATCACCAAAAAGATAGTTATTATAAATCTAAATATCTATTAGGTCCAAATCCTGCTTTAGTTTATGACTTTACCAATTATAATTTAATGAACCAATTGATATTTCGAAATATTTCTTCGAGTAATTTATTATTTAAGGATGAATCCAATGTCGAAAAATCTGTGAAAAGATTAAAAGAACAGTCTTCTGATTTGAAAGAGGATATAGAGAAAGAAAAGAATCTTGTGGTAAAGAAATCGTTATGGCAACGATTTGTTGCCGAGTTAAAACATTATTATAATGGTTTCCGGTTACTCTTTATAGATGTAAAGATTTCTTGTAGATTGTTATATTTGTTATTAAATGGAAAGACATTAACAAGAAGAGAAAATAAACAGGTGGGTTAGAATTTTGATAAATAATTTATTTATGATCTTATAATTTATAATATCGGATAATGGTTTCACTCCCTGGTGGGTGGTAATTTTACATTTAAGTAATAATAAACTTATTGACGTCCATTTAGATTCTGTCTTGTTTTCTTTTTTCAACATATGCTTACTCGAAGTAAGTTTGTTTCAAAATGCAATATGACATTTCTTAATATGTTGTAAAATTTGAATCATTTGGAAAAATATTCCCACTGTATACACTGATGAAGGATATATCTCTATGTTAACCCTTAACTGGTCATTGTTGACAAAAGTCACCACAGCGTTATACAGCTAAGTGGTCATGGTCGACTAAAGTCGACCACAGCAAGAACCTTTTTGATAAGCCGCATTTGAGTATTTAGTTTCGTATTTAATTGATATGGCCACGCTAATTTAACGATGTCGGGAAGGTTAAACACGCGAAGTGGTTGAAATACATATAAATGATTCAGACTCGGATTATATCGATGACACCGATTCTGAAGACGATATTTCCGATGAAAAGGACTTAGAATGATTTGCAAATTATAGATCAACTTATCCCCCTCAACTTTTTTATTGGTGTCAAGAGTCTATCACTTATAATTATTCGACAGTAGTCGATAGAAATAGGCATACAAAATATTTCACGTCAGCCTTTATTTAGCCTGACCACTTGACGTCATGACATCAAAATGACGTCGACCGGTTAAGGGTTAATGAGAGCAACTTCAAATTTATAGCATTGACATCAGTCAGATTTATCATTATACTGTAATTAGTTGCGAATATTTTTGTGTGTTTTTCTCAGATATTAACTGTTTTAACTGACTGTTGTGTAATTTAAAGTAAAATTGCTATGTACATGAACATCGACCACTTTTACTTCTTTATTTCAGTTAGTTCGTACTGTTGCAGATTTATTTCGTCTTGTACCATTTCTAGTTTTTCTCGTTGTGCCATTTATGGAATTTTTACTCCCTGTAGCTGTGAAGTTATTCCCTAATATGTTACCATCTACTTTCGCAGAGGAAAATAAAGAGGTATAATTATAAGAATTGATATTGAGTCCATAAATAAAAAATATTCTGGTTTTTAGATAGTGATGTGTCACATAATCTGGCTGCCGAGTGCTGACCTGTTTTTAATTTTAAAAAAGATAAGATACTCATGGATTTCTGCACATTCATATTTCCCACAGTAAAGTTTAGAAATATAGTAATTATATTACTATTAGTGAATTTCTGTATGCAATATGATGATGATGATGATACAAATGTAGAACTAGAAATATGATACGAAATTTGAATTTTAAAATGGTATTGCAGTGCATTCAGTCGACAAACTCTGCAGATATTAACAAGATAGTGCTACTTATGTGTTGGTTAAAATCTTTTGATGGACGTCTTTTTAATCATATCTGGTATATAATCAACCCTTGATATGTTGGTTTTGTTTTATTGATCAATCAGTTTGAGTACATTTTAGCGTTGATTAAGCCATAAAAAATTTCCTATTTGTTGTGTTGAAATCTAAATCAAACTGTAAAAATAGTGGTAAAAAAGTTTACCTGTAGCCTGAAATAAATATAATAGATGTGCCCTATAACTATTATTAGACATATTAATAGGAACAGCAACCCTACATGACCCCCATCCAAATTGTAGTGTGTAATGCAAGTTAAATAAAGTAGAAATAGTTTGAAACATTTTTTATATATTCTTTATTACAGCAAGAGAAGTTAAAGAAACAGCTGAAAGTAAAACTAGAGATGGCCAAATTTTTGCAAGATACAGTTCATGAATCGGCTTTACAAGGGAAGAAACCTTCAAAATTAGCAGAAGAATTCACATCATTTGTAGATAATGTAAGTTTTAACATGCTTATTAGATACTGAAGAGTTGACATTGTTAGAGAAATTCTAGATACAGTATGTGATGACTTCAAGGTATATCAGTAAAGATTGCAAAGATTGAGTCATTTATAAAAATGATAAATACTATAAAGAATAAATTATTGTGAACTGCCTAGAGCTTACCAAAATGTGAGTCTGATAGATCAATAAAAAAAAAGAAATTATATACATGTATAACCAGTTTGTATGAGCATAGTCTGCATATAAAACATTTCTAGGCCTACACACACTGCATTGTCTCGAATGACTGTATAATTTGATCTAAATGATGGCCAATAAACTTATATGTTTTTCTCGAACATTTTCTATGTCTTGGTTTGGTTATTAGTATTACAGGGAGCTAATTTATTTTTGATGTTGAAACAAAAACGTGTCATAAAATTGTTGCGAGTCCAAGTCATTCTCAATTTTGACATTAAATTTGTGGATACTATATTTCATGTTTCAATGTAATATTTTTATCATGATGTTTTTTATGTGTCTTGTTTATTGAATATGAATCATTTTTTGGTTTCAGATTCGTAATAAGGGAATTCAAACGTCTACGAAAGATATAGTCCAGTTTTCTAAATTGTTTGAAGATGAGATAACTCTGGATAACTTATCACGTCGGCAACTACAAGCTTTATGTAGAGTATTAAATATCACTCCAATTGGAACGGATGCAATGTTACGTTTTCAGCTCAGTATGAGGCTACGAAAACTTAAAGCAGATGATAAGGTATGTAAATAACAAGGATGAATTATTTTGTTTAATAACTATCATGGTCGTTTCCAATATAAAGAGTACTAGCATTTCATATTAGTGAAATATCAATAGGAGTATGTTGAATACCTTTATTCATCTGAAATACCGGTACTCTTTATATCGCAAGATATACTACGCATGTTGATATTTCACTCAATCTGATTAAAATACAGATATATATTTCGTTTTTTTTTTTTTATACTATTGATGGCCTACACTACATGAACATCTGACAAGTTATAGTGGGAGTTCATGTCAGGGGTCAAACAAGCGGCTTTTGACACTATGACGTCAGACATTGATTAATCAATCAACTTTTCTAGTGGTTTACCCACAGTTCTGTGCATAGAATTCCTCTGATCATCAAGAACATGTCAATGATAACAACTCTTCCAGATCCCAGTGTAGTAAAGACAAATAAAACTAAATTTTGAACTATAGAAATGAAACAAAATAGGATCTGTGTTTTAATCAGATTGTATTTCACTTGACTTTTATATGGTGAAATATTTATTCCATTGCCTGATCCTTGAATTATTGTATATTTACAGATGATTGTAAAAGAAAGTATAGAAACTTTAACAATGTCTGAGTTACAATCGGCTTGTCGTGCTAGAGGAATGAGAGCTCTAGGATTATCAGAAGCCAGATTAAAAAATCAGTTACAACAATGGTTGGATCTTCACCTCAATGAAAAGATTCCAACTTCTTTACTTTTATTATCCCGTGCTTTATATTTACCAGAAAATCTTTCAACAACTGAGCAGCTGAAGGCCACCATTTCATCTCTTCCAGAATCTACTGTAAGTTATATGATCCAGTCGTCTTTAAAAAATTAAACAATTGGCTGTTTAAATTAGGATAGCTTTATTCTTGGAAGTTTATTTAAGTGATCTTTTCAGCCATTCTCTTTTGGGTAAGGCCAGTAGCTGAAGGGAGGTTACTTTGTCAAAATGTTCTTCATTGCATATTATCTCCCCTTAGACCACGGATTGAAATTAGGACTAACAAGAATTTCTTCTTAATTCCATGCATTTAGTAAGTTGCCTATCTAAATCTACGAAAATCAAACAAAGAACCAGATTGAAATTTATTTTGTGCAAGTGATAGATGAACGACAATTGTGTTATTCCAGATTTTGCCATTAGAGTTTAGATTCTATCAGAGTTCCTATCATAAATTACAACTCTGTTTTTATGTTTCAGACATCGGAGACAATAGTGAAGGTAGCAGAATTAAGTGGTGTTAAAATTGATAATAAAGTTAAATTGGATTTAATCCAACATGAAGAAGAAGTTATACAGAAAGAAAGACAAGAGAAAACAAAAGAGGAACAGGTAGGTTTTCAGATTACTAAATTGTTGATATTCCTGGGGTTTGAATAGGTATTTAATTGTGAGTAGGATATGTGATCTACGTGTGAAGAAAAGAAAAGAGTAATAAACTCGAATTTGAGCATAAAATTTGTCTGTGAAAGGTAGTTTATTTCATGATTTGGAACTTATCATTTTCTGACATATTTTTTTAACTGAATGAAAATTAATGTATATTGCCGTCCCTCCACTCCACCTATCTGTCATTCATATTTTTTGTTAGCACAGTATTGGCTACAATAATTTATAATTTATTTTAAATATTGATATTGTTTGTCTGTAATGAAATGGAAAAGCCTATTGATTTTCAATATTTTTGTTAGAACTATATATGATGTAATTATTAACACATCTTCCTGAATTTTATATTGGTAGTCTATCATATTGAATCGAATATCATCTATTAACTGGACGTATGTTTCATTGCCTGGCAACCTATGTTTACCTAATGCCGTCCTCATGTTTTTGTGTATAATGACATAGACACATCGTTGAATATTTAATTTTAGGAACTGTTACAGAAGATTCGTGAAGAAGCTGAAGCTGTTGCAGCTGAAAAACAAATGGAAGCAAATGAAATTTTACAAGATGATGCATTGGATATAAAACCTGCTCTTAAAGAAGGTTTGTGAAATTTTTTTTTTTTTTTTTTTGTGTTTGTGCCATTTTAAAGCTGGCATACTTGTATAGATTGGCCAGAGTTAATTATGTCCTATAGAGCACAGCACATGTTTAAGTCCTGATAACACGCTAAATGTATATAAAATAGTCCTTATTATACACCACCTGTCTTTAAAAAGTTCTGATAGCACACAACATGTGTTTAAAGCTATGTTATTTCCATTAAAAATATGGCAATTTTGGTATATATGGAAAGTAGAAATATCCAATCTTACTAGAAAAATACTGGATTCCCTGAAAAACACTCATGGAGCGCATACAGGACAAAAATGTAAGGGTTTCCCTAATCGACAGCCCGACTATTAGGAGTGTCTGCACGCGTGACCTCGAAGGTTGCACGCGGAGATTGAGCGCTTGATGTACATTTTGATAAACTTTATGAAGAATTAGACGCACAACACTTTCTGAGATAAAAATCACGGAAAAAGACACGGGCAGTGGATAATTGGAAAATTTGATTAGGCTTTGATAGTTGTAATAAATAGTTAGTGATTAAAGACAACATTGTCTTGTGTATGCAATGAATTCTCCTCCGACTTCACTTACGTTGCTAGGTACCGAGAGAGGTAAGTTACGTGACACAAACATGACCTCTTTTGATCGATTTTTTATAGCCAGGGTATTCTCCGACAATTGCAATGTTTTGAAAAGGATTTGAGGCAAAATTATGATAAATTAATTAGTCTGAATATGTTTTTAGTCCAAATATATCATCAAATCACCCAGTTTGTACCCGGGAATGTATCTTTAAATAGTCATAATCACACTCCACACGTGTTTAAATAGTTCTGTTAGCACACTAATGTATGTGTATTATTGTCTTAATAGCACAGCAGGACGGATTGCCTGACAAGGACAGCTGTCTAGTCATTCGGATGGGAAGAAAAACCAAACTCCTGTGTACACATTGGCGTGTACCTAAAAGATCCCTTGACAGTTGGAATTCGATATAGTAGGCCATAGTGTCGCTGTCCAGGCAAAATTTCCCTCGTAACACACTGTATGGCATATGCCCGTCTTCATTAGCCCAGTTCGGAGCAGAACAGTAGGATGTTAATAGCACGCCATGAATGTATAAATAGCTCTAATAGCACACAGCTATAAATTATCATGATAACTAAGCTCTGTATGATTAGATTGCCCTGCTACTGCATACCACTTTTTCAGCTTTGGTAGATGCTATTCCAGAGTTGGGAGATATAGCCAGTAAAGAGATAACTAGTAAAGATTTAGAGGAGATTGAATCGGCTTTAGAAGATATTGCTGAACAAAAGCGACTGGATATCAATAATGAAGAATTACAAGATTTGAAGGCAGAAGTTAGTGAATATAAAGAGGTATGAAAAAGTTTTGTAATTACTACAACCATCGATTTGTGATCAAAAAGGCTCTTTTTCCATATACTGCAACAAAAATACAAAGAGTTTTTGTTTGATGTCATTGCATAAAATTATAATTTCAAAAAATTTAACACAATAAATACAACTTTATTATACGTCTACATTTTCGTGTGAAGGTAAATTGTCGTCGGCCCTGTCTGTCCGAACATCAGTCCGTCTGTCTCTACAGGTCACAAATTTTGACGAAACTTCAAATATAGGTTTATCTCCGAAAGACCTCGGTTCCTTTCGAAATTGGCATATATCGGACCATAGCTTCATGGATTATGGCCTCTGATTGTACAGAGAATGACGTTTTTAGCTTGTGGACACTCTAGAGGTCACAATTTTTATCCGTTTTTGATGAAACTTTAAATGTATGTTTATAACCCAAAGATCTCGGTACCTTTCAATATTCACACATATCGGACTGTAATTTCCTAGATTTTGGACCCTGATTGTATGAAAAATCACATTTTTAGCTTATGGTCCCTCAAGAGGTCAAAATTTTTATCCATCTCCTGCAAAATGTTGGCAGGTCTTGCATGGCAATTGCTGGTTATTAATTGTTAAAGATACTTAAATATTTATTCAACCAATTAGGATAATACTAATAATTGCGATGATCAGAATATGTCAAAAATTGACCAGTCTGCAAACTTTGAAGTGAAAGCCATGCTTATGTTTGTTTTATAGAGAGAGAGAAATGGGGTTTTAACATCCACTTGACAAATACTAGGTCATTTTGCGTAGGGGTCTTTAGCAGTGGGAGGAAACCGGAGGATCCGGAGAAAACCCACGAGGTTGGACAGGCGGCCCTACTCCTTGTCACATACAACGGGGGAATCGAAACCCCGCCAGTTGACTCAATGACAGACCGTATGATACAGCGCGCGCATGCTAACCATTCGGCCATCCAACACCACATGTTTGTTTTATAAAGAGTGTGTTTAAATGTTATAAACTTGAAATGTAATTATTTATATTGAGTGGATTTATCTATTGCTATTTCTCAGGATTTAGAAGACCTGAAGGCTATTATGGTTGCCACTGGTGGTGTAAATGAGATTCAGGAATCAAAATCTGCTAAACGATTGGCTAAAAAAGTGGACAGTATGATTAAAAAAATGGACGGAATGACCGAGAAATTATATTTGGAAAAGGAAAAGTTCCAGGAGGAAATAGAAGTACGTGAGGTGAAGATGAAACGTAGTAGTGAAATTCGTGAAGATGAAGAATTAATGGAAAAATATCAAAAAGATATAAATGCAGATAAGTGAGTACAAACTATAATACAAATATTCCCTGTCACAAGATATTTTTGAGATGGACTGTCCGTGTTTTACTTACATAGTTCACATTAATTTAAAGATAAAAAGCTGTTTGCCAGATAAAAAAAATTGAAGCAAAGATTCACTGACTGTCTTGACTGTGAACTAAAGGCCATTTTTCCAGATGTCTATTTAGGGCTAATATAATCAGTCTCAACATTAATTCTGGGGATATCTCATTTACGGCTTATAGGGCTAATATAATTATAATCAGTATAAATGTTAATTCTGTTGTTGTCTGCTTTAAAGGGGCATTATGGGAGATTAGATAAAGAGCTGACATTTATCACTATAATAGTTAAAAAAATAGATAATGAAAAAAGAATATGCTGAAAATTTCAGTCAAATTGCATCACTCTGAAACTAGATATTAGCGATTCAATTTTAGGTGAGCCTTGATCGTCATTACTACCATTGCTATGATAATAAACAAAGTCTTGTGTAACCATTTTTACGGTTAATCATCAACGTCAGATTGGATTCAAATCTAATGAAAATCAGACCCGTCAGATGGCATCAAGAGTTGATTATGGTTTTGTCATGTTAATAAATGTCTAATTAATAGTTTATATAACATTTTATTCAGGCCTAAAGAAAGATCTGCAATAGGCAGATTTAGTTCTTGCTAATGTATGTTTAAGGCTAGTAATAGAGCTAAAACAATAGTATGAATGTTAATTCGGTCAGTGTTTAATTTAGGGCTAATATAAGTAAGAATGTTAATTCTCTCGATGTCTATTTTAGGGCTAATATAATCAGTATAAATGAGATGGTTTTAGCTTTAAAAAGATTACAGAAAGTACCAGATGAAACACGATTACAACAGATAGTAGAAGTTCTAGATGAAGATAGAGATGGCAACATTGATATCAGTCTTGTGTTGAAGGTACATAGTATGAAATTATTTATCCAGAAAATATAAAACTATCCCTATAATTATCTGATTCTTGTGTATCTTGTGGAGAACCATTTATGTACTTTGAGTATACCTGTACGAAGAATGGGATTTATGAATAAAATCATTGTTAGTAGAAGTAATAGTAGTATTATGGCTTCAATGGCTAAAGGAGTTTGTTTCTTGGACATCAATGAGAATCAAGATTCTGTGTCTCAGAAATCCAGGTCTGTCATGTGGTGTGGTTTCGATTCTCAGCTTGAAAGTGACATGGAGTAGGGTTGCCTGTCCAACCTCGTGGGTTTTCTGCACGTCCTTTAGTTTCCTCCCACTGCCAAAGACTCCTATGCTAAGTGCTCTCTCTCTCTCTCTCTCTCACACACAAACACACACAAATCCAGCAGTCCTGTCTGTGTTTGTTCAAAGTTGTCATAGCTGGCACAGTGATACAATTAAAGTGGTAGCTCGATAATACTATTTCTTTCTTTTTTGCATGACAAGCAATTGCACATTTTATTTATCATGTTAAGGGGAAGATAACTGATATTTGATACATTAATGTCATATTATCTCCCCTTAGACCACAAATCTTTAACTAAGTGACTAAGGTTAATATGCTAATGATTTTTATTCTGATTATTTGCTTCTTTTTGTATCAAATATAATATAATTTCATACCATAATTCTTATTGCTGTTGTAGGTGATAGAACAGTTAGGAAGAGAAAATGTTAAAATAGCTCCATCACAGTTATCTGAAGTTATAGAGCTAATAAAACAAGAAGAAGAATTCCACGAACAGGAAAAATTACAAGAAAAACAAGAAAAGGAACAAAAACAGCAACAGGAAGCTCAGGGTCAATAAGTCACACACAGAGGTCATAGTAGGTCTTATATTATAAAAATAGGCATAGTATATAATTTTGATTGTAGAGAATGGGAGGACCATGTAAATTGTGTGAAAAAAAAATGGTTAAAATTGTACATTTTGGATCCAAAATAATATGTATATATCAACAATTATTGATAAATTATGTAAGTGCCCAACTTCTTAGTACACATATGGTAATAAATATTATTTAAGAGAGGAACATCCCCATTATAGATACAGTTTGTTGACTGCTGGATGGTCATTAGTCATATGTGCATTTACTAGGTAAAATTTGTATTAATGCCACAATCGATCTCCTGGAAAGTAATTAGTTTGGGTTATTGTAGAGGTCATTAAAAAAACAGTAAAAATAACATTTTATGACCAATATTAAATCTAGAATCCCATTTCATTCCGTTTATAGATCTCCAGACTGAGTACTGCTTTTCAAAAAAACTACCCATTAAATTTAATTATATGTTTTTCAAGGAGCCTTATTAATGAGTGACTTGAGTCACAGAAAAAACCCTATAAATTTCATTTGACAATAATATTTGGTTTAAATACCCACTAAACTTAACCGGTATCTAAGGTTGCTTTAGGTGCTAAACTTATTGCAAACATTTTATTTCATATTGAGATATTTATTAGAGTATGTCACTAAAAATAAACTTATATTTATTGTATTGTTGATAACGTTGATAGAATTACACTGTGGTAGATTATTTCATCTTATTTTGGTTTTCGCAAATCAATTCTGTAAAAATGAATTGTTAGTGAAATAATTTATGTGACTAGTGAGTATTTGTGTTAGTAGATTTATATTCCTTTAAGAAATTCCAGTTAGATTATAGGAAAAAATATAGGAAAAATAGCATATTTAATATTCATAAATACTAGTGTAGTACTCCCTATGTTTAACTTGACAAGAATTCTTGTTTATTTAATCAAGTCTTGAGGTCAGGTCCTAAAGTTGTAAGACACTGGTTCACTAACCATGAGATCTGGCAAGGAACAGTGCCTAGTCATTAGGATGGGTTGGAAAAGAACCCTTTGCAGTTGGAATTTGATGTAGAGTAGGCAGAGACATAGCTGTTTGTTCAAAATTTTCCTCATAGCACACTGCATGGCATACCCGTCTTTGTTAGCTCAGACGATGCAGAACAGAAGCACTTTTAAGTTTAAACCCCATTTTATTTGCAAAAGTAGGATTTGCTTGACCAAATATCCTTATGTGAAACGCAAGTCTTTACTCCATTATTAATGACCCCTTATTTGTTAAATTGTTTTAGACACTAAAAACAAATACAAAAAGGTTTAATGCTATGCTGTTATTTATTTTATAATTATATGTTTGGATATTTAGTTTTAGAGCTAATTTATTTATTAGAAACCATTTGAATTGAATTTTTGATTATGTTTTATATATTTATATTGGAGTTAATTAAGGTATTACTCAACTGCTTGTAACATTAGTTAGAAAGTAAATCTGTCCACTCCTTTCGATATGATTTTCATTTTCCACCGTAAGTTTCTTAATTAATTAAACCTTAAAGTAAAACAAAATTTTATTAGTTATGTGTATCTGCTGTTGTCTGAATTTTCACCTGTGAATTGTTGATATTTTTTTCTACGCAAAAACCACACCAAGCTGATTGAACTGTTGACTGTCTAGGTATTAAATAATTGATTGTATATAGAAATAAGGTGATTATCTTAAAATCTTTAAAAAATCTGCCAGTAGTTTTTCTTTTGTTATTATAAATATAAAATAACTGAATTAGATCATTATTTGGTGACAGAAATTGCACTTATATTTTCTTGTTCACCACATTTTATAGGATTCTTTTTGCCTTCAAGAAATCTTATCCCTATTATGTTCACAAGCTTGGAAGCTGATTATCGACTGTGTTCTTCCTCTTGTGACCCCAATGCTTTCCACCAAATTAAAAGAAAAAAACAATTAAAAACTATGGCCTTTTTAGGGGGAATGATAATGGAATGGAAAGTCGTGGAGCACTGAATACCAAGACCCTGGAAATTCACTCAAAATTTGATTAATTCACCTAAACTACTTGATGAATTTCGACAATATTTAGAAAAGTGTGTTGTTTGGGCAATGCTTATTCAGGAATGATGAAGCAGATTTTGAATTGCAGCTTACAGATACAGTTATATTGTTTTGGGGTGATAAACTTCACATCTGCTATCTTATGTGCAATATCAGTTTTCCATTACAGATTCTTTATCTATTGTATGTAAAATAAACTTTTATTATTTTGTTAAATCCTGGGGTTAGCCCTGAATTTCACCACGATTTTCTAGTGTGCTTTGACTTTTTCCTTTCTGCATGATAGAAATCTTTGCAAGGAACAACCTATAGACGTTTTGCACATAGAAGAACCCTTGACAGTTGGAAATGAATATAAGAATAGGTTGGCTCTTCCGGAAAACTTTTCGTTTATAGCACAACTCCAAGGGCGTGGAATTGTCATAACTTTTTTTTTTGGGGGGGGGGGGCGGACGAACCCGCTGGAACCTGGAACATTTCATCACCAAACCAAAATAATAATTACGAACAGTTTACTGTACCAGTGTTATTTCGATGAAAGCTGTAACTAGCTTATTTGCTTTAGGAACTGTCTCTGAGCGGACGATGTCCACTGACAGTTCCTGTCGTACCTTATAGCTGCAATATGAAAATATGGTAAAATACCGCTCTTCCCCACCTGTCTTCTCAGGCTGTTTTAGAACCGTAACCTTCTATTTTTCCCCGTGATTCTTTATTTTCCGGCAAAAGGAATCACTTATCATATTTTACACATTTTTTAAATAATTCAACACCATTTTCAAGTAGAATTTAGCGATGAAATAAACATGCGGTTTGCGGGTCTCGTAATGGCTGATCAGTTCAAACGTATTTTGTGTATGTTTTTAATCGCAGAATTCTACTTGAAAATAATGTTGAATCATTATAAATGTACGTCAGCTGTGGCAAGAAATGATTCCTTTGGTGAGTAAAGGAGAATCAAGGTGAAAATAGAAGGTAAGGATTCCAAAATAGCCTTAGAACAGAGGTGGGGAAGAGCGGTATTTTCATATTGCAGCTGTATACGGCCCGATAGGAACTATCGGTGGACATCGTCTGCTCAGAGAGAGTTCCTAAAGGAACTATAAACTGGGGGTAATATGACGACGATATGGAAAAAATGACTACCTACAATTAAGGAGGAAGATATCGCAAGGCAGTGGTCAGATAAACCTGAAAGTCGAGCTGTCCTGGCGATCAAAATTAGGGAGGGGGGGGGGGCCGAGACCTATTCGTCCCCCCTTCCGATTCTAAGGGGGGGGGGGCGCCCCCCCCCTAAATTCACGCCCATGAGCACAACTGTAAGGGGTATGTGTCTTCATTAAAGGAGCTAAATCGCTAACATTTGGGACCTAGAAATTGACACAAGTGGGTCGCAACTCATATAATACTGTAATATGAATGTATATAAACTGATTTACATTCAATTGTTTCCGTTTTTACTCTAATTTCAAATCAGTTATGTTCCGTGAAATAAGCCAGCAGTCTCAATCGAATGCAAATTCCTAGCGTCTGGTTATTCCAGTCTACATACGCCGTTTGGTTTGGTGCAATATGTCTAGCCCATCTTTTTCCGGTAAGATCACAGACAGCATCAATGTTGTTTTAAATTGACAAATAATTTGTGTTTTCAATGTTGAAGATTTTGGATGATATTGAGTTAGAGACTTAGCTACTTTAACTAGTTGGAGCAGAGCAGTAGGAAGTTAAACCCCATTTCTTTCTTCATTTCATTTCATTGCAGGTGTACTTGATCAATACAGCATGTGCAATAAAAACTGACAAAAGAACGGTATTTTTGGCATGTTCAGTTTATTAAAAATATATTTAAAAAAACAAAGGCATTTATATCTATTCTATGGCCAATATGAATAATACATTTCTTTAATAAATATTATATGTGCTTTAAAAACAATTTATAGTTCTAGCACAGAAACACACACAAAAAAAAACAAATATGTAATATTTACAATGATTGGATGTAATGAGTATTTTATATATGTTTTTACCCGAATCTATACAATACGTTTAATTCACGACAAATACATTATAAAGTACTTTTTTTTTCTTATTCATTAGGCATATAGAAACAGCATTGGGTGATATATTGTTACATGTGTAGTTGATTTAATCATTGACAGTATTTTAATTATCTAATTATTATAAAATAAGTTTAGGTATCTTTAAAAGTATTTTGTTTTTCTAAATCCACATTTAAATCTAAAAGCGGAGGTAGTTTCCTGTATTTACCAGTATATGGGCGCTTTGTTGGTTTATTTGTTGGTGGTGTAGGTTTATAGACTTTTGGTAATGTTGGTGTTGATTTCATTAGATTTGGTAGAACTGGTATTTTTATTTTTTTAATTATTTTATTATTTCCTCTACTGACGTCTTTAGCTGTCATGGATTTAATCTTTGGCAGAGTCGAGTTAGTATTTCCAGAGCTAATGTTTCCTGATGATTTAATCTTTGGCAGAACAGAGTTATTATTTCCAGAGAATGATTGGGTCTTTGGCAGATTGGAATATCCAGATCTGATCTGTGGCAGAGCAGAATTTCCTGATTTGATCTTTGGTGATGCAGTATTTCCAGACTGTATTTTTGTCAGAGCACAATTAACGTTTTGAGACCATGGCTTGATCTTTGGCAGAGGAGAATTAGTATTTCCAGACTTGATCTTGGGCAGGGTTGAATTTATTTTTCCAGTAGTAGTTTTTCTTTCTTGTTCAAACGTTTTAGCTAATCTGGCTTGGTTCTTCTGTTTTTTTAATGACAAATTTGGTACATTAACGGTGCTAGATCTAGTGAATTTTTGCATTAATTTTGTGGAAGCATCAGGGTTGTTCATGGATTTATCTAAAGAAGATATTCTTGGATGGCTTTCGGCATGTTGAGTTGATGAAGGAATGTAAGGAACAAGTCCAATAGGAGGCAGTTTTTGATATTTTTCTAGACTATCTTTATCAGAGAATGACTCTTCTGTTGATGAATAATTATTAACTTTATAATTTCCGATAAAAGCTGACGCATCTTCTTCTTTGTTTGCAATAAGGTAATCGATCATCTTAATTTCTGCTAGAATTCTTTCAAAATCGTTGACGGAAGGAGTCTGGGGGTTAAACTGATGTTCCACGTCGACATCTTGGTGCTTTTCGCTTCCTATATTTTCTAAGTTGTCCATGATTTTAGACCACCCGACATCGTCATTTTTTTTATCCAATATATCCTTGCTCGTATTGTTATATTCCTCACCCTTGTCCATTATGTTGTACGTCTTCTCGCTGGTACACTCTTCCACCTTGTCCCACCTTTCTTTCCCGGCTACTGTTTTGCATAGTCTACCCTTGTCCAAGATTCCAACCGTATCTTCATCTGGACTAGATCGTGTGATTGGTTCTAGTCGTTTATCCACAAGGGCTTTTACAATAGGATCGACAACTAGTGGGCCATCATCTTGGACTCTTTTCCCGTGATGATATCTGACTTGTTTTTCTTTCTTTGTTGGTTGTATAACACCATTCCCTCCCTTATACTTGGAACTCTCGAACAGCTTCCTAAAGAAATCTGCGTTTTCGTCTGATCTCTCTACGCTGTCTTGCAGAATTAGAACTCTGTTCATGCAATCATCGTGGTCGGAATGTAGATTGTTTATGTACCTAAAATAGCAATAAAAAGTATATTAAAGTAATGATGTATAATCAAAGTGCTTCATTTAACGGAGCTAAATCGCTAATATTTGGGACCTAGAAATTGACACAAATGGGTCGCAACGCATATAATAATGTAATATGAATTTATATAAACTGATTTACATTCAATCGTTTCCGTTTGTATACTCTTATTTCAAATCAGTTATGTTCGGCGAAATACGCCAGAACTGGCAGAAGTCTCAATCGAATGGCAATCTCTAGCGTTTGGTTATTCCAGTCTACGCCGATAGTATTTATTGCGCTTGCTGTCCGGATAAGAATCTGGCGTAAACGTTTGACATGACTATTGGAATATGTCTAGCCTAGTTTTTTGAGTCCCTTGTTACAAATGGCACTGAAACGCATTCGTACACGATTCGTGTACCAACGGTAAAATGTTTATTTTGTCTTAAATATCAGAAGCCCATCGTTTCCCGGTAAGATCACAACATCAATGCTGATTTAAATTGACAAATAATTCGTGTTTTCAATGTCGAACACTTTTGATGATATTGAGTTACAGACTTAGCTACATGTACTTTAAATCTTATAACAACCATTATATGACACATCAGTAGTTCAGCTGTTTGGAATTATGTTGATATATTTTTAAGAAAAAAAAATATTTACTTGTTAAGATCTTTAACTTCCATCTGTAAATCAGTAATATCAGATTTAAGTTCACCGATGAAGCTTATAAAATCCTCTTCCGTACTCCCAAATGATGGTTCTGAAATATTAAAAATCAACAACTTCCAGATTAATTATATACAATCTTTGCTTTCAGTTCAGGCAATCGTTTGGCAACTACGGATCTTTTATATTTTATAATATATATAGAAATTACAATACAAAATTTAAAATCTGAATATAAATCACTTTATATACATGCTTTTAGATTTTAAACCTATTTTAAGGTTCCACAGAATATAGAGTCATTCGCCCTTTAAACTTGCTTACCATGGCAATTGTCTAATTTACTCTTTGGTTCTGGTGTGGTTTGGGGGCTTTCTTCGTTCTTATCTGATTGAACGCTTGATTCAGATTCGTTTACAAATGCTGCATCAGAACATGATTCAGATGCCGATCCGGAATAGGATTTTTCCCAAAATGGTTCCCCGGGAATTGGTTCAGGAAGACCTACAATTTCAGAAATAAAACATACTATAAACTAATTATTTAGAGAGAGATAGAGAGAGGGGGCGGTGGGTTAACGTGAGCTCTGAACAAACTGGGTCATTTCGGGACTAATATATAATTAAATTTTATTTCAATAATTAGCTTGAGTGTAGTGGTCTTTAGCAGTGGGAGGAAACCAGATGGCGCAAAGACATCCCACGAAGTAAGAGAGGTGACCCCACTCTTTGTCATGTACAAGTAGAGAATCGAAACCGCGCCAGTTGACTCAATGATAGACCTTATAACGCGATAAGCAAGACAGATCTACTTCTTTCATAATCGTAGGATGGAAACCACGACCTTATGAAGATTCCCCGAGCATCACTGTGGGCCACTTTAGGCAACATCATCCCCAATACTTGAGTAAAAACGTACCAGTGATTGGTCTGGGAGATGGATATGGAGCATCTTCATTATCTTCTCCTAGAGATACCATAGCTCGATGTCCTTCTAATACTTTCTTCTTAAAACCATGGAACCAATCCATTCTGTAATTATAACAAAACACAAAAATAACATTCTTTATAGAGTTATACAACTTCATTCCCAGTTCGTCTATCTCTTGGGCGGGTAAATTTGTTTTTAATATAGAAAACGTTTATTAAAATAAATAAAATAATAGGTGGGACTAGTCCTATTATTTCTATTTTGTATATAGAAATGTTTTAGTGGGCTAAGAATTATTAAAATGGTAGAATACCAACCATTGTTTTGTTTTTTATAGATGCTGGAAATGATAAATAATTGAAAATAAATTTACAGAACAAGATTGTCAAGAAGTAGAAAGTTTATTCACTAACCTTGAATCCATAGTTGTAGCAAAGACGTAAAAGTCTTTGAATAATAACAATTTTATAGCAGAAATAGCAAAAACACGTCTTACTAATTCTAAAACTTGTAAAGTTGTAATAGTTTCATTATCCCGTCGTTTTAATTGTGACGTCATAATGGGTAAACTTTGAACCCGCACTGCAGTTTTATTTTCGTACATTAATTATTATGTATGTCTTATACAATATCACATTTGATTAGTTTTATCTGTGCCGAAATGTTTCTAACCTTAGACTAAACATTCTCCCAGAACATGTCAAAGTTTTCAGGAGCCCGCCGGATACGATTGCCAAGCATCATATAACTTGACATATTAAAAATTAAATAGATGCTGTAGATATTTCAACTCAGGCCCGTATCCTCCCCCCCCCCCCCGTGAAAAATTTCGCCCCTCCTGTGAAAATATTGTCGACCATAGATATACATTGTCCGTCAATTTTACAGTACCCCTGAGACCCCCCCCCCCCCGATAAGGTCACGATAAGGTCTCTTCTACGCCGTTTGTGGTTTTGGGCAATTGAAAAACACCCAAAAAAAACAAAACCCGGAAATCTTCTTTTGTGATAAGGCGATTCCTGGTGACGAATAAAGACTTCGGGTACCCTCTTTAAGTTTTTTTTATTGTAGTGGAAACGTTTCAGAGACTAACAAACTGAAATGAAATGGGGTTTAGCTTCCTACTTTTCTTCACCAACCGGGATAATGCCATGCAGTGTGCTATGGTGGGATTATTATCGCTTAGTAGCGTTTTCCACCTACTCTTAATTGATTTTGAACTGTCGAGAGTTCTATAGGTGAATGTGGTTCAGTAAGGCGTTGGTTCGCTAGTCTGGAGGTCCTGGCAAGGGACAACGTATAGTCGTTCGGATGGAACGAAAACCGAGGTCCCGCGTACACATTGGCGAGAACGTTAAAGACCCTTTCTCAGTTGGAATTCGATATAAGAATAAGCCGTAGCGCCGCTGTACGGGCAAAATTTCCCTATAACACGCTGTATGGAGTATGCCCGCCTCCTTAGCCCAGTTGGAGCAGAACTGTCGGACGTTAAACCCCATTTTATTTCATCTCATTTATATATGAAAGCCAAAGAGTACACGAGTTCGACTAGACGCTTTCCATTGCTCCGTCCTACACCACTGAAACGGAGAGCCCACGTTGAAAACTCACTGTACCACCAATAAGTTACAGATAAAAGGTACGAATTTTATGGCTACTTAGAGATATATTTACTGTGACTTATTTTGTTTGGGAACTTCATCATATACAAGATATATTAATCATGATTTACCCAAATTACCTGAAATAGACGAATTCGACAATTAAAGGTTTGATATTTTCAATAAATTTAACTGATAGGTCAGACACAGTATTATTCCAACGAAATGCAAGGGTAAAATACAAGATACTCATCAAAAGTTGTGATATATGTTTGTTAGTATTAGCGAACCTAATTAGCGAACTTATGGTCTGTCCGGTAAAGGATTCCATGGTGGTTTTTCAGTGAGGTTTCCCCTTGTCAGTGTCGCTGGGCGGATGGTCTTGTCCTTCGGATGGGGCAAAACCCCGGGATACCGCGAAGCGCGAACTGGTGTGCACGTAAAAATCTCTCGATTGGAATTCACGTACTGTAAGCGGGAAAGATTTTACTCATAGCTCGCTATATGGCAATTCATTCAATTGGCTGATGAAATAAAACTACTGGCGTTTCAGTGAATGAACACAGTGGCGTATAGATCTAAATTTAGAATCCATTCATTGAGACAACGCTTGGTCACCTTGATGAAATATCTTTACATTGTAGCCTATATGGTATCTCCGGGTTACTTATTATCATACCCATGTAGTCTCGTGCTGATATAAAACAATAGTTTAATATGACGAAATCGATGTAACGTCTGTTGTAATTAGTTATGCAAAAAAAACGGCAGTTGCCTCGAAAAGAACGAAGGTTAAGATGCCTGGCTTACTATAATTAACAGTGTAATTCCAATCATCCACCGTTTATTTCATATTACAGTGTTGCTATTATTGCTGTTATTTATTTATTTAATTAAAAGGAGATTCACCGACTAGGAAGTGTTTATTAGTTGTATATAAATGTGTAAAATAATAATCTAGAGTAAAAATGAGGTGTTTTGGTAAAATATTAATAGTATTAAGTGTATACACATGAATAAAGTAGTGCTGGAACATGAATATGAACTGATATTATTCTATGCAGTATATGATGGTCACAGTTCTCTGATTGTTGTTCTGTAAGTTCAACACGAACCAAGGAGTTCGGAATGCTTTATAACATTATTATCCAGGCCCGCTAATTATTTAAAACCAGGAAAGTCCTGAAAGTGAGTTGAAACGGGTATTTACTGGATAATGGATGTATCATTCAGCGAATTGAACATGGAAAAGTACGGTAATATTATGTAACACTACCATTAAAAGAAAATAAATATGTGTTAATTCAAGGTGAAATTTATATGTTGGTATTTCCAAATGTTTCGTTGAAAATGCCCATCACGGTTTTTCTATTGAGTTTCGCTGATTAATGAAGTAACTGACAAAATTAACCGGCCGTGTAAAATGACACAGAGCTCTCGGAACAAGAACAGTTAATTTCATTGTACAATATACAATCCAAATAAAAAGTTTCAAAGTTTCGACAGTTTATCCAGGAGTTCACTGCCACTTAATACACCAAAAAATCTGAAAAAAATGTGTAAAGGTAAATTTCATCCCCGGAAGTTAGATTTTCATCGTTATCCATCCGTTGGTACAGAACTAAGAAAATCTTTTCACACAACCAGTAGGAAGATGATACCGCCAGCGGTTTGGATTGTTGTCGCACCTGTTGTTAAAGTAATCGCAGTTTTATCAGGAAGGTATTGTGAAATTTATTATTATGGATTTGAATAAAAAAAACCTCGATAGCCCCTAAAAACTTAACGTTTGGGAGGTATAGGACCACGTTTGATCTGGAATTACCGTCACGCCTACAGTTTGGGCCGAGGCTGGGGCTGGGCGACGTGGGGACTTTATCACGTGATTTCTGCCAGCACTGTTTGCAATGTCATGTGCCAGACTCAACATTATTGTGCATCATGTGATACCAGTTTGATGCAGACGCTTCACGCTTTTAAAAACAGCATTAATTTTATCAAAATATACTGCTACAATCGTAACGAAGCCATTTTTTCTTTACAGATTTTCACGTAAATGGTGGAAAGCTTTACCGACCTATAAAAAATTACAGTATCTCAATGCAGCAGGTTGGTTTTGTTTGAATCTAATAATAAATTATTTTGGGTTCATATATATATTTAGCCGTCCTTAGATATCACTAGCCATCACTGTCCACGGTGGATTCATCCACAGACTTTGTGATCATAACCCCACATGTGTCATCCCTTGTGGATACTAAATTTAAGAATACTATCAATAAATTTTATCAGACGGTCACTGGACAGTATGGTCGCGATTTATTAAGAGCCATGGACAGGGTGTTATTAGCTGCAATATTGTAGCCGCTTCCTTGTCTTGTGGCTGAATCAAATCCATCTAAAGCTACCCAAATCCTCCATTATTCCAGCTTGTGTCATAATAATTTATATGGATAAATAATAATATACTGTTCTTAATGCCAAATTGTCATTTTTAATTTAAAAATTTCAAGCAAATTTGGAAGTCTTAACCAAGGGACATATCATTTTATATTGTTTTATAAACAGGTTGTGTAAGTTTCAGTGGTTTAAGTTTGTATTATTGTAAACATCTACAAGAAACACCCATAACTGGTAGAAGACGTTTTATAGCTTTTACTCCCGCACAATATGAAAAATTATCTTATGAAACATACAAACATGTAAGTTCAATTAGATATTTCAACCCATCTCATATAATTTATTACTTACCCACACTACAAATATAACTGCTCATGGTGAAATGAAATAAAATGGGGTTTAACATCCTACTTTTCTGCTCTGACTAGGCTAATGAAGCTTGGCGAACCCCATGCAGTGTGCTATGAGTGATATTTTGCCCAGACAGCGGCGCTATGGCCTACTCTTATTAAGAATTCTGTCAAGGTATCTTTTAGGTGCATGCCAATATGTACATGGGGCCCCTGTATTTTGCAGGAAAATCCCAATGAACTTTCTCGGCCAACACGGGGCCGTCCAGACTTGTGAGTCAACGTCTTACTCATGGAGCCACCTCGGCACCCAGCTGCTCAAAGAAAAAGCAGGTTCTGGTATAGTACTCAATATCTAAACAGTTTATAATTATTTGTAATATTCTTGGAATTATTTCTATTTCTCATTTTAGATCCCAAGAATTCAATATTCAATCCTTAAAAAGAACAAAGTGTGCTGAAAGTATTAATAATGCTTGAATTGTCCTTAAATAATCAAAATGCATATGTAGTTAGAGACCACTGAACTGAGGATGAGGTTGGCACTGAGAATTGAGTTATAACCATGTATTATAAGGTCCATGGTATAACTTATACCTCATTTCTCAGTTCCGCTGTCTGTAAAGATTTAAATTATTTGTATTATAGTGGTTCACTATCTTATTGTTGTAGGTTCTTCATCAATATGAAAAGGAATTTCTAAACGAAGATCATCCATACCACACAAGACTGACCCGAGTATTTCACAACCTATTGTGGGCTAATAGAGATTTTGTACAATTAAATAGCAACCAGAAATGGGAGTATCGTGTATTAGATCGTCCATATCCTAAATATCATATAAATGCTTTATGTGTTGAGGTACGTCATTTTAATCATGTAAAAGACAAATAATAACAATGAAGCGCAGTCGATCCTTATAACAAATGGTCAAATATTAAGTCCAGCAGAGGAATTCAGCAAATCATAAAACAACATTAAGTGGATCCAATGTGTTATTTTTGATGCCTTACTGCTGTCAAAGATATAAATCAAAGCTGCTAAGGTATCAGACATATACATGTACTTGACATTGTGAAATTTTCAGGAAAAGCTGCATCTTAACTAGTTTCTTAAGAACATGGATAACTATACGCATCTAAAACCGTATTTCGTGCATATTTTCACTTCAACAAAAAAGAAGAACTTGTGTTCCACCATAGACCTTTTAGCCTATTGTCATACAACTATAAAACATTATCAGGAACCAGGCACACATTTTAATTTTTATTTCTCGACTGTTTCAGCATGGATTAATATTAGTGAATTCTAGTGCTTTGGAAGTTCTACAAACAGATGATGAGTTAGCTTTTATAATAGCACATGAAATGGCGCATATTTTACTTGGTCATCAGGTACCAACATTAGTTCCTTTTTTTGATGAGAGAGACAGACAGACAGGGAGATGCCATGTAGTGCAATTTCTATTTCAAAAAATCGTTTGCACATAGGGATCTTTAGCTGTGGGGTGAAAACCGAAGGACCCAGAGAAAACCTTTGAGGTTAGACAGGTAACCCTACTCCTATCACCAACTTGACTGGATGATAATCTATGATTCGTGCACATTGTAACCTGTACTGGTTTTGTAAGAGTACAACTGACGCTCCTTTCAAAATTCTTGACTTTACATTTTTTCAAAATTAGGTGAGTCTAGGGTTATTTTAAAGATATTATTTGGCGTAAGTTGAAATCTATATATTCATAATATTAGTCATTTTTTTTCTTTTATTTTAGCAAGAAAATATAAGTCAAGGTCAGCTATTAGATTTTATGATTATTGCTGTGATGGCAGCAATTTGGACGATGATACCCAATGATGGTATCAGTATTGTAACGCATTGGTTTTTTGGTAAATGTAGAGAGGTTAGTATTTGGACAAAGACTAAAGAATATTCAGCAAGGGTTTGTGATGTCTGCATATTGTGTCTTGTCCGTAGATTTGTTTTTGTGTAAATTATGTGTGGTGCTGTCCCCCTGCACTTACTATTACAGCATCAAAGGGATGTGGGTAGCTGAATGGCTTAACTCCTGCATGTTACATCATTAGATCTGTCATTGAGTCAAATGGCGTGATTTCAATTTCCCTCTTGTACAAAACCTTGTTGGTTTTCGCTGGGTATTCCGGTTTCCTCCCACAGCTAAAGACCCCTAAGCACAAACAAATTATTAAACTAAAATTGAACTATTTCTTAGTCCCGAAATGACCTAGTTTGTGTTGAGTGGACGTTTAACCCCATTGCTCTCTCTCTGTTGGAATAACTCTGACATTTTTCTTTGTCTGTGCCGCATTCTTTTACTGTTTGTTCTATGACATTCTGTTTTAAAGGCTGTGCTGCTAACGAGACAAGGATGCCACTCATAGATCATCGAGTCATCAGGGTAATACTCCGCCATATAGATTCCAAACACTGTAGATAAACATCAATCCAATTTCGTTTCGTTTTTTATAGTTCAAAATTTCGTTTTACTATACTTGTCTTTACTACACTAGGATCTAGAAGAGTTGTTATATAACCCGCATTCTGGATGATGTGAGGGATTAACCAATGAAACTGTCTGTTACAGCGAGTTTTTGGCGTGAGGTGCCCGGAACTGTGGGTAACCCACTAGAAACATCAACGCTGATTGGTTAATCAAATGTCTGACGTCATAGGATCAAAGGTTGCTCGTATGACCCCTGATGTGACCTTCCACTGCAACTGGTCAGATCTTCATGTAGTAGAGACCAAAAAAAGTATAAAAAAACGAAACAAAATATAGATCTGTATTTTAATCAGATTGGATAAACATCATTGCTTGTTCAGTGATTCCTTATTTTTAAAAGAGTTCCATGGATCAATTTTGCCTGGAATCTATAATGAAACCAAGGGCAGATCAAAGAGCACACTAACAATTAATACTATCTAGAATCTATACAAGAGCATACTCTACAATCAGTTATGTAGATACTATACAAGACTGTTATCTACAAATTAAATGAATCTTGAATCTATACAACAATATACTCTAATCATATATATAATCTATACACAAGCATATTCTATGAAATAATCATGAGAGAGAGAGGTTGGACAGGCGACCCTACTCCTTGTCACGTACAACCGGGGAATTGAAACCACGCCAGTTGACTCAATGACAGACTTCATGATATAGCGTGCACGGGCTAACCATTCAACCATGTAACCCCCCATGAAATAATCGTATACAGAATATGTAAATGAGCATACATACTCTAACTAAGAATTAATCTTTTTCTAAAATGCTTTAGGATACATATTCTTTAAAATCATTTAATCTCATTTAATTTGGTTATTCTCTATATATATGCTGATTTTCAGTTGTTTGTGGACCTTCCATATTCTAGAAAAGTTGAGACAGAGGCAGATAAAGTGGGTCTCGAGATCATGGCAAAGGTAAAATTTATTACAAAAATAGCAAAATCTTTTCTCATCACTAACATAAAAAATTGGGTTGACAAGCAGGCACAGAATTTAAATATATATTTTTTTCATAAACAATATATATATCTGTACAACTACTAACTTTATTTTAACCATACTACACTTAAATTATAACTTACAGATCATATTGAACATAATGTATGTAAATGATGGATCGAACACCCGACCTCCACGCTAGCGAGCCAGCGTCTTACCCACTTAGCCACTGTGGCCCCCTTTTAAAGCTGTAATGGCTACCTTAAAACAGTAACCATACAAAAACCCATTGAGTGTATGTTTTTTTCTTTTTCAGGCATGTTATGATATACGTGCAGCACCTGTGACAATGACAAAACTTTCTATAGATAATAACCTAAATGAATCAGGGAAGTTTCAAATGGAATTTTTAAAAACTCATCCTTTATCCACAAAGAGAGCAGAACACATGAATCATCTTTTACCATGGGTTGGTAAATTTATTAACATTAAACTCCTTTTCTGTTAAAACTCATTGCTCTATGCATAATAGACTGGTAGGTTATGCGTAATAGACTGGTCACTAATTATGCATAACAGACCGGTCAGTTATGTGTAATAGACTGGTCACTAATTATGTGTAATAGACTAATCAGTTAAGTGTAATAGACTAGTCAGTTAAGTGTAATAGACTGGTCACTAATTATGCATAATAGACTGGTCAGCTATATGTAATAGACTAGTCAGTTTTAAAAGTGTAATAGACTGGTCAATACTTAGGTGTAATAGACTGGTCAATAATTATGTGTAATAGACTGGTAGATTATGTGTAATAAACTGGTCAATTATGTGTAATGTGAAATCATTAGTCTTAGTTCTAATATCTTGAATGTGAAGCTTAATATTTTCTGAAGAAATGTACCCCACCAAGGTTGAAAAACTGTCCAATTCAGAGATAATACTGAAATAATGTGTTATTTTATTGTGTATTACAGGCAGAATTAGTAAGAAAGTCATGTGATTGTCCAGAATTACCATCTAAAGATCCACGAGAACTGATTGCATTTATATCTTACTTGGCAGAACAACGATATTTAAAACTTAAAACTAGGCAAAATCTTAAACAGGTCACATATAAATTGTGAAACCCACATCTAAAATATTGATCGAGGTGCAGACAGGTGTTGTGTATGAGACAGGATATACATATTAGTCTTAGAACACCTGATGTATTTGTGAGGTTCAAGCAGCTTTAATTTTCATATGAACTTCTGTATATTACGTTCAATTTCTGTGATGAGAATCCAGAAGTGGAAATTTGACTTGAAATATTTATTGCGACTAGAGACTTGACAGTTGTGACGACTCGCTACTTGAAAAAGCTTTGAGTCGCAGCCAGGCAGCATAACTCTAACTTATCTTATTTGCCATAAATTCCTGACTGGCGACTTGAACGGGACTCAGGCTTTGTGAAGACTTAGGACTAGACTCAACTAGGTACTAAACTCAGCGACTTGGGACTTCACAAAAATAAATTGTGTAAATAACATTATTATATATTAAATATTGTTAAATAAATTTGTTGGAAATTTGATATATTATTATGTCTTGCTACATACATTAACAGGTGAAGTAACGTCGGCTACCAGAAAGTCATTTTACACATATGAAAAGAGTTCATTGAAAAAGAAATGCCTAAAATTTGACTCATCTATATAGTAAAAAGCAACCTGTTCAGAGGTTGATACTGAATAATATACTCAGGCGAATATTCCTAGCAAGCTTCATCCTTGGGGTATATGTTTCAACTTTCAACCATGGGTGGACACTGTACTATATACAGGTTGACATAAAATGTTAAGAATAAAAAACTAGTAAAATTATCCCTTTTTTCACAGTCCATATCACTTTGTGCATTGCTACAGACTTGAGACGTCATGTTTGGGGGATTTTTATATTTATGTGCAAACGTTTAATGTGGACTTATTGTCGTCACTGTTTTAACTTTTGAAGGGGATGCTGAAAAGCTTTGTTCCTATTGCTAAACTTTTCACATAAGTGGAACTACAATCTTAAAAATAACTACGGAATCCAAATATCCATGACTCAAGATTATATCCCCACTTCCATCTAAAAAGCAAAACCTGAAAAAGAAAACCCGAACACAACAAAATTTTGGGCTATCAAATAACCATAAATAGGGATTTTCTTTATTTGGCTTAACCAAAACCAGTGATTAAAGATCTGTTGAAATTAGACACTGTAGAAGATGCTACGGTAAAAACTGAACATTTTTATACACAATTTTTACATTTTTCTCCGTTATTACCAAATTTATTTATATCTTGAATCAAAATATTTGGACAACAAACTAGTGTTCATCTTTTACCACTAACAACACACTATAGTAACTTGTAATTTCAATTGACTGTAATCAACATTTTAATTTTCTTGTAATTTTTACATGTCAGTTTCATGCAGAAGAGCCCACAGTCCAAGTGTGTTTATATGTATTTTCCACATGAATTTGTTTGTAAAAATGTTTATTTGTAAATAAATATATTTTATGCCAAATTATGGGGGGTGATATTAGATATCAACTGCTAATGACTTCTTGAAATGAAGATTTCTCTAATAAGACCCCTCCCCCTCCAGCATTTACCCCTACAAAAATAACAACTCCTACCCCAGCACCCACCCCTACAAATACTAACATCTCCTACCCCAGCACCCACCAGTACAAACAATAACAACTACTTAATTACTTTATACAGCTTTTATTTATAACAGTAAACATACTTTTGACTTTCAGTTAATAAATGTGAAATATGTGAGAAATAGAGAAAAATATTGTTATCAATTATATAATTATTTTTGAAAAAAAAGCAACAGAAATTACAGTTAGATATTGCTAGCTTGGAAATAAGAGATTCAGATATATTAATATAAAGTTTCATAGAATCGGTCAGATATTTCCGAGGATAAATACACATCATTCACAAAATACACTACATTTGCTGTAGAAAGTCAATGTTTCTATGTTATTTTTTCGTCCCTCATGTGAATCAAAACATTAAATAATTATAGAAATATATCATCCATTTGATATAGGGTGAACATGTCATGGATTTAACTCCTGTTTTATTTACTTCTATTTAACAGGGACTATATAATCTTCATAAATATCCCATTCAAAACAATTTATATTTTAAAAAATCCAAGATTGTGACAATTTAACACCTTACTGAAAGTACAGTCGATGGGTGGAAGAATCCCTGTACAGAACAGGTAAGATCGGATCTCTGTGATACGGTTGATATAGTATATATATTCATGAAACAAATGTTTATTATATTTTTTTCTAGCCACTTACAGGATTAACCAAAAATATACTGACATCCAAAGGAAACTACCAATAATCTCCTAGACTAAAGCCTAAAATATTATGTAAATTCAAACTGGAAAAATTTTAAGTCATTGAATACATTATTTGTAATAATGTGACATGGTTCCATTATCAGAATTATAAACGATTTAAATGCTAGCAAGTTTTTGAAATATAGGTACTTTTGAATGTCACAATACATCTGATATGGCTTCCTTAATATTGTAGTAAATATATCACACCATTACATTATTTAATATAACATATTAGAAGTATTCTGAATGGCCAGAATTGCGATATAACCAATTTTAAATTCCACATCAAGACATTAAATAAGGAAAACAAAAGCGGATGTATTTTTTCTTCCCTTTCTACAATTAAAATTGTATAGAGTTTGTCCCATCACTTATCGAAATAATAGATAACCCTATTAACAAAAATCAAACAGGTCTAGCTCCTTCAATATTAGATCTATTTTTATATCCTTTTAAAAGAAACATAACTTTTATATTGCTATACTATGGAATTCCAGATCTCACAATTTTCATTAGAATACAATTTAAAACCAAATTGGCAAATTACAAATGCAGTAGGACATTAAACCCCATTTCATTTCATTTCATTTCACAAATGACAATCAGTGGCTTTTTGATTGATTCTAAAATTTCAAGTCAAATTTATAACAAAATCATCAAATTGAGATTTCAACAATTAACAGACATAATTTTAAAATCTGATATTATGTACATATTTAAAAATAAAAATTAAAAATATACATATATTTTATTAGAATATATTCAATCTCTTCTTAAAATTTAAAATATTATCACAACTAATGTATTAGTTTCAATGTTTTGAAGGACGGCTTTAGAATTTTGATTTTTTAGAACACAGAATATGATAAAAAAAAACACAACACAATTTATATGGAAAACAATCACTGGTTTATATATATATAGCCCAACGTTTCGACAAGTATTCTCTTATCGTTTTTGTACATGAAAACGATAAGAGAATACTTGTCGAAACGTTGTGCTATATATGTATAAACTAGTGATTGTTTTTCATATAAATTGTGTTGTGTTTTTAATGTGCTCAATCGTTATATTCCACTCAAGGATTATACAGAATGAGGTTAAATACTACATATCAGAGATTCTGATTACCTGAAACATTGGTTGTCAATCTGGCTTAATAAATATAACCCAAACAAATTTCATATGTAAAGTATACATCTTTTTAATATACTTAATTATTTTTAACATTAATAAGATATTTACAAATCTTAATGTTTACCTTTTGAGGGATTGAGAGAATTAAATTCCAACACTCAATCAATAATATTATTTGCACAGGCTACCATCATATATTAAGGATGCAAAATCATTGGGTACATTCAAATCCTTACTAAAAACACACCTATTCAGTGCAGATGATGGGAAACTGTCGTAAATGTGACAGACTAACTCAGCGCTAGTCAGTGGCGGCGCCAGCCGTCGGTGATTGGAGGGGCAAAGCTGGGGCAAAGTCCAAGGTTAAGGGGGCAAATGCACGAGCTTCAACTAGGGGTAGGGGGCCTCCCCCAGAAAATTTTGAAAAACAGGTTGCCGGAAATGCAGCCTGGCAGTATTTCAGGAACTGATCGATGAGGTAAAGTGTCAAACGAACGGACTTGCGAATCACGACGAAGCCCACTCACGAGCGTCAAAGTAGGGAGTCCTCTTCCAGAAATTTTTTGAAAAATAGACTGCCGGAAATGCTGTCTTACAGTATTCTGTCAGGCACCGATCGTCGAGATAAATAGATCTGCCCAGATACCGTTCGTCGCCTGATCACTAGTTTATATCCGACTAGAGAACAAAATGTCAAACGAACGGACTTGCGAACCTCAACGAATTAACGAATTCCCCTTGTGAGCTCCAAAGTAGCGAGTCCATTGGGGACCTCGCCAAGAAAATTTTGAATAATAGACTGTCGGAAATGCTCTACAACATGCAAGTTTATGACTGAGTGGGGATGTGGGATTTATTCACCGTAGAAGGTATTGATTACCGAAACGTATCACAAATACTTTTATTTTCTAAAATTATTTGGGGGGGCAAACAGAGGGCAGATTTGCCCCCCCCCCTTGCCCCACCCTGGCACCGCCACTTGTGCCAGTGAGCAAACTTTTGGATACGAGGCGCTATACAAATCCATTATTATTATTTATTGTATAAGTATCTAATGTATGTATATGTACCCGTCCTCAGTAATTATTGTGCACTTTGTTGCAATAGCAAGTATATCAGAGCATTACACATCATACTTTGTATATCTCTATGGGTATAATACTTCATTATCTATTAAAGTTATTATGCAATTCATATAATGATAACACCATATATAACAATAACACTGCTTGTCTAAGATAAATCATATACATAATTCAACAATAATAAAGTACATTGAATGAAATTTGAATATTTTAAAATACTATTCTGCTGGTCCAATATGCCAACCGTCATACGTACATAACATGTGAAAATATAATTTGAGTTTTATTATGTACAAGTGTTTATATGTGAACATATAAATACCATATTAATACTGATACTATACAGTGGAAATATCACGTACAAGGCATATATTTTAAAACATTCTCCATATACACTGTAGTTTTCTAAAAAAAATTGTTTTACTGAGAAAGCTGAATATAATTTGGGATTGGCCATAAAAAAACCATATATGGTGCCATATATTTACCTTATCTTTCTTACTTTGACTGAATGTGTGCCATTGTACAGTTTTTGATAAACATCCCACCCACTTTTTGCTCTGTTTAATAATGCATGACCTAAATATGTGCTGAATAACTTTTTAATGAGACATTGACTTCATATTCCCCATGCATCTACTGCAGCACATACAGGAATATAGGTATAACTTAACAAATTTTGGTTCTTGCGAACTCTTTTTTGTTTAAAATTTCAAAACTTATAATTATAGAACTTAAGATTTTGAGAAGACCAAGCAACAATTCTTTTTAAATCATTCTATTTTCCGGTAAGATATAAAAATAAATATTTAAACCGGTGTTCTCAAAGAACAAAAAATCAAATTGGTGTGGCCTTATAATATGCCTTTAATAAGTTTAAATAATATTTTATACCAAGTACATCATTACTGTGTGTGTTAATATGTTTTAACTTTAAATGTTAGTAATTTGTTGCAAGTCCGTTTGTAATTTTAATATGTTATGTTTAAGTGTAAATGTTTGTAATTTATGGCAAGTCCGCTTATACTCGTTGTTATAATTGAAGTGGCCTAATTTGAATGTTATATTTAAGTTTAAATGTTTGTAATTTATGGCCAAGTCCGTTTATATATGTTGTTATAATTGGTGTGGGCTAATTTTAATAAGTTATTTAAGTTTAAATGTTTGTAATTTATGGCAAGTCCATTTATATATTTTGTTATAATTGATGTGGCCTAATTTTAATATGTTATATTTAAGTTTAAATGTTTGTAATTTACGGCAAGTCCATTTATACTCGTTGTTATAATTTGTGTGGCCTAATTTTAATGTTATATTTAAGTTTAAATATTGTAATATATGCCAAGTACGTTTTTACTAGTCGTTATATATTACTGTATAACACACAGTGTGCTACGTGTTTGTTTAGGAAGAGGTTTAACAGGGGCATCAACAGGGTATTTTATAATTTCTGCTTTTAATACTCGCTGTTGTTGCTCAACTTCTGGCTTCGTTAATTTAATACCCAAAATTTCCGCTGCTACTTTTTGAAAAGTTAAACTCACCTGGAAATGTATAAAATAAACACTTTTATAAAATCTGAATAAGACTCAACATGTGTTTATTATATAAATACAGTTATTCTTGTAAACTTTTCAGGATGCTTTAGAGAGAAATGAAACAGAGGTTAGTGAACTACATGTAAGGGAGAGGTGTTTAATATAGGCTATGCCTGTTCCCCAATCCCTATTCAGATACAAATCTGATTAAAAATATTGCTTATATAAAAAAAAAACTACATGTAAATCTGGGTGGGAAATGGCAGAGTGGGTTACTGAGCTAGATCAAGGAGGGAAATGGCATAGCAGTTTGCAAATTAGATCAGGAAGGGAATTATAACAGCTAGATCAGGGAGGGAAATTGTAAAGCTATTAGGGAGTTACACCGTTGCACATGTTTGATTGATACCCACACAGACGGTGTGTTGAATTCTTATATCTTTGATTAAGACACTATATATCCCGGCATTGGGGTATCAGTAAGATAGTCCATGTGCGGTAAACTTAATTTTACACAAATAGACTAGGGACATGACTTCTCAAAAGAAGGTATAAGAATATGTTTTGTGTCCCTGGGATCAGAGTAATCAAATGTAAATCAGCAAAAAACTCAAGAGGTGAATGAAAGCTGTTACAATACAATGCTTCAATAGAACAACTAATCTGTATTTTCTACAATAGGACAGATCAATAACCCACAATGGCTTCTTATTTCAGAATAATAAACATGTATGAATTATTTGACCAAACTTCAAGTTAAACATGCATTATGCAAGAGCTAAATCTGCCTATTGCAGGTCTTTCTTTAGGCCTGAAATGTTTTCTAAAGTATTAATTAGACATTAATTAACTGATCCAGGCCTTAATCAACTCTCGATGGCATCAGATTTCTCTGATATTAAATAGATTAGAATGGTTCAGCGATACTTTGATTTAATCAAATATGGAGGACCAAGACTTAGCTTCGATCAACCAGTACGGTGGTTGAAATTTTTGCACACGTCTGTCAAACCTTCAAAGGCTAATATCTTCGCTTGCAATAGAGTAATTTGAATGAAATTTTCAAATTATTCATTTTACATCATCTACTTTCGAACTATTATAGCAAGAATGGCTAGTTCGTTATCTAAATCTTACATAATTTATCTTTAACTTTCTGTAATTACAATCATAAATTGTGTAATGGCTTAAAATCATTGAACTGGAAATACAATCACAATTCAGTGGAATACAATTACTGCTTATTACTGAATGAAGTTTCGATAAGGCTCCTCTAATCTTTATTAGGTAATGACAGAAATTCACACTTCACAGATCATGGAATACAATTGGGAAGAGAGAGAGAGAGAGAGAGAGAGAGATGGGGTTTAACCTCCACTTGACACAAACTAGGTCATTTCGGGACTAACATATGGTTCAATTTTATTTTGATAATTCGCTTGCGCGTAGGGGTCTTTAGCAGTGGGAGGAAACTGGAGTACCCGGAGAAAACCCACGAGGTTGGACAGGCGACCCTACTCCTTGTCAGGTACAACCAAGGAATGAAACCACGCCAGTTGACAGCACGCACGTGCTAACCATTCGGCCATCCAACCTCCGCCCAGAATACAATTGGAAATAACAGGTCAATGGATTGATAATGACTAGAGAAATGAAATGAAATGAAATAGGGTTTAACGTCCTACTGTTCTGCTCCTAACCTGGGCTAATGAAGACGGGCATACGCCATACAGTGTGCTATGAGGGAAATTTTGCCCGGACAGCGGCACTACGGACAGCGGCACTACGGCCTACTCTTATATCGAATTCCAACTGCCAAGGGATCTTTTACGTGCACGCCAATGTGTACACGGGACCTCGGTTTTTCGTCCCATCCGAACGACTAGACAGCTTTCCTTGTCAGCCCCTCCGTCCTGCATCACTGACAAGGGAGAACCACGCCGGAAAATCTTGATGAACTTTCTCGGCCAATGCAGGGATTGAACACCCGACCTCCAGGCTAGCAATGACTAGAGAAGTCTAGTAAAAATGATACTCAGTAATAAACAGTAATTGTTTTCCGTAGAACTTTGACCTGTGTAATTACAATCATGGCTTTAATTTTAATAATAAAATCTTTTAAAATTCATATAACATTAAAATACAAACCGAGTCTCCAGATTTTGCTGAAACAAAATGGCTGGACATGCCATGTTCTTGAGCAAATCGTTGATGTTTTTCTTGTTTAACTGTTCTCATATGTTCTAAATCAACTAAAACATAAAATTGCACAATGGATTAGAAAATGAAATGTCACAGTATAATCACATCAATGGGTTTCCGAAAAAATATAAATTCATTATTTAAAGTTGTTAATAAGAGACAAATTTAACAAATAAAAAAAAATTCTTTATTGCAAAATATTCACATAATCCGCAACAGGTTGTACAAAATAAAGCAGCTTGACTTGTGACGAGAATTTGAAAGAGAGATGACTTCACTGATAAGCTATCTTTCCTTGACCGGGATACAATAAAATCCTTTTGGACAGAATGTTATGCTATAGAAGACAATCAATGGACAATAATAGTATTTATAGGAGGCAAATATGTGTGAAATAGCTTTATTTAACGTCCACTTCCACTATCCTCTATATCATATAGTGTTTAAATATCCTTTAAAACCAGTTAGTCATATATCAATTATCTTTGTAAAGATGATTTGGTGACATGATTAAGGAAATCCGGTTTGTCATTTTTATCAAGATTGACAATGATTGAATGTGACAAGCCAAACCCATCTTTTATCAATTTATGTTTATTCATCCTATTATTGATGTGAAATCAAGTGGCAAGATAGATTAGTACAACAAGTGGTGTGAAGACAGCATGTCTCCTACAGATTTAATTCATGCTGCACTGAAAGAATACAATTTTTCTACTGCTGTGTTAAGATCAACTGAAACATTTTGCTACCTCAGAACCGGACTGTTATATTGAGAAAAACTGAAACATTTGATTAACTCATGAAAACCTAACTGTTATAATGAGATAAACTGAAATATTTCACTAAATGTGGACTAGACGGTTATATCAAGATAAACTGAAACATTTCACTGAGAACTGGACTGTTTTATTGAAATAAACTGAAACATTTCACTGTTACATTGAGATAAACTGAAACATTTCACTGAGAACTGGACTGTTATATTGAGATAAACTGAAACATTTCACTGAGAACCGAACTGATCAATCTCCGCTTTGGGAAAAGATTGAGTTTCACCAAGATGCATCTCCAAACAAAATTTTAGATCACAATTATTTTTAATAATCTTTTTAAACTCTTTAAATTATTATGTATGAATCAAACTGTTTCATCTTTTCAGCCAATGATTATTTTCTGTAAGAGTCATGTGACTTGGGGAGAGGAAGAGAGAGAGATGGGGGTTTAATGTCCACTCGACACAAACTAGGTCATTTCAGGACGAACACGTGGTTCAATTTTATTTCAATAATTCGCTTGCGCATAGGGGTCTTTAGCAGTAGGAGGACACTCTAGGACCCAGAGAAAACCCACGAGGTTGGACAGGCAACCCTTCTCCTTGTCACGTACAACCGTGGAATCGAAACCACACCAGCTGGCTCAATGACAGACCTTATGATACAGCGCACGCACATGCTAACCATCTGGCCATCCACCCCCCCATGTGACTTGGAAATAGGACATTCTGATTCTTTGGTTTTATAGAAGCGCACTTCAGAATATAACACTGTTTCAAGGAAACTGAGCCAAATTGAGTACAGAACAGGATGACTGTTTTTGTGTATATTTAGAATAGTAAAAGTAATACTACAGAGTTCCTTTTGATTTCAGTTCAATCCTAAAATGTTCTTTGTTTCTAAAATTTTGAACCCTCTTTAGCAAGGTATACTTAATGAATGATAAAACAGCCGTGTTAAATCAAACTTACGTTTATTTCCAACTAAAGCCATATGTGGTGATCTTGGATCTGGACAAACTTTACGTATAGCTTGAAACCAGTCTTCTAAATTCTCAAAACTTGAATAATTTGTTATATCATAGACTAGCATTATGGCCTGGAAATAAACACAAACAAAATAATAAAATAAAATGGACTTCATGAACATATTATTATATTTTAATGTTGTATGTTAGTCAAATTGTAAATTTAAATTATGTTATGTAATTAATCTGGTTGATATCTGGTCAGAATGGCAGAGAGAGAGAGAGATGGGGTTTAATGTCCACTCAACACAAACTAGGTCATTTTGCGACAAACACATGGTTTAATTTAATTTCAATAATTTGCTTGCACATAGGGGTCTTTAGCAGTGGGAGGAAACCAGAGGACCCGGAGAAAACCCACAAGGTTGGACAGGCAACCCTGCTTCTTGTCACATACCACGCCAGTTGACTCAAGGTCAGAAAGGCACTTTCATGGTTGATCAGCTGGTATGTAAATGCATGCCATGCGCTGGTTTCAAATCTTCACAATACCCATGAACCACTAAGCCAAGTGGACCAACTGCTTCCAAGTCGGCCAAGCGGTAAGATGGATAATCTAAATTAGTCTTTAAAGCATGTCTGCCATATACGAATATACATTTTTAATAAAAAAAAACCAAGTAGTCATTTGAAGCTCATCAAAATGAATGAATGAAATATGGTTTAATGGCATGTCAGCACCATTAGCCTTTAAACTTTCAGAGAGAGAGAAATGGGGTTTAACGTCCACTCGACACAAACTACGTCATTTTGGGACTAATATATGGTTTTAATTTTATTTCAATAATTTGCTTGCGTTTAGGGGTCTTTAGCACTGGGAAGAAACCGGAGGACCCGGAGAAAAACCCACGAGGTTGGACAGGCGACCCTACTCCTTGTCACGTACAACCGGGGATTCGAAACCACGCCAGTTGACTCAATGACAGGCCTTATGATACAGCGCGCATGTTCTAACCATTCAGCCATCCAACCCCCCTTTTAAACTTTCAAATGAAATTGGTAATCAAGTGTGTAATGACTGTAAATATTATTATGCCCCATCTGTTTAATGTTTACATTTTATCTGGTTCAATAGAAGAACTCAAATTCCAGTTGTCATAATATTAAGCAAATTGCTATTATTATTATTTTAAGCTGGTTTCATTTATCAATCAGTTGATTTATTTAAACTTTGAACTCTGACAGTTGACTCGGACGTTATTTACATCCACTATCAACCAAATAGTTATTATAACGGTGTCTTAATCCCAGATAAAAGATTTATATGCATCATTAAACTGACCCCTGGCCAGAGGTTAACATCTAGATAAAGAAATGGAATCTTGCTTCATTTGTGATAACCTAGCTGACCGTGGGCTATAATCAAGTTAAACCTTGAGAGAAAAGGGATTCAGGGGATTCAAGGTAGAAACTAGAGTGTCCTTCATTTATTTCAATCGTTTGGGATTCTTAATCTGAATAAAATAATGATTTGGTTGATTTTTAAATTCTCAATCAAATATAATTCTTAAGGTATCCTGTTGTTAAAATCAACATAGATGTTCTAGTGATATGAAACATTAATATCTCAATGTTGTTGTTGTTCTTAGTGTTTAACGACCACTTCCACTGAATGTGATATCACAGACAAGTCTTATTTTTCATTTTTATTATCTCAGCCCACGCGCAGGGGTCTTTCCTGTGGGAGGAAACTGGAGTACCCGGAGCAAACCCACAAGGTCGAGAAGGCGCCCCTATTTCCAAGCTACATACGCTCACACCAGGGGTCGAAACCACAGCTGCAAGCCAGAGGTGACCGACCAGCTAGAGGTCGAAGCGCGTCATTCTAGACCACTATGCCATCCCAACCTCCCTAATATCTCAAGTTTGTCATCAATATTTATACCACCACTGATATTGAATTTTTATCTTCAATCTTACTAATAGCCCAGTCAGACCAGGGTGGCATCTTTACTGCGATGCTACAGCGCCGGTCAAGATCGGCATAGGCGTGGTAAAAGTGTGGTGGAAGCACCAGATATCGTGCCGTGGTCTCCATGGTCACCGAATAACAGCTTTTGTTTTGAGCATGTTCAAAACAAGCGCCAAGGTTCTACGATCAGGCCCCGAGTTCACAAAGCATTCTCAGACTTAAGTTGAGAATTTACTCAAAATTGTTCGCCTTATTTTAACTACAATATAGCCCTTTATAATAATTCTGTTGTTTTAATGTATCAAACACATCAATGGGAAACTATGTGCAAAGTTTTGTGTTTCTGCATCAAAGATATTTCTCATAAACAGTGATTGAAAGTTGAGCAAATTCTCAACTTAAGTCTGAGAATGCTTTGTGAACTCGGGTCCTGACCTGGAAAACTGTAAGAACACGACTTTTTTCAAGTTTGTAATTTTTTGGGACATTTTCTCGCGTTGTATTTACGTTTGCAATGTATTTAATTTTATTCTTCATCAATATTCATGACTCATATTTTGGTGTCAAAAATCTGTATTATCTTTAACTGTAATGTCTACCCTGCTGTCATAGATTACAAATCTAATGACAGAATTAACATGATATATATAACAGCCTTATCCTTGGTTACTTTATGAATATTAAATGAGGTGTAAATTACAATAACAGCCTGAAGGTATTGGAGATAAGAATGTGTTTAATTACCTGTGAACCATAGATATAATTATCTAACATTTTTCCTCCCAGTGTTTGACCACCGACATCCCATACCTGTAGAGTTACATTCACATTACCTATAAAAATACAACATGAATATATTGCATATTACTGAAGCACTGGTTATGAGCATTACCAGCTCCTTGACCACTGCTACACATCAGACAGTAAATAATAAATCCCTCAACACCAAATCAAAACAATGTGAGAAAAAATTACTTGACAATCAAAGTATCAAAAAAAAAAAAAAAAAAATTGTGGGCTTATTTAGGGTGGCAAAATAACCATCAATGTTATTGGAATATACTTATGTAGTAATGGTTGATGAGTTAGCAATGCTTGTATGATATGATCATGTAATAAAATATAATAAATTACTAGGCAAAACCAAAACATGTAACAACTGTACAATCATGTACATGCACTGATAGCCATTATTGACAAATTACTTGAACGTGTGTTCACTATTCACTGTCTTCTTTTAGTGCTTTGAACATTATAAACAACTGCCTTTTAATTAAAGGTGACAAATGTCAAAGTTAAGTAGAAGGCCTTAATATGTTCACTGTTGCCAGGAAAAACTCCAATACATCTACATGTACAGTTATTTGGTTGCTACCGGTTGTGTAGTTAATTTTAGTAATTGACATATGTAATTGACAGGTTTGTCAATTACTGAAATTAACAACACAATCGGCAGCAACCAAATAACTGTTAATCAAATATAGCTGTCAGGGTTCAACCCGATTTCAACTACGTCCCATTTCAACTACATCCCATTTTGACTACAAATTTTATTACTCTCAAAATCCTGACCCCAAACTAATCCGCACTGAACTGTTCCACTGATTAAGAGATGTAATTAATGTAATGATTATTGTTAAAATAGATTATTCATTATACATTATAGTTTGTTTTCTTTAACATCAAAGCAAAAATATCAACTCAGACTCAGAGTATATTTTTGTTCAGTCTGATTAAAATACAGATCTATATTTCGTTTTGTTTTTTTATACTTTCGATGGCATACACTACATGAAGATCTGACCAGTTGAACTTGAAGTAAAAGGTTGCGTCAGAGGTAGTACAAACGTTTTTTGACCCTATAACGTCAGACATTGGTTAATCAATCAGCGTTGACGTTTCTAGTGGTTTACCCACAGTTTCATGCATCGCACGCCAAGAAGTTGCCGTAACAGATGGTTTTATTGGCTAATCCCTCATGCCATCCAGAAAGCAGGTTATATAACAACTCTTCCAGGTTCTAGTGTAGTACAGACAAATAAAACGAAAGTTTGGATTATAAAAAATGAAACGATACAGGATCTGTGTTTTAATCAGATTGATTTTTGTTTTGACCAATATTTGGAAATTACATTGAGTTTAATACATGCTTATCTACATCAGATGAATTGTTTCAAATTTTTTACATTTATTTTTCAAGTTTACTATCATTCAGTCAAAATTTTTGTTATCTTATTAGAATTCCTTATAACAAATATAAATATAGTGTTTACTTTCAAATTCAGGAATTTGGAAGTAGAAATATTTGTTTATTTATTTATTAACAATAACATTGTTTTGTGTGTAAATGGCGGGACTTCATGAAGTAGAATTCGTTGTTTCTCAGAAGGGTAAGCCGCAAGTGTTGCTGGATGGATATGTGTATAGAAAAATAATGAGTGCGGTGAATGTATTCATTGGAAGTGTGTAAAGGCAACCTGCAGTGGAAAATGTACCACAATGGATCTATACGTTCTAAATGTTTCAAACCACAACCACCACCCACTGTTTGGACTACCAGTGCATTCTAAATACATGTATACTCTTCAAAAAAAGTAGGGGATATTCAAAAACAATACAAAACTGCAGAAATGCACTGCTGTTTTTATTAGAGGTAACCATTGTATGTTAATAACAGGCCAATTGCCTACACATGAACATAAACAGTTGATATGGGCGGCTTATCTGACGACCCCATTTCACATGCAAAGAGATACATTGTCAAAAGTGAAAATGGACGTTTTTGATTTTTGTCTTAATAATGAGTAATTGCTCCACCAATCCTAAGACATTCAGCAATTTGTCGTGGCATGCCCCTAATCAACCGTCCAATCGCGATTTGGGGCAATCTGACCCACTCCTCTTGCTGTGCCACGGCCAATTCTTGCAGTGTTGTTGGTTGACGTTGACGTCGACGATCACGTCTCCCGATCAAATTAAACATTGCTAAACAGTAAATCTTATGCAAGAACCGATAGGAAAACAAACATGGATAGGATAAACCAGCAAGCGGCAGTTTTCATCAACCCTTCCTTGAAGTGTCAAATTTGACAATGAAGCCCCCAAAGTGTACGGCACTATTGCGTGTTGCACATGCAGCTCAGTGGTTCTGTTGGGGCGATAAGTTCTTCATCTGTGAACATACTCTCAAAGCATTTCAAGTGTCCATGACTATTTATCATATCACAACCTGCATAGGTATATGCATTTCAATATCCCCTACTTTTTTTTGAAGAGGATATTATGTTTTGACTATTGTTTCTGTGTTTCTATCTATATATTTCCTATCTTGTTTTGTAAAATATTTTATACAATTTCTATATAAATTAATTTTTAATTCTTTTTTCTGTTTGTTTTGATATAATCTGTTATACACTGCAGCTATAGAGAGGGTATAAAGTAGATATAATAAAACCATCAGACCATATAATCTGTTGTTATAAGCTGTAGTCGAAATGGGAAGTAAACAAAATGGGTGGGCACCATCGTGGTAGAGATGTCACATATGTACACTATTACCCCTTCAAACTTAGTTTAAATTAGCTATAGCCAAACCCATTAGTTTGTTTTCACACAACCATCATGTCTTATCTAGAATTTAGTGAAAGTTATTTTGCATGTACAGTGTATATCTAAAAAAAACCCATTTTGATGTAGTTTTTAATTAGTAACAGGAAGTTTAGCAGTTTTGAAATGTTGGCCAGTAGCTGGTGAATAATAATTGTCAATATCCAGTTTTCTCCCAATTTGTCAATGTTTAAAATATTCACTGCTAGTCCATACATGTCATTTCTAGATCATTAACTAATAAATACTACTGAATGTATTAATAGTCAAATTTGGGATGCTTTTTATTACACTCCTCAAAATAACAAATACTTCTCATCATCTGGGCTCTGTTGCATATGTGTAAGGAAATGAAATGAAATGAAATGGGGTTTAACGTCCTACTGTTCTGCTCCTATACTGGGCTAATGAAGACGGGCATATGCCATACAGTGTGCTATGAGGGAAATTTTGCCCGGGCAGCGGCACTATCGCCTACTCTTATAGCGAATTCCAACTGCCAAGGGATATTTTACATGTATACACAGGACCTCGGTTTTTCGTTTCATCCAAAGGACTAGACAGCTGTCCTTGTCAGGCCCTCTGTTCTGCACCACTGACAAGGGGAAACCACGTCGGAAAATCCAGATGAACTTTCTCGGCCAATGCAGGGATCGAACACTCGACCTCCAGGCTTCTTAACCACCTAGCAACAATATGTGTAAGGATTAAGAACATTAAATCACACAATTTACCATAAAGCTCTATGTACATTTACAGTCGACAGTTTAATACAATGAAGCCCTGATGAAAACTGACAAGCACAGCAGCTTCACATGAACAGTCACAAGAATTATGGACTAAAATATCATTAACAGTACACCATTCAGTTTTAAGCTAAGCAATGGGAAACAAAATTGTGTACAGTATTTTATTTTAAAATAAAATACTGCAGAAAATGTGTAACTGTCATTTTCCTGAAAGTTACCTAAGCAGATTAAGGCGGGCATCTTTTTTTTAAAAGGTATTTTGTGGTCTCTTGTATTACATTTATCTCACTATCGTGCAAGTGTTTTTCACTATTTCAGACAGCTCGTCTTTAACTGAACAATATCTGTCACATATTACCTGGAAGAGTAATTCTTTTTAAGTAGAAATCTAATCCAACTGTTTGTCCATATTGTTTATTAAACTGTTCTTGAGAATATCTTGTACAGAGAGAGGTCTGAAAAATAAACATACAAGCTTAAATGTTCCATTCCCTATGTGTCTACATGTACATGTATACTATAACAATTATGTACATGAGAGGTGAGATTTGACTGAGTGTTCAGTGCCTTGTTAAGATTCATGTATCCCAAGTGGGTCATGCAATAATTTTGATTCAACTGGGAAATGGATATTTACAACATGAATTTAATAAAATGTTATTATTTAAGATTATAATGACTGGGAATTCAAGTGTTTAGAAAAAGCTGCTTCTTGTTTTTTAAAAAAAAAAGAACAAAAAAAAAAGACATAAGAATAGGGCCTATAGAAAATCAAATGCTATGTTATATAAGAAATTTAAAATAGATATAGATGTATTAGGTTTTTTTTTCCATTGTTGTCAAAAAATTAAATCATAAAGAAGATTATTAACCAATAAAACTTTAGTAATAAGCTTACATATTGATAACATGTTGTAGGCTACATTGCAATTTGTGTGTACAGGTATTGTATTACTAGCTAGTAATGATCGAAAATAACATGTATACCAGATGAAGAATAATAGGCTTAATCCTAATTAGTATTAATATTAATGGATAATGCCATTAACTAACATTGTTTACAATATTGGTCTGAACATGTTTTAAAACAAAAGGCCAATGACAGCTTGAGAATACTAGTTTAGTAGTTAATACTTATAGTACAGTGTATCTTAGAAACTGTTTAAATTTCTCACCTTTCCTGATGCAGCATCACCCATAACCACAATCTTCAATTTCTTGTCAGGAGTTTCGTCTTCTGAATCAGACATCCTATCTTAACTTGTAAGCTAATTTGTGTTCACTTTTATTTTTATTAGAGAATTGATAACCAAGTTCGTTTACTAGCTAGTACTAGTAGTACTGTTCTAATTTAATTCTTTATTATAATCCTATTCCCATTCAGTTCATATCCTTTACTGATTAAAAACCGTCTTCGCTGTACCAAATACTGGATGACTCCACAAAGACAACAAGCGAATGTGATCGCTGTGGGCAGTGACAGCTATCTGAGAGACTTGTTGATCAGCACTGTCACTGTCAGCAGGGAGTCGAATTTGTTTGCCTTTCTCGAGAGCTGAAAAATTGCCGAGTGTTCATTTCTGCGTCTCAATTACTGATCGTGGATAATCTATCTTTACTCTATGTGGCCAAATATCACTTCATCAATTATGACAAGATTAAGTAGGCCCTAACACAATTCTAAAAGAGAAAACACACTAATCAATAATTGATGTTGAAGGTAACATGTAAACTTCCGGTAAAACAAATGGGAGATAACTCTGATTAAGAAACTGGGTTTTAAAGGATTTAAATTATTTAAGGGACACAGCTGTGTGTAAGTAAAGGTTGATATAATCGCTCCAGGTTTAATGATTAGAAAGTGAAATGAATGTGAGCAAAAACATAGCTTTAAGACACATCATTTGATTATCCAGGACTTGCTTATTATTTAGGCAATCTATAGTTGGATAATTGTCCCTTTAATGGCCAATTTGTGATAAAATATAATAATTATTTTAATTCTTTTGGTGAATAAGAAAACATGCAGTGAAGTGAAAACCTAATTAATGGGAGATTTAAAAAAAAAAAAAAATACATTGAGATTTCCAATTGATGGAGTTAAAGTCTACTAGCCCATCCGAACGAAATTCATGCTGGGGGGAAGGGGGCGGACGGTTAATAGTGCTAGGCAGCCCGGCAATAATACCGTCATTAGGTTTTATTTTAGGCTTCCGTTAATCCCAGCTTAAATGATTTATTTGATTATATTCATAATCACCAAAATGAGTCTGCATTCTGTGAATGGATATTCATGGTAAAATATAAGCATATTTCCGGAATACGTTTATTTCTTTTCTTATTTATATCACATAGCTCATAATATGTGGCATTAATTTTTTGTCCAGATACTTTGCAAAACATTCAGAACTTGTTGATTTTGGTGAAAAATAAAAGTGCTGATGTAATTAAATCTGACAGATTTTCTGATATTTTTTTGATGCGGTAGATGGAAATGAAAAATACGTGCGTATTGTAGATACCGTAAATCAAATGTTGAGATGTAACTGATTTTGCTTTCAACGCCAATGGTTCTTTTACTTGCCCGCCAATTTGTACACGGGTCCTCGGGTTTCGTCCCATTCGAACAACTAGGTGATGTTGTTTGCCATTCCCATAATCCCGTGCAATTGGTAAGGAACTTTCGTGGTCAACACCGGGATTTTACCCGGAACCCCCCAGTTAACGATCAAGCGCATTACTCCCCGAGCCACTGCAGCTCCCCTGTGGCGATCTTAAATGCCGACTGGAAACCTATCCGGGCTTCGGCGATATATTTTTTTATTTTTGTAACAAAAACACTACTACTTCCGGGATACTCGAGAGAAAATATTTTTGACAGTTTATCATTTTTTAACGTGGTTGCCACTTGCCACTACGTCATGTATTACACTTGCCAAGCTACGAATGGATGGGTGCTGCGGTTTACGTGGCAACGTAATCTGATTTTTCATGGTCATTCCAAATATCGTACATTCAGACGAAAATAGGTTTATACGTTCGAACAGAGTACTTAATATGTTCGAGTCAGGCATATCTTAAATCTGAGAAAAAAATGAGCCCCCACTCCAAGTATTATTATTATTTTTTAAACCGCTTCAAAAGTTTTTAGTTGACATATATTTATGATTACAATAAAAACCAAATTATAGCCCTCCTTTCACAATTTTTGTTAAAAGAAAATAACAGGCCTGCAAAATATATGCAGTAGATCGATTTCTATCACAAAAAATAAGTCATTTTGAAAAAGACTTTTGTTTTTTGGGAAAAATAATATACATAGAAATGTATCCCAATGTTTGAATATTTTCCATTTCCTGTTATTAAACAAAACATCGGTTTATTTTTTATAATCTCACGAACATTGAGTACTTATAAATGGTATTTCTGTTATTAATAAATCTGAGGTAATAAAGGCATTAGTTATTGTATTGATACAATAGAACCCATATGCTTCTCGTCTATTTATAGATTAACTATATTATAGCAAATATCTACGTTTACTTGAATACGGGTTAGCATTCAAGAATCGTGCATATGTAAAGGAATTTGTTTTACAATTTTGAAAGAATAGCTTTAAAAATTTTGTTTTTAATAAATGTTGAAATTTGTTTCCCTTTATAATGAATCGCGTGTTATATATTTAGGCCACTCCTTTCTTAATTGGCTATACAAGATACATATAAACGATTAACCCGCTTGATTAATTATCTTTATGTTGCTAAGAATTGTAAAATAAATTTCAATATTTTCCAAGTATTTAAATAAAAAAAAATTTTGATAAAGGATTTTGTTGATAACTATTAAACTTATCCATTACCACGTCACTGACTAGAATTGAACTAGCTTATATATATGGGATGTTGGATAGAAAATTGGAATAACATTAACGAATAAATGAATTGTTAAATGCAAATAATAAAATTGCCTTGACAAGTATTCAATTTAACAATAAATTTTAATCTATCTCGCTAAATTTCGGAAAATAAAATCAGAAATTTACACGAATTGCTATCATAGAAAACATCACGCCAGGTCGCCATATTGTATTAAGTCGATGGGGAGGTCAAAAATATTTGGACTGTTTCCAAAAGAAATACTACTGTGAGTATTAAAATTTTGGTATCATTTTGTCCCAGGTGCTCACAAAATATACGTCCCAAAGTTTCAAATAATTTCACTGTAAAATAAAGGAGATATTTAGACAACAAGACTCGCCCCATACCCCAACTATTAACAAAAATGGCGGAGGGAATCGTTTTTCTGTTATAGTTTACTATCATTCAATCAAATATTTCATCGATTAATAACTAGTGAATCGTAATTAAAATTCACACAAAGTTGGACGAGGCATTTCTTACTTCATAAAAAATGATTTGATTAGTATCCGCCGTACGGTTTTAATAAAATTAAATTATTACAAGGCTATGTGTTAAACAATAAACTATAATATGGTATTTCAAAGTCTTTTTTCTACAATACGAAAGCTCGGAAAATTTTCAAAATTTACCAGGAGAAGGGTAAATATATATCCTTTCGATATATGTTTGACTTTTACGAAATCAATTAAGATTTACGTGTTGTTTTAATGACTGATTGGAGTGAGGAAACACAATAACTATTAACTGTCAGATATCAACCGCTACCAAACAGTTAACTGAGTGGTGCTCTCGCTGACGTCCGCGCGCTGTTGATAAACAAGTGCGTTGTGGCTTGTAACTCTCATTCAAACTTTTACTACGAGCTGAATAGTACTAGTAAACGGCACAATTACTATTATCTTAAAATGGCAGATGCAGACCCCGTCGCAGATGTACCAGTCGCCAAGGCTGCAAAGGTAAAAACACCCAAGAAGAGGGCACCAGCTGGAAAAGGAACCAAGAAACCGTCGAACCACCCTAAATACAGTGACATGGTTAGAGAAGCTATTTCTACATTGAAAGAACGAGGTGGTTCATCAAGACAAGCCATCTTGAAATACATCGTGCGTAATTTCAACGTTGGCAAAGAAGAGAAAACTGTCAACAATCATCTGAAACTAGCCTTGAAAGCTGGAGTTAAAAATGGTAAATTGAAGCAATCCAAAGGAACTGGTGCTTCTGGATCTTTCAGACTTGGTGATTCCAACAAAGCTGAGAAGAAACCAAAAGCCAAAGTCGCCAAGAAGAAGCCAGCCGCTGCTAAGGCCACAAAAGCTAAAAGCCCAAAGAAAGTCAAAGCAAAGAAACCAGCAGCAGAAAAGAAAGCTAAATCACCTAAAAAAGTGAAAAAACCAAAAGCTGCCAAGAAATCTCCTGCTAAAGCAAAGAAGGCCGCTAAACCTAAAGCCGCTAAGCCAAAAGCTAAGAAAGCCGCCAAGAAAACACCCAAAAAGGCAGCAAAGAAATAAACTAACTTTTAATCGGAAGAAAGAAAAGTGAACGTTTTATGAATCTGGACATGTGAAATAACGGACATGGATTTAATTGCGACGGGTATATCATTAACATTATTAGTAAAATCATCTCATTTGTGCTCTCTGAACAATGGTTGAAGTTTCAAGTGCTTGTTTTGGATTGTTAGAGAATTGTTTCAGTATCTGAGACGTTCTATTTGTTAGTTTAAGACATTAAGTTGTTCTATCATTTTTATCATATAGACAATTAGTCGTGATTGACTTTAAACTATCAAATCATCTTGTAAATATATCATCATCGTGCAATGGATTTCATTTTTGTCAATATTTATATTGGTATGCATTTCATACTCATTTAACATTATGTATATTATGTCATATTCATTACTGATAAAATAAAATTACGAAAACCCTAAAATTTTTATTTCATTATGCATGTAAGGAATGAAGAGGCACAGGGTGGGTACATTTCTACCTGTTTGTGTGAAAAGGGGTCAATAAAGGAGGCAAAATATTGTCAGAGTGGGGGGGGGGGTGCTGGTGGGCACATGTTATTTTCAAGGGGTGGGATGAAAATGTTCTTATGGAGAAAATAAATGCTGATGAACAAGACTTGTGATTCAGTTGGTGATATAATTATCGTTAATACATGGTGTCAGAGCAGTCCCCACCAAACCAGGTCAGGGTTATGCGAGAAGATATAATGCACAGCTGGGTTTCTGCAATGATCTGAAGACTAAAGGGAGATAACCAACTTTTTGGTAATTTTAAGATGTATTATAAGAACAGTGTCTACTGTTAATCTCACTATAAATAGTAGTTGTATATTGAAACATAGCTGTATGGCTCAATTGCATATATCAGCAGTTCGGTACCGAAAGTATTTTTGGCAAATCGCCTGAGTAGATTCCCCACTAATCAAACTCAAATTTTTGAAAAACTACTAGCTTTAGAATATAACCCCTGATTACATTGCAAATTTTAAGGTGCCAGGCATGGCATGTTTTTTTTCTGTAGGAACTGAAATCATATTTTTCTGTGATTGTCACATTTGACGTGTCTCGCACGGTTCAGAGACCGGTTATTTTAGAGTAAGGTAAACGGGTCAATTTCTTGAAATTAATCGCGGTCGGTACCATGCCGAGAACGGCACGCTTATCGCAGCCAAGTGTAAACAGGGCTTATGACACAAGAATTGCAAAAGTTAAATTTCAAAATGAAATTGGAGGACAGCCACACACTCCTGGATTTGGTACTGGCAGACTATCAATAGGACAGGAGGAATTATCTCCCTTATTTCCATTTACATGGGTTAGTTAGTTAGGTTCTCACCTGTAACCTCCGCCCACAGGTTACGAATCGTCATAAAAGATATGTCAATTGAGGTCGATCATACCGTCCATATATATCCAATATAATCTACTCTATTCTTTAGAAAATTTATTTAACGCACCCAAAATAGCAAAAACAATTAGTTTTATTTCATGGCATGCACATAAGAACTACATTGTCTCTACCCATCTTTATCAAAATTATTATCAAGATTTTTATTTATTATTATATTTTATATTATATTTCCATGTAAATATTTATACTATGTATATCTATTCTCATTTTTTTTTGTTTTTTTAAGATACAGAAAAACAATATTTCCCCAATATCGGGGTGTAGAAACCTAATACTATTTCACAGCTCCGGTTTAATGAAGATTCTATTGGTCAAGAAAGGTGAAGTAAGAAATTTTTCTTGTCACATGATATAATGATTATATTGCCGTCACATCTATGGTGGAAAGAAATGGGATTAATGTCCGACTGTCCTGCTCTGATTGGGCTAATGAAATGAGCATACACTATACAGTGTGCTATTAGGGAAATTTTGCCAAGACAGTGGCACTACGGCCTACTCTTATATCGAATTCCAACTTCCAAGGGTTCTTTTACATTCATGCCAATGTGTACATGGAATTTCGGTTTTCTGTCCTCTCCGAACGACTATAACTTTCAGGCCCGCAAGTACTCTTTTCTCCTGGTTATAGCGGCTTCTGGACCCACGCCTATCGTATAAGGACCTAGGATGGAAGCCCCCCCAATCAAGACTTGCTTCCGCCGGCCCTGACTTTTCCCTTGCCAGGCCCTCTGTCCTGCACCACTGACAATGGGGGAGGGGGGACACATCTATGGTATAATGGTAATATTACCCCATCACATGTATGGTATAATAATTATATTGCCCTGTCACATGAATGGTATAATGTTTATATTGCCCTGTCACATGGATGGTATAATGGCAATATTGCCTGGTGACATATATGGTATTATAAGGAAAATAACAAATAAAAAACTCAACTTATTTCTAGGAACAAAAAGATGTTTCTATTCAGCTCAGTTTTAATTCCTTATACATGTATATCATTGTGTATCACAGATTAGAAAAAAAATAAAGAGGACAAGGAATTGTTATAAATGATGAACAATAGGCATAACAACAGAATACATGTAATAATAATACTGAAAAATATATGGTATGTACAATTCATGTTTAAAATATTTATTCTTATCACAACAATGTGAACAATAGTAGATTAGGTAGATATATTTAACTTTATATAATATACTATTCAAAAAAAGTAGGGGATATTTGATTTTGGGGGCATAATACTAAAATATGCAAATGACTACGAAAAAAGTCACTATAGAACCTAACAGAAGAAACATTTCCAGTTACATGTGACGTCCAAACGCACCAATAGCTACCGCATGGAATGCAGGTGATGCTTGGGATCATCATGGGGGTCCAACCCAAGATTTGCACGACTCTGACTTTGAATGTTACAGTCATTGTGGCATTGAATTCCAGGTTGGAAACATCAGTTTAATTGTTTTAGTGACCAGAAAACAAATTTTGATATGCGTCGGCTTACCCAAAATGAAAGGTTACGTGCCCTTGGCATGCTACAGATCGGCACAACACAGGCGGTTGTGGCGCGGACGATGAATGTTTCTCAGTCTGTCATAAGCAGGCTATGGTCCAGATACCGTGATACACAATCTGTACAGGACAGACCACGCTCAGGTCGACCAAGGACGACAACTCAAGCCCAGGATCGACTTATCCGTACCTTGACCTTGAGAAATCGTGTCATCACAGCAAATCAGATCAGCGCTCGTCTTCAAACAGACACTGGTGTGAGAGTGAGTGGCCAGACGATTCGGAATCGACTGCATAGGGGTCACCTTCGCGCCCGACGTCCTCGCGTGATCCCTTGTTTGAGAGATCATCACATTCAGGCAAGACGTCGTTGGTGTAGGGATCGTCAACACTGGGATAATCGACGCTGGAGCAATGTGATGTTTTCAGATGAGTCAAGGTTCACTGTTGATTTTTTGGACAGACGAAGGAGGGTGTGGCGTCGTCGAAACGAGTGCTTCCAAGACGTTAACGTCATCAGACATGATCGATTTGGGGGTGGTTCTGTTATGGTGTGGGGAGGCATCACTGTTGCTGGAAGAACGGCTTTACATGTTGTTGCAGGGCGTGTTACAGGCCAGTACTACCGGGACAACATCTTGGCAGTCCATGTTGTGCCGTTCGCACGACGTCATGGCCGCCGTTTTATCTTCCAGGATGACAACGCAAGATGTCACAGGGCCAGGATCGTTACAGGTTACCTCCAACAACAGAACATCACCACATTACCTTGGCCAGCACTGAGTCCCGACCTCTCCCCCATCGAGCATGTCTGGGACATGCTTGGACAGAGGTTACGTCAACGTCAACAACGTCCTGCCAATGTCCAAGAACTTGCTGCTGCGTTGCAACAGGAATGGGACAATCTGGACCAAAATGACCTTAGATGTCTCATTAGGAGTATGCCACGTCGGATCAATGCTTGTTTGGCAAACAGAGGAGGATTTACCCGTTACTGACTTGGTTGTGATGCTGTGGTAACTTTGCTGTTTGACCCCGGGTATCATTTTACCCTTATAATGGTCAGTCTGTGCCTTACTTAGTCTAACGATCATTTGGAATAAATCGATGAATGTGAACTTCATTTCATTTTGTCATTTGTTTCTTCGTCAGTTTCATTAGGTGACTTTAATAACACTTAAAAATCAAATATCCCCTACTTTTTTTGAATAGTATATTATCTTTTAGAACTACAAATATGATCATGTAGCATGGTAAATATGACCATTAAGACCACAAATCTTTATATTTCGGATCATAAATATTTGCATTTAGGATCAAAACTATTCTTATTTTTAATGACCATAAATGTTTTCATTTTGGATCATAATTACTAATATTTACATGATCATAAATATTATCATGAAGGGTCATAAATATTATCATAAAGGGTCATAAATATATTCATGCAGGACCATAATAATTGTTGAGGACCATAAATATCATGACGGACCATGCATAGATATGCTGTGCACATCCACAGAAGGAAAGACATAGATTTGCTTTAGGGGGTTATTCATAATTTAAATCCACTCACAAAAACATTATCATTGACATTCATAGCTTCCAATTTTAGATGTAACTAATAACAACAAAGGAAATAACATTCTGTGATATACATCAGTCAAACAGATAGACTGTTTTAGATTTTTATGTTCTTTATAAAATAAGTATAGCACCTTTATTGTATATCTTTTGTTTATGTTTAAGAAAAATAATAAACAAAGGAAGGAAAATATACAAGATTATAAATATAATAAGGTTTAATGAGACCATTTGAAAGACAGACGTTAAAGCGCTTTCTGACAGTAATGAAATATCAAATATCAATATGATCAAGACAAAATGAAAGTAAGTACCAAATGTGAAATAATGTGCATTATGATATAAATATGCTTATATATTTAAACACATACAAATATTATTCTCTATAGTTTATGATCCAATGTGATTTAAAGTGGAAATTGGATTTATTATTCTTGAGAAAATATCAGTATCGACTTTATTTGGATTTCTCAATTACTCATCAGTATTCTAAATGTTTTCGACAATATATTTTGAATAAATGCTTCTTCCATTCATACCATTATACACTGATTAGGAATATTCCAAAAAGCATCTTCTTAAAACATGGAATTTTGTGACTTTGGATTAAACTCAGAACACATTCCAACACCATTTATACTATATTGATTAATACATCATTATGAGGGAAATGAAAGTAGGGTTTTCAATTTAATATATCACCATAGCGATGCTTAATTGTGTTTCCTGTATATATTCAGAAATGAATGAATTGCAATATATGATACAGAATCATGTTCTGTCAAAGTTCGATACAATAATATTTGTATATAAACAGTCAATATTTGTTTTGTCACTAAATTAATTAGAAGAAACTGCAGAGTTTCCATTATGTGTCACTGTGGCAATTGAAAGTTTTTCGTGTATGTATTTCTGTTTTCCTTCAGCGAAGTCTGCAACTGTTTCACCTGATCCGTGTAGAATCCATTTTGTTGTAAGTAAACCTTCCATACCTACAGGACCTCTAGCATGTATACGAGATGTACTGATTCCAACCTCCGCTCCTAAAGAATAAATAAAAAAATCTTTAAAATATTTTAAATAGATCTACACGCTGATCATCATCTTACAATCTATAATATAGGGAAAGTTGAATATCTAAAATGAATATCAGTTCCGAAAAATAGTTCAATTCCATTCAGTATTGACATGTTAAACTGAAAGATTCACAACATTCAGCACCCTCTGCAGACGATGTATCAAGCCAGTGCCGACCTATAAATGTTGAGTAAATTGTTTTGATAATTTTATTGAATCCAAGACAGGAAATGATCTACCACTGTTGATATTGCTGAATGGGCATATGGATGAACACATTTTAAATAGTCAACCGGACTCAACGGTTTTCTCTAAAATGCTGGGGGGATTTAATAATTAGACCTGCCTGGAAATCAGAAGAGTTCCATATCTTCTACCTTCTACCTCTACTGTATTTCTTATAGTTTTTAAGTAATAAAAAACGAAAATAAATTACCTAATCCAAATCTATAACCATCAGCAAATCTGGTACTAGAATTATGGAACACACAGGCACTATCAACCATTTGTAGAAATCTCTCAGCATGGTCATCTGTAATAAAAACATTTAATATCATTATAATATTAAAGGAACATTCACAAATATATTTGATGAATAAAACTTATTAATGTGGGGTTAACGATATTGCCATTCTTTGGCACAGTGATGTATAAGTATTTTAAAGCTCTATGTTGACAAAAACTCCATTTTGTAAGTGTCTGGATAACTATGTAGAGATCAGCATGATTATCAAGTCACTAATACTAATAAAATCTTTAAAGCAAATCACAGGTTTATTTCCAAATGGTTTAATATTATGATTTGAAATTTTGAGACAAGATAAACAGGTTATGCTGTTACATTTTCGTGTTTGATTTACAAACTTAAATCCTTTTTATTTATCTTGTCCTGTGAGTTATGGTATTCCCCCTTGAAGGTTATAGTTGGTCAAAATGTGTCACACATCTTCTATGCAGTGTAAGTTTTTTGTCCTATCCAATGAGCTACATACTTTGTCATCGTCAACCATGAGTTAAAGGACTGTGGTTTTGACATGTAAGTGATGAAAACATATCTCTATTTGAGGAGAGATTATAAACATTTACTAACCATTTTCAGTAACTATGGTATCAGTATGAGAGCTGCCATATTGGTTTATATGATTTATAGCATCATCAACACCATCAACAATTTCTACGGCACATTCAAGGGCACCATATTCTTTCTTCATATTTGTCTCTTCTGGTGGACCAAACTTAATGGCCTCAGCTATTCTTGGACCCAAGTGTATCGTGACCTTTAGAAAACAGAAATATTGTATATTAGACCATAACTGATCAAATTGCACGTATTTAATGTATGCTATTGAGTATTGACTATAGCAAAAGGTAAACAGAAAACCCCCAAATTGAGCTGAAAAGCATGACTGTATTTAGTCACTTGGTACAGCTGAACCTGTAAATAAAGTTTAGACGAAGAGAAATTATTCAACAACATCTGCTGGATTGCACCCTACCAGATTCCTATACTGCTGATACTGTGTTCATCAGTGCTGACACCAGTGTGATTAACATTAACAACATATTATCCAGATGAGTGAAGTTAGAACTTACATTTGCTTCTTTGAGTGTATCACAGATACTGTCAAACAATGGAGTATATATATGAGATTTATGTAATAATAATGTTTCCATGGCATTACATGCTGCAGGGTAATCACATTTAGAATCTTTTACTGAAAAAAAAATTAAAAATAACCAAATAAATTATATATATTTTATACTGTGCCTCTTATCGGTTGATCTTCAACTGAGAATCGTTAGTAGTGATATTTAAAAAGAAAGCAAATTGGATTATTGCCCAAGATTTAAAATGGATCATCTACAGGCCCGTAGCCAGCCTCTTGGCTGCGGGGGGTGGGGGGGGGGTGGTGTCAGTGAACTTTTTAGAGGGGTGGGGGCAGGGAGTTTTCTCTGACCGGACGAAGGGAGGTACCGGGGTCCTCCCTAGTCACGGATCATGAGGTCGCCTAGGTGGTGTCTCTCCTCTCGGGGTTTAGGGGCTCAGGGGTCCTTCCCACCCCCCCACCCGAGAAATTTTTTGAAATTTAATACTTAATTCTAAGCAGAAAAACTATCACAGAGAGGGGGCCAGTAGGAAGGGTGTCCCACTGTCAGCCTGGGCCCAATGACATTGGTTCGATAATTCTTGTCAAGCGAGCTGGTTGAGTGAGAAACGGGGGCCTGATGAAAATATTGGACAATTAACAAGACCGCTACCTGTTATGGAAATATTTCTGATATCAACTTCCCGCTGCTAACCAACCCAACATGGAATCGGTGCCCCCCCCTGCCTAATAATTTCAAAATTCATCGAAAAATGGCCACTAATTTTCACGATTTTTGGGAAATGGGACTTCATATTTTTTTTCTACGAAATACCAAATTGCCGAGCCCCAAGGCATTTGCCTCTGTTGCCCATGCCATGATCCGTCACTGCTCCTCCCCTGGAAAATTTTGAAAATTAGACGGCCGCAAACGCGTTTTCTAGCTCAGAAAATCATTCTCTAGCAAACTCTGAACAATGAACATAGTGACAAGACAGGGACCCCACGACAGTGGGACATTGAGCAAGTCAGTACAAAATATAGGGCAAGATAGATGTCAGAAGGGGGGTTGGGATGGCCTAGTGGTCTAGAGTGTCACGCTTCGACCTCTAGTTGGCCGGTCACCTCTGGCTTGCGGCTGTGGTTTCGATCCCAGGTGTGAGTGTATGTGGCTTGGAGATAGGGGCGCCTTCTCAACTTCGTGGGTTTACTCCGGGTACTCCGGTTTCCTCCCACAGCAAAGACCCCTGCGCGTGCGCTAAGATCATTAAAATGAACTTGTCTGCGATATCACCTTCGGTGGAAGCGGACGTTAAACGCTAAGAACAACAACAACAACAACAGATGTCAGAACATAAAAAATAATATGAGACTGGGTGCAAATCATTTTTTCGGCTGGCTACCGGGCTAATCATCTAGACTCAATCCTCTGCTGATAATCAACAAATCAAGCACATATATATGGCATGTAGAATGTGATCATACTGTATCATATGAGCACATCCCAGGATAGTTAATACTAGGTAGCACAGGAAGTCAAAATATAAATTCAACCAAATGAGTTGTTTTTCTGGAAAGCTTATCAAGTGCGTAAATCCAGAAATTGTTTTTAGTAGAAATGAAGAAAATAGCGATTTGGTTAATATGTTACTAACCGATCCTCAAGGCCATCTCTGGATTGACACGTTCATCAACATACACATGACAAACACCTTCACTATGCCCCAATACTGGAATACCTACAATACACATAACACAGATATTTATCAATTAAAACTCATCCAAATTTGCATGTCTGATTTAGACTTGTGAAAGACACGGTTGACGATTGATTTTTACAGAAACGCATAATAATGTATGTCTAATTATGTATGCAACCTCAATGAGCAAATTTAGTGATCATTTCAAAAAACGTATTTGGGCTATTTCACACTTAATTTTGGCTATTTTACACTTAAACATACATTATGCAAGAGCTAAATCTGCCTATTGCAGGTCTTTCTTTAGGCCTGAAATGTAACTAAATTATTAATTAGACAAAAATTAACATATCCAGGCCATAATCAATTCTCGATGTTACCGCTAGCCTGTGATATTTACTCGATTAGGATCTGATTTGCTGCTCAACGTTTTTTATCGTACCGACTTTAGTATTGATGATCGAGGCTAGGCCAAAAATTCAATCGCTAAAATCTCGGTTCAGAGTGGATCAATTTGACAGAAATTTTCAGCAAATTCCCTTTACATTACCTAGTTTTTTACTATTATTGTGAGAACGGTCAGCTCTTTATCTAATCTCCCATAATGTATCTTTAAATCCACTTTAATCAGTGGATACCCTGTGGAATTTTGAACTATTCGTATAAAATATAAATTGAATTGTTTGCATTACTAATTAATTTCAACCAACTAAAATACTTGACTTATAAATATACTGAAAGGTAGATTTGTTAGCTAGACATTTGCAATATCAGCCAGACAAGATAATTACTCAAAAGCTCAGCAATGGACATTATATTCCTGCTTATGTTGTATAGAAATATAATTAATTTACTGTAACTAACCTTTACTAGCTTCTTGTATAGTTTTAACAAGTTCACTAGAACCTCGAGGTATAACTAAATCTATATCATCTGACATATGTAATAAATCTTGTATATCTTCACGGCGACTCACCTAAACATAATAAAGTATACATACAGAATTTACAATATTTATTATTTGTAATTTTAAGTGCAGAAGATGGATTGATGAAAGTTTCATCATGAAAAACATCTATCTAAGATTTTTGGCTGTAAACCTGTTTATCATGCAGTCAATGTTCAAAATACTTTAGTTTTTTCAGGATTGATGCACACATTTTACTTTCTCTTAGTGGACATAAGATGTGACTTTTAGTGTATTTGTTAGATAAATGCTATTAGATTAATGTAACATACCAACGAGATGGTTTCCTTTGGAACAAACATTCCTAAAGCCTCTTCCACCAGTCCGTGTAATATTTTATTAGTAATGGAAGCTTCCTTACCACCCTTTAATAACAGACCATTACCACTACATATAGCTAGAGCTGCCACCTGAAATACAAAGTTAAAGATTAAGAATATTTTAATGGGTCGGATCTGGATGGTGAGCAGTCAGATGTGGCTTCTATTTCCTGGATAGGGCTTTATAAGTTCATGGGGTTTTCCTCCTCCCTATCCTTTTAGATGTAAAGGTTTTAGAGATCTAATATTAAAATTGTTTAAATCTATTCCTATTTGGCATAAAATTGGACCGTTTTAGCGGGGTTTTATTCATACATGCATACAGCGAGGGAGTGGTAGATGTATTTTAGACCTGACAAAATGCTTCAGATTGTGCACATTGGATTCAGACATGTTTTTCTGAACTATTTTATCGTTTGAATCTACCTGAGGAAGCGCATCTGGTCTGGATTCAAAAATGACCATTAATACACCGATAGGTACAGTTATCTGTCGTAGTTCCATCCCTTTTGATATCTGTGTTCTCTTTATAACCCGACCAACAGCGCTTAGAGCATCATCTGCTATCTGTCTTAAACCGTCTGCTAGAGTTTGAAGTTTCTTCTCATTCAGAAAAAGACGAGCCACCATTGGACCAGTTAATCCTAAAGGATATGAAGAAATGATTTCATTTGCAGAATTGTGAAATCAAATAAATTCCTAAAACATTCCAAAAGATTTCAGATCCAAGACTTTTCATTTCATCAATGTTCTAGGAACGATTTAGGGAATATGTTCTATTATTTTGAAATCTGGGTGAACCCATGGCCTGAAGGTTCTTATGTTGTCTGAAACCCAATCATGGGACTTACCAGTAATTTGGAATGGATTGGAGGTCAATGTTATTGCTCATTTGATACCACTTAGAGGCCGAGATCACACAGATTAAGTGTATTATAGTTAGCATAAAATCGACAAATGGGAATCTGCAACACAAATCTTGACATTCTGTTTTAATTGTATTGATTGGTTGTATATATAATGTATGAGATGATGTTTTAATTTTCTCTTTAATGAACTACTATACCTGCTGCATAGGCGGAGCTAACATCCTGCTGATTGGCTGTCAATATGTCAATCTTTCTCTCTATCAATAAATCAGCCAATCGATGGACAATTGCTGCTCTTTCTTTACCACTTAATGCCTGAAGTAATCTTCCTCCTTCTCGAGCTATAATATATTACATTCAATTTGTTTGATTTGAACATAAAGATTGGTGTAATGAATAGATTTTTGGTGGATCTATTGTCTTAGTAATCAAAAAACTAATATTGCTAGAAAGTTTATTTTGTGGAATAGGTTAATGTTTCGACTAAAATAAAAACTATGGTTCAGAGTTTTGTTTTTTTGTGAATATTTAAAGAAAATTTTCTAAGACTGTTTGAGTAGACTGTTTGGTAGGAACTGACAGGAAAGTCCTCCCCCACCCATTTTACATATGTCAGTTTAGGAATTCTAATTTTAAAACTATTTAAACCTCTACCTATTTGGTATCAATTTGGACCACAATCCAATTAAGTTTGGCTTTAGTCATAAATGTGGATGTGAGTGGTTCACATATATTTTAGAATATCTTTGGTCAAGACATCACTAAATGAAAAAGCTACTTCTGACTGTATACATAATGTGCTTGTACCAAGTAAAACTGACATGAAGTGATTTGATGGTTGAATGGTCATAAACTAATGTTATAAATGGATATAGGTATACGAGTATGTATAAAAGTATGAAAAGAGTAAATATGATGACCGTGAACTGACCTTGTAATGCCTGTACTTCTACTGGTGTACCAGTTGATGGTTGAGATGTAAAAAATGTTCCAACTTTCTTCCCTTGACTGATATTAACTATAGCATTATCTTCACATCCATTACATATAACACATGATACACCATGTTTTAACGCCCATGTAGCAGCTACAACCTATAAAATTTATTAACCAGTATATTAAAGCACCACTGTGTCAGAATAGTTACAGACACAGAGAAATGGTTTCATTTGTCGGATAAAAACACCCCCAAAAAAGTTATTTAGAACTAACATATATTGGCTGGTCAAACTAACATTTGATGTAGAACAAATTGGAACAAAAGGTTTTTTGATTTCTATTGACTCATTATGATGTCCTAAGTAAGAAAAAAGGAAGTTTACCAAAATCGGAGTCCAAATAAGGACAGGGGGGGGGGGGGGCGTAGTCAAATCCAAGATGGCAGCTATCTACCAAAATTTAGAACTCCAAATCTACTGGGTTTAGATACCATAAATGTATTACGAACAGATAGGAAATCGCTACCAGCATGTCAATAGAAATCAAAAAAACTTTTGTTGCAATTTGTTCCACGTACCACTTTATCCAGCTGTAGATTTACCAGCCTAACACCTTTAATTCAGTAACTTGTCTGTGAACAGGGGTCTTTAGCATTGGGAAGAGAAGACAATACACCATCAAAAGTATTAAAATAAGGTATTGTCATTTAAAGTTTACTACATTGGTTTCTATTGATCTTACTGCCATTATGAATTGAAGTATGGTATGACATTTTGGACATCAATGTTTATGTTATCATGATGAATTGATGGGTGGTATTCCATTTTGGACATTGATGTTTATGCTATCATGATGATGAATTGACATATGGTATTCCATTTTGGACATCAATGTTTATATTATCATGATGAATCCACAGGTGGTATTCTATTTTGGACATTGATGTTTATGCTATCATGATGATGAATTGACATGTGATATTCCATTTTGGACATCAATGTTTATATTATCATGATGAATCCACAGGTGGTATTCCATTTTGGATATTGACGTTTATGTTATCATGATGAATCGACAGATGGTATTCCATTTTGGACATCAGCGTTTGTGATATCATGATAAATTGTTGTGTGGTATTACATTTTGGACACCAACAGTTATGTTATCATGATGACTTGACATGTGATATTCCATTTTGGACATCAATGTTTATGGCCATAGATTAAGTATGTGCTAACTGGTGCTAATAGGAAATAATTGGTTAGGCTTAAGATAGTCCTGGACTCCTGACTGAAATCTAGATGTCTGATATACCGTACATCTGAATTAAATGAAATAGGGTTTAACGTCCTTTTTTTCTCTTCCGACTGGACTAATGAAGAAAATATTTGAATTAAAGCAGGGCTACCATTTAGTTCCGTATAAAAATACTGGTTAACAATTATCAAATAATTTAAATTCCTACGACATCTTCATATTATTAGAAATTTGGTGTCTATTATAAGACTCACCTTTGATTCCATTCCACCCAAACCAACTCTAGATTTCTCTCCAAATACGATTTGATCCACATCACTATCTGGACAATATGTGTGGAGTAATCTTGATCCGGGTTGTCCTGGTGGGACATTATATAATCCATTAACATCAGACATGATAACCAGTAAATCAGCATCGACCTCCACAGCTAATCGAGCTGCTAAACTATCATTATCTTTTACACTTATAACCTGAAAATAAACAACCATTTGTGATCATTTTCATGGACAATCATTAAAGTGGGTGGCAGACAGCCTTCTAGGACTGGAAAGTGACAGATGTATGGAGCGATAGAACAGCCAATAAATTAAGTATCAATCTAATATATGACATTATAAAGGTAAGCAGCAGATATATATTATATAAGTAATTAATATAAGTATAGTTAACAATCTGATTAAAACACAAATACTATTTCGATTCGTTTTTTATAGTTCACAATTTTGTTTTACTTATTTCACTATACTAGGATGATAGGATCTGGAAGAGTTGTTAAATAGCCCATTGATGTGAGGGATTAGCCAATCAAATGGCCTGTTGGATCGGGTTCTTAGCATGGAACTGTGGGTAAACATTCGCAACGATAAAAAAACCCCAAACACCAACACTGATCGGTTAATCGAATGACTGACGTCATAGGGTCAAAAGCCTCTCATATGACCATTGACAGAACCTCTCACTACCTCAGATCTTCAGGTAGTGGAGGCCATCGAAAGTCTAATAAAACGAAATGAAATATAGATCTGTATTTTTATCAGATGGTATGTTAAATACATTCTAATTGTTAAGCATATAATACTAAGAGCTGAGTTAATTAAAGATATATTCAACTGATGTTCAATCTTCTAATTATATTTGATAACTGTTACTATATAAAACAAACACGAAAACCAGTGCCAAAAACAATAATGTTTGACTTTATTAAAGCTGGGGCCTGTTTCACGAAATTTTAACTAAGATAAAATTCAAATTTTTGTAATTTAATTGGCTAATATTAGGTTGATTTTAGTGCTTAGCCAATCAAAATTGAAGTATGCACTAAAATTTGGAATTTATCTTTAGTTAAGATTTCGAGAAACAGGGTCCAGGTTACTCATTTGAGCTTATTCTGTCAATAATTGTCAGGCTAATATTGGCAATGACATATGCAGGCCAAGAAATTTAAAAACATAAATTCAGAATACTTGAAACTCTTAATCAAGCAAAATATGCTGTACAATTTATTTTCTTGAAAGCAGAATAGAAATAAAATAAACAGTTATATTTCTTATGAAAAGATTGTTCAGATTTTAACATGGTAATTGTTGTACTTAAACAAAAGTGTATGAGGTGAGTGAGTGCCATGCTGTTGGAAGAAAAATTGAAATGTGAGGAATTATTCATCTATACGGTAAAGGCCATACAAAATAATATTGAGGTTCTTAGATAATCCTTCAAGAAAATATGATACAGGAGGGAGGTTTCTATTTCTTTTTATACATAAAATATCTACATGTGTAATTAAGTAATTAATAATAATGTTTTTATTTTTTTTGAAATAATATAATGTTTTATCTGAGAACCGGAACATTTTTTTATATGGCACAACTATAAAGTATTAATTGTTACTTTTCATTACTTTAGTGATATATAATAGCAGTTAATTAATATGAATTACTAAACTATAAGAACTTGTTAATTCATAGAGTACTTTGCAAGATGACGAGAAATGCTCAAAAAAATGCTATGTTATTATATAGAGTTGTTTCCCTTGACACATTAAATTTGCATTTGAGTGATCATAAAACAATCAATAGGAGCAATCTTGTTTAAAGTGAATAGTCATAGAAATATTTGTTGTTTTATTCAATTTTACTATGGTTTTATTTGAGAAAATTATTAGAAACATAAAGAATTATAAACATTAGTTTATCACTAAAACCTGTAATGGGGCATCAGGAACAGTGGAATTTACTCAAGAGAGAAGCTTTAACTCCCCCACCCCCTCCCCCTAAATATTGGGATATGATATTTTTGAAGATTTACATTAAACATTTCTCTTTTAACAATTTCAAGTTTTAGTGATAACCATTAGCGTTACTTCAGACTTACTACAACTATAGGTAAAGACAAGACTAAAAGTGAAAACTAGCAAAATACATGGAGAGGCAGAGAGCGAGCAAAATCTAAATCAAGCTTGTCATGTGCCTCAAATTTCCGATATAAATCTTGATTTTGGCCAATTGTCCAAGGCCTTAATTTCTCATGTCAGAACTAAGGCACATGTTTGATAGATGGTGTGAAATAAAGATCAAAAGGGACATATTCATGAGATCCTTAACTAAAATATTTAAAGGATAAGTACATCTTTTTTATTGGTTAAGAATGAAATACTACATTTTCAGTGGTGGAGAGGTAATATATGTTTAACTATTAACCAATTAAAAGAATGTATTTTATTTTAGTTAAGGTTATTATAAATATGGTCCCAGGTCTAGATCTGTAGGGACAGTTCGATAGGTCACACATATACTTTTATACATACACCCTTTTTGTATTTTTCATCAGCATGAATTTTATAAGATTCCAACTGAAAGCAGAATACATATTTTGAAACAAGGCATAAGAAAATTAATTTGACAGGGCTCGGTTTCACAAAATATTCTCCGACTTAAGTTAAGAATTTACTCAAAATTGTTCGCCTAATTTTAAATAAAATATAGTCCTTTATAAAACTGTTGTTGTTTTAATGTATCAACTACATCAATAAGAAACTATGTGCAAATTTAAGTCTGAGAATGCTTTGTAAAACCGGGGCCTGATGATCTGATTATGGATGGAGGAATAATGAAAACTGTCCCTACAAACATGTTAAGGCTTCGGAACAGCTCATCTTCTGCACATGCAGTTAAAGGCTTGATGCAACATTTACATTTTCGCTAACGTATCAAATTTATCATGGCATAGTGCATGCTAAATATGTACTCAGAATTCAGATTGGTTATTTAACCTTTAAATTAAGAAAACAAAATCAAAATACAATAGCTAGATAATTTCCCGACTGGAATTCAATCGGATTTAAACTGGACCCATTAGGTTTGTCTGCTATCAAGAAAAGATTGCGGCGGAATGTTACACTCAGGCGGCATAGATCGATGAAATTGAACCATTCTTGGGCTGATATTCCTATTAAACTTTCACAGGGATCCATATATCACTAAATGACACATCAAGCCTTATATGGTAGATGATTAAGTTATATCTTGAATTATGAACTTTACAGCTTCCTACATTCCAGTATGCTGAATATGGAATTTAAACATACATTATGCAAGAGCTAAATCTGTCTGTTGCAGGTCTTTCTTTAGTCCTGAAATGTTATCTAAATTATTAATTAGACATTAATTAACTTATCCAGACCCTAATCCATTCTACATGGCTTCGCTAGCCTGCGATCTTAAGTGGGTTGTGATCCGATTTACTGCATAACTTTCCTTCTCGATTAAACGATTAAATGGATAATCGAGACTATGCTGTTTAACGTACTGACTTTAGTAATGATGACCGAGGCTAGGCAGATATTTTATTCGCTTAGTTCTCAGTTCATAGTGGATCAATTTGAATGAAATTTTCAACAAATTGCCTTTACGTTATCTAGTTTTGAATTATTATAGTGAGAACTGCCAACTCGTTATCGAATCTCCCATAATGTATCTTTAAAAGATGAACATTAGCCTTTTTTACTGTAAAATACATTAGCATAAGCAATAGGTTTCTATTGACTAAAGCTACTCAATATGTTAGAATTATAAGTGATGAATTTTTCTATTGTTAGCTAAGTTGTGGAGAAAATTAAAAAAAAAATCAATTTACATAAAACTAAAGTATTTTTATATACTATTTAGTTTTATGTAAATTAAATACTTTATTTAAACATACATTATGCAAGAGCCAAATCTGCCTATTGCAGAGACATTAATTAACTTATCCAGGCCATAATCAACTTTTGATGGCAACGGATTTCTCCAATATGAAATAGATTAGAACAGTTCAGCCATATTTTGATTTAAGCTAAAAATGGAAGAGCGAGACATAGCTTTGAACAACCAGTACCGTGGTTGAAAATTCAAACCTTCAAAGGCTAATATCTTCGCTTGCAATAGAGTAATTTGAATGAAATTTTCAAATTATTCATTTTACATTATCTATTTTCGAACTATTATAGCAAGAATGGCTAGCTCTTTATCTAAATCTTACATAATGTATTTTTAAATAAATGTAGAATGCAAAAACATTTTAAATCGTTACTCCCAAATGATGAATAAACAAAACATAACAAGGGCAAAAAATCAATTAAAATAATCATGCTTCAGTGGTGCGTGGTAGAGGGCCTGACAAGGACAGTGTCTAGTCATTCGGAGGGGATGAAAAACCCATTACTTACCCCTGCTAAATCTTTATCAGATTCTGGTGGAGGAGCTACTGCATCATTAGCATTTAATATTGGAATAATATTTAACTTGAGCAATTCATTTAATGTACTGTGTAAGTTCTTTCTTGTGAATTCATTGTAAAAATCTGGTTTTGTCAAAAGAACCTTAAAATAAAAAATAAACATTGACTGTTGCCATCAACAAATATATGATCAATTAGAGACAGATTATAATGGAAGCTGCAGTCACAATATGGCCTGTTAAAAAGTTGACTCTCGGTCAAAGGGGGTGGTAAGAGTTGGTAAATGACTGACATGAGATTGTGAGGGCCAAGAGCTGAATTCAAGATGGCCTAATTGGCAACTTATTATCCTTTGTGTGCTTAGTTCCAATATAGCTCAAGAATAGCATTTATTGACCTTCAAATTTTGGAAATCTATCAGGAGAACCCCTCCCTTAACCACAGAGGAAGATAACCCACCAGAACAGATCTACCATTGTGCCCAGTAATTGGACTAGCCTATATTAACAATAATATTGTTATACTCTATGCATTTATTAGAGCATCAATATGTTGAAAAACTAAAAGATACACTTTAGTAAAGACAGATTATTCAACTATTCATTGAAAGATGGGCATTGATTGAATTATTTATTTTACTTCAAAAGTGTAGGAGTTAAACACAATTCATTTGGGTATTGTCTACAGTGTTAAAGCATAGATATTTCTCGAACTAAGATAAAAAAATGCCCTAATATTTACCTGAGCTGTTCGTATACCATACTGTAAAAACATAGCTTCATATAGAGACATTAGACCACTCTGTCCAACAGCTGCACATGCTCTAGGTTCTAATAATGGATGGCCCTAGAGGATAAAGATACACTAATTACCAGAGAGAGAGAGAGAGAGAGAGAGAAATGGGGTTTAATGTCCACTCGACACAATCTAGGTCATTTCGGGACTAAAATATGGTTTAATTTTATTTCAATAATTCCCTTGTGCGTAGGGGTCTTTAGCAGTGGGGGGAAACCGGAGGACCCGGAGAAAACCCACGAGGTTGGACAGGCGACCCTACTCCTTGTCACTTACAACCGGGGATTCGAAACCATGCTAACCATTCAGCCATCCAACCCCCCTATTAATTACCAGAGACAACCTCACAAATGCATGTCTCATTGTCAGTGATGTAGTGATAATTCAAGCTTAATCTCTCGAGGAGCACCAAAACATTTTAATGGTCTATTTATAAAACCAGGATAGGTAAACATAACAAAAAAAATAAAAAAAACTCTTGCTGATTCACATTAAAAAAATTGCATATTTGAATAGGAAGCCTTGATAGGGGTTATGGCTACTGTCCAGATGTATATAAATATTCTGTAGCTGAAGAGTTACCTTTGATTCTCGTTGGCTGATAGTTTGTCTCATACTCATAGACATAATAATTTCTTGACGTAATTTTTGTTTACCAAAAGCAACGGCGCCGCTAGTAACCATCAACATATCTTTACCCTGATTTTGAAGCTGAGACACCTGAAAATGTACAAAAACTTTTAGAATAGAACATTTGATAACATGATTTTGAACTCGATTTTGGTTTTGTGGGTGTTATTTCTATTATTATTTAACTTGTGGCCTGTTTAATACTTCTTGATAATCACTGTTCAATGTTCTGATTATAAATCTCAAGAGGGCAGCAATTTCTTTTTAAAGGACAATATTGGTGCCAGTTATTATCACATATGTGATAGAACTGGTTAAACACGTTCCAAATATTATTTTATCAAAGAGATTATTGCTACGATAGATGAGTAATCAATGTTTCAACAATAGGAAGTGACGAACGCAATGGGAAAACACAAGTTATCCCTTTATATAACTGAATGAAGTGACGGGTGATAACAGATACATGGGCGAATTTCTGCTCACTAATAATTCCTTCAAAGACAAAAAGTTGTTGTATGGGACTGTGAAAGGATATCTGACAATTCATAAACAAAATTGACTCTCACTAGATAAGAGAACATGAAAGAAAAATAGAAAAAGTCTGTGCATTACCATGTTTTTATAAGTATAGAATGAATAAACACCCGTGAATGTACGGACTGTTTCTATTTTTCTCGTGTTCTCTTATCTAATGACATGCAATTACTTTTTTGAATTGTCAGATATACTCTTACAGTCTCATATAACAACTTTTGGTCTTCGAAGGAATTTTTAGTGAGCAGAAATTCGCCCATGTATCTGTTATCACCCGTCACTTCAGGCAGTTATATAGAGGGATAACTTGTGTTTTCCTTTTGCGTTCGTCACTTCCTATTGTTGAAACATTGATTATTCATCTATCGTAGCAATGATCTCTGTGATAAAATAATATTTGGAACGTGTTTAACAAGTTCTATCACATATGTGATAATGACTGGCACCAATATTGTCCTTTAAGTCGCTGTATGTGTATCGAAAAGTAGCATGTTAATAAATTCAGAAGTAGTATACCCATATAAGTGTATTTAATTTGTGAAATCTACTTCTATATGTCTTATATGGATTATGTTAAATAACAAACCTGTTCTACAATGGATGCCAAACGTCCAAGAGCAATTCCACATTCATCTTCTCTTGTAATCACAGCACTGCCTAGTTTAACCACAACACGGTTAGCAGTTAATAAATCATTTCTATGTAAGGCATTTTGATTTAATACTGATGATGTATATAAACTGTTTTTATTTGTTTGTAAATTTGATTTAGTCTGATTTAAGGATGGAATATTATAACACAAAACACTACTATTTCTATAGGCAGTTAATTTTTGTGAAGTTTTGACTGCATGAAACATTTTTGCTGTTTTTTTTTATTTAATCTCTTTATTCACCTTTAAGCTGAAATTATACAAAAAAACAATACAATATACACAGAGTCATATTGACAAGGCTTTGAAATCTGGCCACCACTCTCACATTGGTTGTATAGTGAACATCCACGTTACCAGGGCCCAGAGTCTAATAAAACTTTACTACAAGAGAGAGAAATTTCCCCTATACTCTTCTTTAAATTTCATCTGCCAAAGGTATTTCAGTGGCACTACTAATAATCTGTACATGTACAGGACCTCAGTTTTTAGTCCCACCAGATCAACAAGTCATATCTGAGTAAATTCTAGAAAGTTTACTAGCCGTCACAACTAATTTGTTCAAAAGAACTCTATTTTTAGACACGCTCAACACAGCATATATGAGTAAAAGTTTACTAGATGCCACTACTAATTTGTACCCAGGAACTCAGTTTTGAGTCCCACCAGATCAAGTCATATCTGAGTAACTCTTAAAATGTTCACTGCTTGCTACCTCTAATTTGTACAAAGAAATTCTGTTTTTAGTCCCACCAGATAAATTCATATCTGATTAAATTGTGACAGGTAATGGTCCTTCAGATATTACAAGAATCTGGAATAATTCTTCAATCTTAAATACTGGAAATTCATAAAGGCCTTCATACAATCAAAGGACCACAGATAACCAACTAGTACCTAATGCTACTAAGTCAGATTGACCTATAAGGCTTGGATATCAATTTACAATCACATATATGAAATTACTTCTAATCACTTAAATTGTTGAAATCAATAAACAAGTATTGTTGTAATAATTTACAATATAAAAAATAAAACAATGGTAAATAAAACAATAAATAAATTAATCAAGCAATATAACTCATCAAATGGCAACTGTGGCTTAATCCATTAAAATCTCTGCCATCTGATGATCTAGAGAACTGATTATAGTCTTGTCATGTGAATAAATGTCTAAATAATAGTTTATATGACATATGAAGCTAAAATAAAGACCTACAATAGGCAGATTTAGCGCTTACATAACACACCTTTAATAGAATATAATCTGAAATATTCTAATATAAATTTTAACAGTTAAATACCGCCACCACACTATTAATTTGTACACAGTAAATGAAATGAAATAACGTGGGGTTTAATCCTCTACTGTTCTGAACCTAGTGGGCTGATGCAGATGGGCATACGCCATGCAGTGTGCTTTGTGGGAAATTTTGCATTGACAGCGGTACGGCCTACTCATTTATCGAATTCAAACTGTCACGGATTCTTTTACGTTCATGCTTTTAGTACATGGGATCCGGGTTTTCCGTCCCCTCCGCATGAATAGACACTCTCCTTGTCAGGCCATCTGCCCTGCACCACTGACAAGGGGAAACTGCTTCAGAAAATTATAAGGAACTTTCTCTGCTAACATTAGGAGTGACCTTCTGGTTAGTGAGCCAGCGTCTTACTCACCGAGCCATCGCGGATCCCACACAGGAACTTCTAGAACATATAGAATTGTAACAGTCTAAAATCTTACAATTGATCTAGTTATTAATTTTAGGAGGGCATGAACCTACTTGACACCCTGTCAAGATGTGTCATTGTTTTTCTTATCTTCTTCAGAAAGGTTCACATGAGTTACTTGTAAAGTTAGGCGTTAAGTTTCAGTATAAAATTTGTCAGAGAAAAACCAGTCTGAGACAATAAAATTGACATTATGCCAACATTATGTATGAGCACCCAAGCAGAGAGTATATAATTTAGTTTTCTTAACTTTTACATACATTGAACAATAATATATTAACATAACAACTGATGGATATGTTTTAACTGAACAGACAATCTATATACCTGAATAAATGTCAATAATAAAGTATTTGATTGGATTTCTTATATCTATCTACAAGTGCTTGATAACAGAGTGGGAGAGTGGGAGTGGGGGAGGGGGGGGGGGAGGGGGGGGGGGAGGCTGGGCTACAGCCAGGTCCAACAAATTATTTGGTACCAAAAATAAATACTGTATATCATTTTTTATAATAATAGTTTTTTCTCAACTACATGTACGGTACAAGCATGAGTATGGAAGTTACAACAAACATTTCACATTGTGATGCATAACAATATCTAACTACATATCTTACAAAATAACATTAATTTTCAAGAAGAGTGGTACATTTTAATCTAATCGTCATTATCTAATGTTACATATCAATTAACAAAACTATATTTATATTCCTCTTTTCTTAAGTGCATTCAATACAAACCTTCCAACATTTTCTATACACTCTTCATTATTTTTTTGCTGTGCCCCAAAAAATCTATATTTTATCTACCATACTGACATAAAAATTTAGCTTAGGCTGGAACTGATTGATATAGACCAGAGAAGTCTTGTTGAAATGTGATGCAGGACGGAGGGCCTGACAAGGACAGCTGTCTAGTCATTCGGATGGGACGAAAAACTGAGGTCCCGTGTACAAATTAGCGTGCACGTAAAAGATCCCTTGGCAGTTGGAATTCGATATAAGAGTAGGCCGTAGCGCCGCTGTCCGGGCAAAATTTCCCTCATAGCACACTGTATATGGCGTATGCCCGTCTTCATTAGCCCATTTTAGGAGCAAAACAGTAGGACATTAAACCCCATTTCATTTCATTTCATTTCTTGTCGAAATATTATAAACAGTAATTGTATTCCATAGAAATGTGTCCCGAGTCCATAGTTCAAGGTCGCCATTAATCCCTTAATCAAAAGGGTAACTCTTTACTCCACAATTAAACATCACAATAAGATGTCCATTGGGTATTTATTTACATCATTTTGTTAATTGTCTATTCATTCACTTTCATAGCAAAGTTTCATCTCTTTGTGATAACTAAATAATGTAGACTTTTGACCTTGTTAACACTATATAACTACATGGAAACTGAGTTAGTTTATCAAAATATTATCATCTCTACTTTATCACCGAACATGTATACATACTAAACCCAGACATGCTCTAAGTGGCTGATTTCAACCTGTACAATTGTGTCTCTTATTAATAAAAATATTTAATACAAACTGTTCATAATACAACATGGAGCAAACCTAAGAGTAAAATAACCATATTGTTCTTTCAGTTATTGAAATTAAAGATTTTCTCATTATTGTGCACCAAAAGGGTTTCTCATTTTTCCAATCTGATTTCTGTGTTCATACTACAATTACCATGGGACCCCTTCAATTTTCTTTTATGTCATCGGAACCTCCTTAATTTTTACTTTTTATTTAGCTAATTTTTTTCATAAAGATAGTTGTCCATTGTGTCACAGTAGATAAGGCGTTTTGAGATGCTTCAGGTAAAAATAAATTATATCTTTATGCTGTGAAATATCACTGGACAAGCCAAAGACAAGACTCTACGATATAATCATGGGCAATAACTCCAGAAGTTATTGTTGCAATTTATTCATTGCAATAATCAAAACAAGCATCTTTAATGTAGTGCTGATGAGGACTTTTGCTATTTAAAGCAATCACAAGATTCTACAAATACTGTACAATAAAGGCCATTACTCCAGAAGTAATGAAATCAAATGGGGTTTAACGTCCTACTGTTCTGTGCTGACTAGAAGTAATTAAAAGAAGTTGCTGAAAATATATCGTTAAAATTTAGTATTCTTCTTTGTCACACTAAACAAATTCGAAAAATACCACACGATAATTATAGTCAATATAGAGTGTTCACAATTAAATGACTGATGGGGGGTGACTGCAATGTAAATGTACACATTTCTATATTGATATATAAAACAGAATTTTTGATGCTTTTTTCCCCAACTGTGTTCTTTTGTCCTAACTGAATCCTTTTGGAGACATATTCGATTGTTTGTAGAAATTTTTTTACAAAAGATAAACTGTAAACAGACACTGATGTTCCACTAAACTACATCTGTTGGCCAGTTTATCTGTCAAAATCATAATCTTTTATATACTGTAACTTTGTAATAGACATTTATCTACTATTAAACCAAGTTCAGTACATTGACTTCAGTATTAATGTACTTTTATTGATAGTATATAGATATTCACATAGCAGGACAGTGACAGGTAAAAGTATCTTAAACCTATCTCCTAGTGTAACATTAATTACCATAGACCCACCCCCACTCCTCCTCACACAATGACATAACTAAATTCAACATTTTCATATAAGTAAAACAAAATTATTCTTACCTTGCACGGTGTCCTCTAGTAAATAATAATTAAAGAAATCCAATGGATGATTTTCATGTCCTCATGTCAATGACCCCCAATGACCCCTCATTTCTTAACAACGGATAAATTTGGACTTGTGGGGGAAATTCTGATTTCACTTTTCCCGTTCATGTGAAAACTTTCCGTTGTATATCAGACGACATATACCTCCCTGAGTTCTGAAGAAAGTACTATATACTACATGTTATATCTAAAATTGAGATTTGGACTTTGGGTTGTGAATCATTATACAAATAGAACTAACCTTCAAAAATTGAACGAAAAAAATTTATTCTCTAGTTAGGGGAAAGATATAGATTTATCGTTGATTTATATCAAAAACGTGAAAAGATTTGAATTAGGTTATCTCATGGGTCAATGCCACGTAGCGTCATGCTGCAAGCAATCCTTTCTCCAAACTGATTCTTTTTTAGATATAGTTTTCTTTTTTTTTTTTTAAATATTTTTTTTACATCCATTTCATTGAAAACAAAACTTATTATTTCATATACTTGGCAAAATAAAGGGCCTGAAATCTAATAAAACACTAATTTTACTTTTTTTTTAATTGAATACCACGAATTTATACTGAATTGGCTATGAATTAAAACATTTTGTCTGGAGCCACTCTACTTTGTGTGACATTTTTCAGTCATCGACTATTATTTGTGAATGCATCTACAACAGTCTGATTGGATGGTTGGAATTCTGGCCGACATAGAGCAAAACGATTGGAAACTTTGAAGTTGCTTAACTCACAGGCTAGATTAGCAGAAAAATGCATTTGCTGTGGTTAAATTTTCAAGTTTTTCTCAGGAAGGGAGAGGTCCTCTCATATCTCGCGACGATAGATTGAGATTTGGGTCAGCCACCTAAGGTAGGCTATTTTGGACCACAACAAAGTTGCTGTATTCACAGTCTGGAATAGCAGGAATATGCCTATGAGTTTAAACGACAGATAGTATTTTATTAAAATACATAATATTTTATCCCGACCCCCAGGGGCAGAGCCACGCGCAATTTTTGTGTTTATCGTTTACAGGCCGGAATTCTGAATGGATCAACTTAGTACTTGGCATATGTATTCCTTATAGCCTAAGGGCATCAACTAATGATTTTGGTGAATGCCCCGACCACCAGGGGCAGAGCCACGCCCAATTTTTACCTTTAGCGCCTAAAAGCCACAATTCTGAATGGATTATCTTGGAACTTGGTATACTTATTCCTTATACCCTAAGGACGGCAACTATTGATGTTGTTACTTCAATAACAGGGTGGTACCTATTTATATTGTATCCATATCCAACCCCCACGGGCAGAGCCACACCCATTTTTTGTATTTATCGTCTACAGGCTGCAATTCTGAATGGATCATCTTGGAACTTTGCATATTTATTCCTTATACTGTAAAGACAGCAAACTATTTATTTTGATGCTTGCCACGACCTCCTGGGACAGTGCCACACCCACTTTTTTGTAAGTATTTTGTCTGTAAATTTGGCAAAACAAACCCAACGCCTAGCCTTCTTTGCCTCTTATCATATTACAGCCATTTCATATTTCATTCTCTTCATTTTAAAAAGTACCATATCAATCAAATCTGGAATGTGGACTTATATTGCAGTGTTAGCGATGCTCTCGTTTAGGATTATTTTCTTTTATAATTTTTGAGTGTTTTACATGCAATAACTATCAATTTACTTGATTGCTAAGCTTTTTTAAAAGCTTAAAGGCTTTAAGTCTGGGAGATAACATGTTATGTAAATTACCAGCCAGTCAAAACTGGTAACTATGACTGAAATCAGAGCCCTGGAATGGGATGTTATATATAGAGCATTATTTATCTATTTACAATAGAAAATCTATATAGACAGTTGTAATAAAATTATATAACTCATCTACAATGGTCAGTCAGATATCAGGGTCCAAAGTCCAACGGTTATATATGGTCTATAAGATAGTCGCAATATCCATAACTCATTTAATTTTTACAATGTAGGGTAAGTGACACTAACTACAGCTGACCTTAAAGTTCTAAAAATAAAAGAAGTTTAAAAGTGGTATCAGGTGTGACAAGAAATATCCATTATCTGTAGGTTATAATTTTCTATAATATGATAAGAAAATATACAATAATTATTTCATGACTTAAAGAAAATGAAATGAAATGAACTGGAGTTTAACATCCTACTGTTCTGCTCCTAACCTGGGCTAAAGAAGATGGGCATACGCCATACAGTGTGCTATGAGAGAAATTTTGCCCGGACAGCGGCACTACGGCTTACTCTTATATCGAATTCCAACTACCAAGGGATCTTTTACATGCACGCCAATGTGTACACGGGACCTTGGTTTTTCGTCCCATCCGAATGACTAGACAGCTTTCATTGTCAGCCCCTCCACCATGGCAGCTCAGTGAGCAAGATGTTGGCTCGTTAACCCAGAGGTCCCGTGTTCGATCCCTGTGTTGACCGAGAAAGTTCATAAGGATTTTCCTGCATGGTTCCCCATGTCAGATATGCGGGACGTAGTGATTGGCACAGGACTAAGGGTATCCCCACTGAAAAATCCTGAAGAAATTTCTCAGGCAACACCGGAAGCGAACTTCGGACCCTCCTAGTGAGTGGGCTAGCGTCTTACTTAGAGAGCTGCCGTGGCTCCTATAAAGAGAGATATGCACCACACTTACATGGTAGATTAATATATCTACTCGTATATCACAGCGAAAACTTCATTATATTCAATGACATATTTCAAAGAATATAGAGACATATAGACCAAAAATACATATTGCCACATGGAAAAGATATATGGTATTTCACATTAAGCTATATATCATTGAGGAAATGAAGAAACTGACAGGATGATGCAATTGTTTCCTTATTAAGGAGAAAAACAAACACTCTGTATTTTATGTCAACTAACACAAATACTCTGACCTTAAAGTAACAATTGGGTTTAAAATAGGCCCATCAATAAGATCCACAGCAAATAAAGATGGTGGCGGGATTGTTACATATTGAGAAGCATTATCAATGGAATTTCATATCATTATATGTATATCTTTGTAAATACTAAATGGAACTGAACCATTTTTTTGACATTTATTCCTATTAGATATTCAACTTTTCAAGGGATTTCTATATCGCTACAATCACGCTCAGAGCCTTTAAGACAACCTACACAAATACTCAGGGCCCTGATTCACGAAATTTTAACTTAAGATAAAATCCAAATTTTAGTAGATACCTCAATTTTGATTGGCTAAGCACTAAAATCAATCTAATATTATCCAATCAAATTACTAAAATTTGGATTTTATCTCAGTTAAGTTTTTGTGAATAAGGTTCCTGATCTTGTATCAACCTACACAAATACTCTGACCTTACGTCAACCTACACAAATACACTGACCTTATGTCAACCTACACAAAGTAATCTATTTTTACCACTCAAACATAAATTCAATATATTTTTCTGTGAACATTCTATGTTATTGTACATGATATATTAATAATTATAATAACATATGTATATTATTAGTAAATATACCTATATTGATTTAACACAAATACACAGGTTTTAAAATGCTCTACATTCTTGTAAAAGTAGAAGGCCATATCTAAGATTGGTGGGAAGTGGGGGCTAGCCCATTCTCCCTGAGCAGAGCTGTAATCCCTTGCCATTCACACTAGCTGGATGAGTTGAAGGGGGATGGGGGAGGGGATGGGGTGGGGGGGGCACATTATCTATCTTAGAATTCTCGTCTCTCACCTTTCACACTAACTAGATATGGAGGCTTGCTTGTTGCCATGACAAAGGAACCTCCACCACCACCGATTATACCCCTCCCCCTCAAGTCCTTAAAAAATTAATTCAAGTGCACTCTGTATCCATCAGTGCTAATAATAACAATAAATAAACCAATATTTAACCAAATAATAATTCGCCTTTTTCCAGTCCCCTAATTCAAATCGGTCATTTTTATTTTTATTCATTTTATGCTAACCTGTTTTTATAAATTTGTTGTCTTAGAAATAGAAATTGGATTCCCATAGTTTTTGTTTGTTTCTATATGTAACATCTGTTACTCTTTACAAAATAATTGCATCATACAAAAAAAAATTGTTTACAAACTTTCTGTAAGAATATATTCTCGACTTACTGAAACTTTCATAATTCATACCTTTCTTACTTGGAGACATGTTAAAAGCAGTTTTTGTGGTGAAATGAAATAACAGGTTTTATATATGAGAGAGAGAGAGAGGGGGGGGGGGGTTAACATCCATTCACAAACTAGGTCATTTTGGGTCTAACACATAGTTCAATTTTATTTCAAAAATTAGCTTGCATGTAGGGGTCTTTAGCAGTGGGAGGTCCTGGAGAAAACTCACGAGGCTGGACAGGTGACCCTACTTCTTGTCACATACAAAATGACAGACCTTATGATACAGTGCGCACATTCTAACCATATGATCTATATGAGAAAAATATGCAATGAAATGAGGTTTAAAGTTTAATTGTTCTGCACTGAGCCACCGCAGATGAAATTATATCACAAAATCATATACTAGGCCGACTACTATTAGATAATTCAAACAGATATCCAGTCATAATAAATATGATTAAAAGATAATGTAGTGTAGTTAAAAGTTACAATTTAAACAAAAAGGAAATGAAATTGGGTTTTACATCCTCTCCTACTTTTCTTCTACGACCGGGCCAATACATGCATATACCACACTTTTGTGCTGTGCGGGAAATTTTTCCCAGATAGTGATGCTATAGCATACTCTTATTTTGAAAACTAACTGTCCAATGTGTACACTGGACATTAAATTTTTGTGCCTTTCGAACAACTATACACTACTGACAAGGGGGCCTGGCCATGCCTATAATTTAAACAGCTTCAGGTCAAGCAATTTTTGCTGTGAACAAAACGATCTCCGCTGATTTTCTATTATGGGTTTTTTTTTCAACTTTTTTTTTGTCATTATAAGTAGTAGATTTGTCTTAAATTGATGTAAATTTCTGGAGATAATGTAAAATTCTACAATTTTGGTTACATACCCTAATGTAAAATTCTACAATTTTGGTTACATAGTGTAAAATTCTACAATTTTGGTTAAATAGTGTAAAATTATACAATATATTTTAATTTAAGTATATTCTACATTAAGTAAATTTCTAAAGTTTTCATAAATTAAAAATTAAGCACGCAATTCTAGAGAAAAACAAATATATTTTACTTACGACAACAACAGGATTTTGTTAACAGTAAAATCTACTCAATAACTGCCGTCAGCTGATAGTGTTTGCTAACATCCTTTATATACCTCAAATCACAATATTTTGTACATATGTCAACGTAAACAATCTTCGTTGGCCTAACCCCTCTCAATCTTTCTTCGTCAAATATCCGTTAGAAACAGGATATTTGTGAGGTTTTCTGTGAAATATATAAATATTGCATCATCTGTACTCTAGTCAACACTAGCTAGGCTGGACCACGTACCTGCTGTCAATGACCGTATGTTGACGACAATAAAAGACTATGAACTCTGTCTCAGTAGCAGCCGACTGCTCTCTGAAACACAACACCCGCCTTGAACAATGCTCACGTCAACACAAAATCGAAATTAGTTGCGCACAAGTTATTTACTGCGATGACCGGTTTTCTGTAAACATATTTTGATATTTTGTCCTTGTGCCACCATTAGTAATTAATATATTTGGCTCCTAAATCTCTTTATCATAGTCCATTCCTATTATTTTTATCACCAAAAATAAACGGTACTGATGTCTCGAAGTTTGATCGACCCCATGGATATTTTCGAAACCAATGCATGAATAAAGGGGCTATACATGATTTTAAATTAAAGACAAATACGGGATGAAAAGTATAATTTGGTAAGCTCATATTTTTAAAAAGTGGACTTAACATTATGTTATAGAGACTGATTTACATTTCATGATCAGACCAGACTCCAAAGGATTAGCAATTAGCTAAACTATAACTACCCTTAATCCCTAGGATATCAGTTAGCAATGAAGTATTGATTGGGTTATTTCTTTAATCCTTTTCATAGATAAGCATACCTTATTCTATAGGATGAATTAGTTTATATACATGGTAACCAAAACTAGTATATATATACACCCCAGTCATCTAGAATGCCATATTACTTCTATTTTGGATATTAAATATATTATACTTCATACTGCTTACGTAAGGACTCTGACTAATAGTTTGCAAGTTACAGTCTGGCACCAGCAAAGTGCACGTCCTCTATTACAATCACTTGACGTTGATGTTAGCGGAATCAATCGGTATTTCCAGAGATTGCTGACACAAGACGGCGAAATAAAACCGGTAGCAATTAATGTAAACTTCAAATGACCATATCTTTCGTTGGAATATACCGAATCGAATAATTTCTAAACCAGCCAGGATCTGGCATGCCCACCGGAAACATTTACATTTGGGAACCAAGTAGAAACAAGCTACGTTACAGTTTTTCATCGATTGTGATGTTTCTGAGAACGCGCCTATTTGCTGCGTTCGTTATTGAGAGTGGTTGCTTAAACTCGCTTGGTTGTTTCGTTCTAAATTATCCTAAAAGTAAATTAGTATCAGACGAGGGTTAGTGTCTATTATAAAGAATGAGAATGTGTAGAATTAAATAAAAAAAAACCAAAACCCAAAGCTTTAAATGCTTAATATTTCACATTTCTATAGCTAGGTGGAAGGTAAAAAGGGTTCGAGTTCAGTCTTAATTTCTCATCGTTTATATCCAAAACCCTTTGTTCTGCCCGTTAGACTGCAGTCTGTCTTCTGTCCCATAGCTTCTGGTTTCTGAAATACAGATTCAAACTATCACCCCATTTAGTGGTGACGGGTGTTGTGCACTGAGCAGGATATCGTTACTATTTTTAGGAAACCTACCAATTTGAGGAATTCGCAATGTTTGCTATACTTCTGTAATGTATTTTCAATTTTTTACAATTTTTGTTAGCCTGTCACATAAGGACCGTATTGGAGTAAACCAGTGTACATTACCTAATTCATTCATTTTCTTTTTCATCACTTCTGTTTTTGTCACAAATGGGTTTGTTTCTTATAATAAGTCTATCACTGTATGCCTATAGTTTATTGTCCGTTTTGTAACCTGGAGTGTTCTGAACTTAAAAACTTTTATCAGAAGTATGATAACAAAACAGTGTGTACCTACTTAACTTTTCACCGAAATATAAATCCCTCACTTTAGGGCGGAGAAAACGCGTCTATTCGTTCGGTTGTACCAAAAAAACCGAAAAAAAACGTGGCCCATGCGTAAACTCGTTGGTATAAACGTCAAAGAACCCTGAACTATTGGAATTAAATGAAGAGTAGCCGCCGGTGTCCAGGCAAACTTTTCATGGTGAATCCCCTTATTCATTAGTGTTATTGGTGAGGTAAAGTACGGTTAGAACTATTTCATAGGGGGGGGGGGGGCAGACGAACCCTGAAACCTGGAACATTTTATTACCAAACGAAACAAATAATTACGAACAGTTTACTGTACCAGTGTTATTTCGATGAAAGCTGTAACTAGGGATAATATGATGACGATATGTAAAAATTGACTCCCTACATCAAAGCTGCACAAATATTGATAGTTCATGAAGTTCAGTGAATCGTCCAAAGACTATCATTCTACGATCAGGACTGTTCTCAATGAATTTCAGAACGGGACTTTCATGTGGATATAAACCTGAAAATCTGTCCTGGCGACCAAAATATTCGCCCCACCCTAAATCCACGCCCATGCATCCCAAGGTTCTTCTCGGCCTACGGTGTGATTTGAAATCGGGACATTCTTGTCAATTGTCCTTAACGCTCGACCATATTTTTTTTTTTTTATAAGCAAATTTTTATTCAGATTTGTATCTGAATAGGGATTGGGGAACAGGCATAGCCTATATTAAACATCTCTCCCTACGCTCAACCATATTACTGAAAACATATTACCGTGCACTCTAAACCTAAACGCTCAACAGGCCACAAATCCAAATATTACAAACAGCAGGTTATGTATCCATAGGCATCGCATGTTCAATAAAAGGCTTGATCTGGCTTTAACCCTGTAAAGGCCAAATGCATAATTACGGGATTTAAACAGGGCTAACGCTAACCCTAACCCAAGACCTTATCCTAACCCACAATCCTGGGCAACAATCACGTGTCCTAACCCTGTTTAGGGCCTACATCTTGTGACCTTGAAGAAATATGCATTTGGCCTTGTCAAATAGATCTGACCACTTTTGTAACGGTGTAACCTCGATGAAAATTTTAAAAGTAATTGTGAAGATATCTTATCTTGCATTAGCAACTGCTAGTTCGCCATTCTCGTTTTCGACTCTCTTGCTTTCTTCGAAACATTTATAACAGCCCTATTTATAAATGCCTCTGCGACTTGTGGTCAAAACTTGGGAGATTCTGACAATAAAATAACTTGTACAATGCTCAAAATTTTCGGAACTGAAAAATTCCGAAGATTTTGTTTCTACAGTTTATAACTTCCTTGACTTACCCCTATGATTCTAATTTTTATATTTTATGGAACAATTTATGATTCTTTGTACAATATAAATACTCTACTACTGTATTGTTCTCTTTATTTTTTCAATACATATTTACGTTTATGGAGGGGGGCTACTACAGGCTTCTCCTATCCAGTTTCTGTTAATAAATACTGTTTCAAACAAAATTTAAAAAAAAAGCTCCACCACCCACTGTCTTATCCTCGATTGCCTCCGGCGCTCTTGTGGACTGTTCCCTCTGTGTTGTTTCCTCTGATCTCATGATGTAGTGCCTCTATTTATAGCAATTCTCTCTTTCTCCCATTTCTACAGCCTGGTTCACCCTTGTCCGTGGTGCAGAACAGAGGGCCTGGTAAGGGACAACGTATAATCGTTCGGATGGAGCGAAAAATCGAGGTCTCGCGTACACATTGCCATGCACGTAAAAGATCCCTTGGCAGCACTGACAAAGGGGAACTACACTGATATGAACTACTTGACCTCCAGGTTAGCAAGCCAGCATCTTACTCACTGAACCACAGCGATACCCGTGTTCGCCTACTAAAATGACGTCACCACCTACAGATTTCTTTGACCAGGTTTAGCAAAAGATGGAAATGAGCAAGCACTTTCAATAGCCTACTTTTATCAGATGATTGTGATAAGTTGGGCTTGATGTGGTAATAAAGATTAAGATCGTCAGAATGTTCAAATATATGTTTTAAAGGCCAAGAAATGACATGGATTCAACAGTGAGTCAACGAGGAGAGAGAATTGTTAGTTGGATTCCTGACAGTAATAATAGAGTTATCTCCCTTCTAACATCAGCAACACAAGTATTATATCACAGTTTGGATTTTATTTAGTAACAATAATATTGTCCACATTAAGATTTTTTTAGAACAAAAGGACCCATGGCCCCGCTGCGCAAAAAGCAACAAATATACTTAAAGGGTCGCCATTTTTGAGATTATTCTTTTATTTTGAGTTTCTTTCGCCTGCATGATGCCAGAAAACATGGGAAGCAAATAAAAATGTAATTTTTGATACGGTACATGAAGTTTCACCATGCTATATACATATTCCCGAAGCAACGAGCGCGATTGAACGGGACATCTTATTATCAGGTTCACCGTGGATTGGTTTTTCAAAATAATTATATTTTCGTATGGGTCGAATTTTCGACTGGCCGAAGGCAGTCCCCTACTTTAATTATGGTATTGATTTATTTCAATTATATTATGTTACATTCATTATTCGTAATTTCTGAAATTATAATTAATTTTTAATCATTAATCGCATAAATTATATTTCTTTAATAAACGACTACCCCATGTTAGAGTGTATCATACCGTCATTCAGTTGTTTGAGTCAACAGAGCAGATTTTGCTGTGCCATAAGTCTGTTGGTCAGTTCTATTGCAAGAGATTAAAGGACTATAGCTGTTATCCGGTTATTTTAGCATTAGAAGTCACAGAGGTACAGTTCAACGCTTAAATATTTAGTAAGTTTCATGACAACATCAACGTCTCCGGGCAAGGGTTGAACTTCTCGGGCAAGGGCTAAAATTATCAGCTTTTCGGAGCAAGGGCTAAAGTTATCAACTTCTCGGGTAAAAAGGGTTGAATTTATTACATTTGCCATCATTTCTTTTTTGTTCTTGTTTTTTTTTACCACGGACAGACATCTCTTTCTCGCAAATCAACAAAAGAAGAAGGGGATCGATTAAGAGAGTTATGTTTCAAATGTGTAGCGGCATTTTCGCATGTCGTTAAAAACAATACTTTTGATTTGTTCGGATTTGAATATACACTTACATCGGATCTATTCCTCTTAGATTGTATGTCATCCCACACTGATCAGTAGTGAATATTCGCTAGGCCGCTACAATCACTGATAAGGATGCGACTTAATGAGTCTCAAATATTAACTTTTTTTCACCGACAAATTAAATTCTAAAACATTTTTTTGGATGTATTAGAAAAATAAATAAAGACGTTTGACGTATGTGTAGGTAAAAATTTATTTCCTATTTAGTGTAAATGGGTATTAAAATGACTAAAAGGCAGCATTCTGCCCGAAGCAGTAACGTCTTATGTGAACAATACAAGCGCCATTCAGTATGGTGGCTGAAAGCGCCCATTTAGATCGGCGTGTTTCTAGATACAACGCGAGAGTTGCCGTTAAGCCAGCACGACGAAAAAGGCGCCGATCGGCGACTTTTTCGTCGTACTAGCTTAACGGCGACCCGCGACTTTCACAACACGAGAGTCGTTTCGGAAGTTTATAGTTAGTTACATGCGGAATGGCTACATTTTACTTCTTGTATATAGACACAGATTACCAAATGTTTCTACGTCGTCACCCACCAATGTAGGGCGAAAGTTATTTTTAGTCTTTCTCTTCCTTTTCCCTTTCCCCCTTTTGCATGGCGATTTTTGGCGTAGAATCGAAGAATATGTTTGAAAATACATTTTCTGCTAGGTTTTGGTGAATATTCATGTTTTTGAGAGGTTGGTTAGGTTGAAATGTCGGGCCGAAAATTGCGAACCTCATACATGTACATGCTTTTGTGCAAGAGTTTACCACATGTGGCAGAAAGCGTTCTACCCAACGAAAATTTGGGAAAAAGTTAGAGCTGGTCCAAGATATGAGAATTAACATTAAATCAATGGGGAAATATTTAGTGATATAAAGACGTGTACATTTTAAATCTTATTCCAGTCTGTAACACTCATAAATTTTAATTTGCCCTAGTGTCACTGAAAATGTTGATATAGCTCGACAGCCCAAACCCATCCAAAATCTCCTCCATTCTGATTTTATATACAAGAAGTAAAATGTAGCCATTGCGCATGTAACTTACTATAAACTTCTAAGGCGAGAGTCGCCGTTAAGCCAGAGCGACGAAAAAGTCGCCGAAAAAGGCGCCGATTTTTTCGGCGCCTTTTTCGTCGCGTGGCTTAACGGCGACTCTCGTGTTGTAAAAGTCGCGGGTCGCCGTTAAGCTAGTACGACGAAAAAGTCGCGTTGTATTTAGAAACACGCCGATCTAAATGGACGCTTTCAGCCACCATAATTCAGCCAATGATTGACGCCGCGTGCGTGACGGCACGTGTTAAAGGCAGTCATCTTTTACAGAGATATTAGAAAACTCGTAATTCTCTGTAAAACAGATTGATGTCATCCCTCTCCGTGATAGTAGCGACTAAGCGAATATTTACTGCTGATCATTTTGCGGACCCTTATTCAAAATGATTGCTTAAAATAGGCCAAGGCTTGTAGGTGAGTCTAGGGTTATCTAAAATAAGATAGATTTATAAGAATTTAGACTGTAGCGAAATGTACAATTTTTAACCCACTTAAGATTTTGTGAGTCAAACATTTTGTAACTGCTGAATAAATTAATTAGTCTTCTAGACTAGTTTTATATACGGGCTTCTTTATACTCCCTATAACAGAGTGCAATGTGGGAAATTGTCAAGGGTTCTTTTACGTGCACGCCAATGTGTACACGCGACCTCGGTTTTTCGTCCCATCCAAACGGGGGGTGGGGGGGTTGGATGGCTGAATGGTTAGCGTGCGCGTGCTGTGTCATAAAGTCTGTCATTGAGTCGACTGGCGTGGTTTCGAATCCCCGGTTGTACGTGGCAAGGAGTAGGGTCGCCTGTCCAACCTCGTGGGTTTTCTCCGGGTCCTCCGGTTTCCTCACACTGCTAAAGACCCCTACGCGCTAGCGAATTATGTAAATAAAATTAAACCATATGTTAGTCCCGAAATGACCTAGTTTGTGTCGAGTGGACGTTAAACCCCATTTCTCCCTCTCCCTCCCATCCAAACGACTATAGACACCGTCCTTATCACACCCTCAGCCCTGTGCCACCGAGCAGAGAATTCAACCGCGCCTGGGAATTTCGAGGAATTTTCTCGGCTAAAACCGTGAGGGAACCCGACACCTCCCAATAGTTAGCGAGCCGGTGTCTCACTCACTGAGTCACCGTGGCTCCTATATATCCATCTCTATATGTTTATACCTGCAGTCAGAAATAACCCACTATAAGATAATATAGGACATTTAGAAGTAGAACGACTGTAAATAACACAGTCGTGTGGATACACAGACTCCTAAACTTATTCATATACAGGTATTTGAACGTTAAATAGTTATGTTTATAGCAGTATTGCTCTGTTGGTACTGACGTATCGTAGAACGCACCGTAGAACGCAGATTTGTTTACAATTAATACGCTTTCTGCCAGGTTCCTACTAAACTGCCACTGACCGGTAAGTCTAGTTATTTTTCAAATCTGTTTCGAGGAAAATTAATAGATAGACTGATCTTGTACAAAAACAAAGTGGCAAAATTTAATGATCAAGGGCACTATTTGCGCACCAGCAAATTTCATTTAGTTTGTAATGAAATGAAATGAAATGGGGTTTAACGGCCTACTGTTTTGTTCCGAACTGGGCTAATGAAGACGGGCATACGCCATACAGTGTGCTATGAGGAAAATTTTGCCCGGACAGCGGCACTACGGTCTATATATACTCTTATATCGAATTCCAACTGTCAAGGGATCTTTTACGCGCACGTCAATGTGTACACGGGACCTCGGTTTTTCGTTTCATCCGAACGACTGGACAGCTGTCCTTGTCAGGTTTAGTTTGTAATACCATGTTGGAAGAGATGAACTGGAAATTTTCACCAGAAGCCGACTTTGAGAAAATTATTCTAGGAAGCATTATTTGGATTGTACGATTAGTCAATACAGAATAAAGAAAACCCAGGGTCTTTTACGTGCACTTGATACATTCATGAGCTCATCGTTTATGAACACCGGTATCGCGGGTTGACACAGTACCTATTTTGGCTCAGTGCTATAATGTTTATACAGTTAAAAACAACGATATATTGGAAAGTGAAATGGTAGATGAAATGAAATGAAATTGGGTTTAACGTCCTATACTGTTCTGCTCCTATACTGGGCTAATGAAGACGGGGATACGCCATACAGTGTGCTATGAGGGAAATTTTGCCCGGGCAGCGGCACTATCGCCTACTCTTATAGCGAATTCGAACTGCCATGGGATCTTTTACGTGCATTCCAATGTATACACGGGACCTCGGTTTTTCGTCTCAACCGAAGGACTAGACAGATGTCCTTGTCAGGCCCTCCGCCCTGCATCACTGACAAGGGGAAACCACGTCGGAAAATCGGGATGAACTTTCTCGGCCAATGCAGGGATCGAACACCCGACCTCCAGGATACAATATATACACAGTATACACAGTATCTTAATACGGAGATAGTCGAGGGGTTAGGATACTGGACTCTCGACTAAAATTAAAATGTCACGGATTCGTATAGTTCCATCCGTGTATACTTGGCTAGCTCGAAAATCTGAAATCAAAGAAGAAAAGGAGGAATCGTCGCTGTCTGGGCATCGGCCACTTCATTATTATCCTACCTCGCATAACGCATGTAACCATAGAAACACAACTGACCATATGTTTATCTAATCCAAAGCACTGTATGTGATAAAGACAAGGGCAGTGACCGCCCTAGACTCTTAAAACCTTTAAGCCAAATTTTTAGCCAAATCAAAATTTTATTAGCCAATTCAGAAAGTTTTAGCCAAATATTTTATATCATTTTTATTCATATGTTTGTTAATTAAAAATGAAAATAAATGTGTGTGTGTTAGTTGTATTTTACGTCCGCTTCCACCGAGGTGATATCGCAGACAAAATAAATGTTTAATATATGTACTTTTATTTTATGATCAGTAGTGGAATATCGCGTTTTATCAGTGAAATAAAAGTGTTATTCCACTGGCTAGTTGTTTTTACCTAAAATGATTGTAAAATCATAAAATAAATAGAACATTTGTCGTTTGTCGTGAATAACATATTTTATTTCATCTCTAAGCAAGAAAACGTTTATATTTTCACTCATGCTACGCATTCGTGAAAATATAAGTTTTCTTGCTTCTCGATGAAATAAAATATGTTATTCACTCTAAAACGACAAATATCCTCTATATATAGTACACAAGAATATTATTTTATCTCCTTGTTCATGCAAAAGTTCACATTATTGAGAGAATGAATGCAGATAACAAAAAAATGTTTATAGGACGTACTTCACAGTCACATGATTTAATTTACTTAATGTCATAACAGAAAAGACACGACGATTCTTTTTAAGACACCGCTGATTTGAAATTTATGTCCGGTCCATCCATTTTTATAAGCATGAGGTCATTGAGGGTTAGCTCGACGGTCTCGGTTAAAGGTCTAATTTTTGTCCACATGTTGATGAAGCCAACGAAGGACTTGCGTCCGAGATGACACGCTCACTCACGGAAGTAGATTCTGGACTAACAGTAGTCGTAGGAAGGAAAAAGGAATCTATCCTTATTTTGGGTTTACTAGTATTAGTTGTCATTAATGTGCGTTTTATTTATTTGCTGCGTAAGTAAAGAAAACTTGTAGTGAAGCGAATGTAAACAACGCAGTGCCACACAAAAGGGGCGTAACTGTGTTTTATAGTCTCCAGACTCGATCTTTCGGTCGTTTTAATGCGTAATATTGTAACATTGACTGATTTGCGACTTGTAAGATTGAGACTAGAGTAATCAATGTACTAAAAATAGACACTCCATCGAGTCGATCGAAAGAAGCGTTTAACGAGACGATTTCAAGTTTAATATTAGCAGATTTACGAAATAACACTCTCTAAAATTCATTCGCCAAATTTTTCGCCAGTATCATCACTTTATTCGCCAATAAAAATAATTGTCGCCATTGGCGAATTGGCGAATGTCTAGGGCGGTCACTGCAAGGGTATGGGAGTAGCAAAAAGATAAAACAATTATCAGTTGTTATAAAATAGGTTACATACGAACATAGGGATCAAATAGATAATGTATCTAGTGCTTTTTCAATGAAGCCAGCCAAACCGGATATCATGTCTCACCGCCACTCCGGAACAATGTTTTCCATGGGATGCCCATTTAGTCGGTAGTTGGCTGCCAGAGGGTGTTCCCTAAACTTCTTTTATATATATAAAAAAAAATACTTGAAACACGATCTATATGGAATAAAAAATACTACATGCCTTTGTTGGTCAGAAATTATAGTCTAAAATATCTCCTTATAGTCAAATAATCTTGGCCATTTGAGTATGGAGATAGAGATATAAGTTTTACTGTTATTTGCATATATAGTGCGATAACGGACAAAGCCAACTGCCTATGGGATAATACTGGAGTGTTGTAACTTGTTGTAAAGTCACGTGTTTGTATTTTTCGCCATATATTTTATGTGTCAAGATGTCAGTCGTATGTCGAGATATATTAACCTGTATTTAAACATACATAATTGAAAAGCTAAATCTGCCTATTGCAAGTCTTTCTTTGGGCCTGAAATGTTATCTAAATTATTAATTAGACATTGATTAACTTATCCAGATCAGCAACTCTCGATGCCATCGCTAGCCTGCGATATTTAGCGGATTGAAATACATTTTGTGAAGGATGATTAAACTTAAAATTGAATAATCGAGACTTTGTTTTTTTATCGTACCGACTTCAGTAATGAAAATCGAGGCTAGCCTAAAATTCAAAGCTAATATTTCGGTTCAGAGTTGAGATATTTGATTGAAATTTTCAACATATTCTATTTACGTTAACTAATATAGCGAGAACTGTCAACTCTTTATCTAATCTCTCGTAAATCCTATTTAAAGAAACGTGTCTGTCAAACAAACAAATAATAGACCGGGAAAAGGTCCAAAGTTAATGTTGTGCTCGTCTCTCACTAGAAGTCATTAAACAGAAAAATCGGAGAGTCGCCATCAGAAATGGGTAACCGAGCGGAATCTCTCGCCCGTATTCCAGCACCCGGATTCGAGATCTAGTTAGCAGACATAATTCTCAGCGTACTCCAGCACGCCGATTCGAGATCAAGTTGGCAGACATATTCTCTAACCGTATTCCAGCTCCCGGATTCGAGATCAAGTTAGCAGACATATTCTCTCACCGTATTCCAGCACGCGGATTCGAGATCAAATTAGCAGACATATTCTCCCACCGTATTCCATTTCCAGCACTCCAGCGCCAAGAAAAACCTAGATATAATTATCACGAAAATAATTGTTACCGTTATATTAGAAAATAAAATTTTAAAACATATTAATGCAAAGTATTATGTAATAGATCCCCCGATCCCACCCCACACCCCAAAATGTACTATTCTCAGCGTACTCCAGCACGCCGATTCGAGATCAAGTTGGCAGACATATTCTCTAACCGTATTCCAGCTCCCGGATTCGAGATCAAGTTAGCAGACATATTCTCTCACCGTATTCCAGCACGCGGATTCGAGATCAAATTAGCAGACATATTCTCCCACCGTATTCCATTTCCAGCACTCCAGCGCCAAGAAAAACCTAGATATAATTATCACGAAAATAATTGTTACCGTTATATTAGAAAATAAAATTTTAAAACATATTAATGCAAAGTATTATGTAATAGATCCCCCGATCCCACCCCACACCCCAAAATGTACTATTACCGTAAACATACTAAACTATCGCACACTAGGCTAACTGAGCATGCAAAAAAGGGGTACGTCCATTTTGCATCAAAAAGTACACCAACCAGCTTTGGTGGGAAAATGTTTTTTGTTTCACGGAATCAAGAGATGAATAAACTACTAGAATACAAAATTTCAGAAGGCTCCTATGCTGGCGTTTCGAGATATATTACCGTGGGGAGAATCAGGTTAGGGTAGGCTCACTACGCACGTTATAACTTCTAAACTAGCTTTGGTGGCTTCAATATTTTTTTTCCACTAAATCGACAGATGAATAAGGTATGTACATGCCGAATTTCATTAACATTCGATGTTGGCGTATCGAGTTATACCACCGCAAAGTTCTTAGCACCGGGATTCGAGGTGGAGTTTGTGGGTTCAATAAACAAGGGGAACGCCCACGTTGCATCAAAAAACGACCCAAACCAGCTTTGGTGGGAAAATGTTTTTTATTTCACGGAATCAAGGGATGAATAAACTACTAGAATACAAAATTTCAGAAGGTTCCTGCTGGTGTTTCGAGATATATTACCGTAAACATACTAAACATATTGGAGAATCGGGTTAGGGTAGGCTAACTGCGCACGCAATAGCTTTGGTGGCTTCAATATCTTTATTTCACCAACTGGGCAGGTACATCAGGCATGAACATGCTAACTTTCATTAACTTTCTATGTTGGCGTATCGAGTTATACCACCGCAAAGTTCCTGGCACCCGGATTCGAGGTGGAGTTTGTGGGTTCAATAAACAACGGGTACGCCCACGCTGCATCAAAAAACGACCCCAACCAACTTTGGTGGGAAAATGTTTTTTATTTTAAGAAATCAAGGGATGAATAAACTATTAGAATACAAAATTTCAGAAGGTTCCTATGCTGGCGTTTCGAGATATATTACCGTAAACATACTAAACATACTAGAGAATCGGGTTAGGGTAGGCTCACTACGCACGTAATAACTTCTAAACTAGCTTTGGTAGCTTCAATATTTTTATTTCACCAACTGAACAGTTGCATAGGCCATGAACATGCCAAATTTAATTAACTTTCTATGTTGGCGTATCGAGTTATACCACCACAAAGTTCCTAGCACCCGGATTCGAGGCGGAGTTTGTGGGTTCAATAAACAACGGGTACACCCACACTGCATCAAAAAACGACCCAAACCAGCTTTGGTGGGAAAATGTTTTTTATTTCACGGAATCAAGGGATGAATAAACTGGCGTTTCGAGATATATTACCGTAAACATACTAAACATATTTGAGAATCGGGTTAGGGTAGGCTAATTGCGCACGCAATAACTTCTAAACTAGCTTTGGTGGCTTCAATATTTTTATTTCACCAACTGGACAGTTGCATAGGACATGAACATGCCAAATTTCATTAACTTTCTATGTTGGCGTATCGAGTTATACCACCGCAAAGTTCCTAGCACCCGGATTCGAGGTGGAGTTTGTGGGTTCAATAAACAACGGGCACGCCCACGCTGCGTCAAAAAACGACCCAAACCAGCTTTGGTGGGAAAATGTTTTTTATTTTACGGAATCAAGAGATGAATAAACTATTAGAATACAAAATTTCAGAAGGTTCCTATGCTGGCGTTTCGAGATATATTAACGTAAACATACTAAACATACTAGAGAATCGGGTTAGGGTAGGCTAACTGCGCACGCAATAACTTCTAAACTAGCTTTGGTGGCTTCAATATTTTTATTTCACCAACTTGACAGTGGCAAATGCCATGAATCCGGGTGCTAGGAACTTTGCGGTGGTATAAATCGATTGACCAAAATAGAAAGTTAATGAAATTTGGCATGTACATACCTTATTCATCTGTCGATTTAGTGGAAAAAAATATTGAAGCCACCAAAGCTAGTTTAGAAGTTATTGCGTGCGCAGTAAGCCTACCCCAAGCCGATTCCCCCATATGTTTAGTATGTTTACGGTAATATATCTCGAAACGCCAACATAGGAGCCTTCTGAAATTTTGTATTCTAATAGTTTTTTCATCCCTTGATTTCGTGAAATAAAAAACATTTTCCCACCAAAGCTGGTTTGGGTCGTTTTTTGACGCAGCGTGCGCGTACCCCTTGTTTATTGAACCCACAAACTCCACCTCGAATCCGGGTGCTAGGAACTTTGCGGTGGTATAACTCGATACGCCAACATAGACAGTTAATGAAATTCGGCATGTTCATGCCTTATGCTCCTGTTCCGTTGGTGAAATAAAGATATTGAAGCCACAAAAGCTAGTGTAGAAATTATTGCGTGCGTAGTCAGCCTACCCCAACCCCATATGTTTAGTATGTTTACGGTAATATATCTCGAAACGCCAGCATAGGAACCTTCTGAAATTTTGTATTCTAATAGTTTATTCATCCCTTATTTCCATGAAATAAAAAACATTTTCCCACCAAAGCTGGTTTGGGTCGTTTTTTGATGCAGCGTGGGTGTACCCGTTGTTTATTGAACCCACAAACTCCGCCTCGAATCCGGGTGCTAGGAACTTTGCGGTGGTATAACTCGATTCGCCAACATAGAAAGTTAATGAAATTTGGCATGTTCATGTCCTATGCAACTGTCCAGTTGATGAAATAAAAATATTGAAGCCACCAATGCTAGTTTAGAAGTTATTGCGTGCGCAGTCAGCCTACCCCAAGCCGATTCCCCAATATGTTTAGTATGTTTACGGTAATATCTCGAAACGCCAGCATAGGAGCCTTCTGAAATTTTGTATTCTAGTAGTTTATTCATTTCTTGATTCCGTGAAACAAAAAACATTTTCCCACTTAAGCTGGTTGGGGTACTTTTTGATGCAAAATGGACGTACCCCTTTTTTGCATGCTCAGTTAGACTAGTGTGCGATATTTTAGTATGTTTACGGTAATAGTACATTTTGGGGATGTGGGGTGGGATCGGGGGATCTATTACATAATATTTTGCATTAATATGTTTTAAAATTTTATTTTCTAAGGTAACAATTATTTTCGTGATAATTATATCTAGGTTTTTCTTGGCGCTAGGAATACGTGCGCTTACTTGATCTCGAATCCGAGTGCTGGAAATGGAATACGGTGAGAGAATATGTCTGCTAACTTGATCTCGAATCCGGGTGCTTGAATACCACACTGATCCGCAGTGAATATTTGCTTGGCCGCGACAATCACTGATAAGGATGACATTGATGCGGCTTAATGAGCTAGAAATATTAACTTTTTTCCTGCGACAAATTAAATTCTAAAACATTTTTTGTATATATTGGAAAAATAAATAAAGGCGTTTGACGTATTTGTAGGTAAAAATTATTTCCTATTTAGTGTAAATGGGTATTAAAATGACTAAAATGCAGCATTCTCTCCGAAGCAGTTATGTCTTTGGAAACAATGCACGCGTCATTCAGCCAATGATTCGTGCTGTGACAGCACGTGTTAAGGCAGTCATCTATGACAGAGGTATTATACGAGACTCGTAATTCTCTGTGAAACAGATTGCTGGAATACGGTTAGAGAATATATGTCTGCCAACTTGATCTCGAATCGGTATGCTGAAGTACGCTGAGAATTGTGTCTGCTAACTAGATCTCGAATCCGGGTGCTGGAATACGGGTGAGAGATTCCGCTCGGTAAAAGGGTATTGGTGTGCTCTGACCCTATAATGTATTATCCTTCGGTTCTCATGCTCATTTGTTTTCATATAGATTCCTTTTTGACCATTGACGTAAATATAATATGCCTATTAGAACCCATGCAGGCGGTAGAATGAACTAGAGCAGATGAGCAATGTGTTTGCTGCCATGAGAAATTTGTAAGGCCCGGTTTGACGCAATTGCCGATTTGGCTCGATTCCTTGGGTATGTGACTCGTGTTAATCAGGTACGTACATGTATCTGTTTAGTTCGTAGTTTTCGAATTGAAACGGGATCCGCAGCTGCTCAGTGAGTAAGACGCTGTCTCGCTAACCAAAAGCTCACGGTTTCGTCCCTCGAGATTTTTCCGGGACAAAGGAATAAGTATTCTTTTTCGGATGGAACGAAAAACCGAGATCCCATGTACTCGTTGATGTCGGGGCCTGCCAAAGAACCTGTCATTGGCGTGCACGTAAAAGATCCCTTGGCAGTGGAATTCGATATAAGAGTAGACCGTAGCGCCGCTGTCATGGCAAAATTTCCCGCGTAGTACACTGTATGGCGTATGCCCGTCTTCATTAGCCCAGTTGGAGCAGGACAATAAACTCCATTTCATTTTCAGTACTGTAGTGTTTATTATGTTTGCCTAACGGTTTACTGGCAAACAATCCTGTCTAAGGTCGTCTCTTGTTTGTAACTAAAAGGACATGTACCAAGTCAAATCGTGTACCGGGTTAAACCGCGACATTAGTAAATATTTCTGTTAATAAAGGTTTGCTTTTCGATAAGGAAGAGATTAAACGAGAAGATCCGTGTAGGTAGGAGTGACAGCTCGTAGATGTCATATTGATATTATACACAGCCAACATAATAATATACAGGTTTGTTTTATTACGTTTGTTTTATCACATTATATACACTTTATTTAATAACTTACGTTTGTTTTATCTATTGAAGACCGGAATATCTACAGTGTACATGTTTGTTAAATTGCTGAGAATATCCAGGTATTACATTACGTTACATATTCATTTACATAGAATTTGAATGTACACACCTTAAAATATACATAACCAAAGATACGTTCTCGAATGTTTATAAATTTAAATAAACGGAATAAATATTTGACTATTGTTAAACCGATCCCGTAATGTTATGTATGGTTAACTTGTGTATGACTATATATTAATACATTTATTTGAATATTTAGGCTATTACAATTTTATTGTGAAAGGAAAGAAAATTCTTTTAAATAGTATAATCATTGCCAAATATTGTGCTTTTCGTTTGAAAATTATATAAAATAGTATAAAGGTCCAAGAAATTATCCATGGCATCCATTTCCGACATCCCTAAAATATATGGATGATCGAAAGAATAGAATCCTACTGTTGTGCTAAAATATTGAGAAGGCACATCCTGTTTTAGGCAACCCATAATACACAGCTTTAGCTCCTTTAATAAAAGTTTAGATCGGCCAGGTTTACATTCATAAGACTAACAAATCCTGAAACTGGACACTTTTGGGAATTAATAATCACCAAGATACCTGGTCGCAAACACCCTTTACCGCTTGGGCTAGTGGGGCAACAATGCAATCCAACATATAGTGTACTTGCGTTTCTTATTTTTATTTCAAACAGTGAGTCTTAAGACATTCTTTTAGAAACGTCTTTTCAAAAAACTTGATCTGACACACCATTTAGAAAGATGATTTTGATTTGTAAGTAATTGGTTTTGCCGGTCACAGTATCCACATAGAACATGATGAAGAGGAAGCAGTTAAATCTTCATGCAGTGATGGCCATGTATTTGAATCTCAATGAAAGTAACGATGCGTGATTTTCATTTTTTCACGGCTTAATCCGTGCTAATACGTACTCACATTGATTATTTAAAACTTTATTAAGAAAACAAAACCAAAATCACAAGAGAATCGCAGATTTATAACAGGCCCATCTATTTGTTTTACGGCAGGGGGGTTGGATGGCTGTATGGTTAGCACGTGCGTGCTGTATCATAAAGTCTGTCATTGAGTCAACTGGCGTGGTTTCGAATTCCCGGTTGTACGTGACAAGGAGTAGGGTCGCCTGTCCAACTTCGTGGGTTTTCTCCGGGTCCTCCGGTTTGCTGCTACTACTAAAGACCCCTACGCGCAAGCGAATTATGGAAATAAAATTGAACCATATGTTAGTCCCGAAATGACCTAGTTTGTGTCGAGTGGACGTTTAAACCCCATTTCTCTCTCTCTCTCTCTTTCTTGTTTTACGGCAGATAAAAATGGCAACTGCTTTTTTAATTGTTACTTAGGGAGCAGCATAGCTCGATGGAATTTCCAGTTCGTCATATCTTTGTAAAAACTGAACGGAATTGAACTATTTTCGGACTGATATTCCTATTATAGATTCAACTTTCACAATATTGTAGTTCTCAAGGAATTCTATGGCACTAAGCAGCTTGTTAGTATCAAAATGTGTTATTTTTCTTTACAGATACAAGACAAGTAAGATGATCTGGAATTACATCGTTTTAATCCTCTGTTTACCAGCCTTCTCATCCGGTAATGAACGAACGAAGAAGGTTCTACTAATCTCCATGGATGGATTTAGATGGGATTATCTAGATATGGTTCCAGATTTACCCAACATCAAAAAGATGGCGGATAAGGGTGTTAAATTGCAGTATGTAAACAACACTTTTATCACAACCACTTTTGCTACACATTACTCCATAGCAACAGGTAAGATTACACGTTACTCCATAGCAACATGTACCTTAACATAATACTCCATAGCAACATGTACATCTACACGATACTCCATAGCAACATGTTTGTCTACACAATACTCCATAGTAACAGGTATGTCTACCCAGTACCCTAGAACAACAGGAGGCATGCTGGTGTGAAAATATACCATATTGATCGACGTTCAAGGATACACATTAAAATTTTTCCATTGACAATGTGATAGGTAAGTTTATACATAGTAACAGATAGGATTTTACACAGTCCTCTTCAAACAAATTGAAAGTAGACTTGGGGCGGGAGCACTGGCAATTGGTATGGAAGAGGTCTGACGCCCCCAGAAAATTGGCTTCGGTATACAACAGACATTTAGAATTGTAAACAAAGTACAGAAATGTTGTATTCAACAGTTCTTCATTAAGAAATAAAACGGATCTGGTTTAAGCAAACCAAATGTTTATTACTCCATCTTGGCGCATTTTTTTCAAAAATCGGTTTCTGGTAGTAGGGATCATATAGGCGATATTCTGAGGACAAATCCAGCCACAAGGTTTATTTGGTCGATTTTACTTAGAAGCAGAAGTTCGTATGTCTGAAAACAGATTTAAACCACTTTAGATTAAGTATGACACCACTCTTTAAACAGCTAATACAACAATATCATGAATTCGATATTATGAGGACAATTTGCAGCCCCAAGGTTTGTTTGGTCGATTCTACTTAGAAGCAAGTACCTGAAAACAGATTTAGATTGAGTATGACACCACAATTTAAACAGCTAATACAACAAATTTGATACGTTTGATGGCGTTCTGACTATAAGGTGAGATTTGTTTTATTCAGGTTTGTGGGAAGAGCACCATGGAATTGTTGGTAATCAAATGTATGATCCCGTATTTAAAGAAAAATTTAGTTATGGTCCAAATATAGAAAAATGGTGGAACGGGGGAGAACCAATCTGGATAACAGCAACTAAGCAAAAGTTGAAAACGGCTACTTATTTCTGGCCCGGAAGCGAGGTTGAACTTCAAGGCCTACGACCGACTTTCTGGAAGCCGTATAACAAATCTGTCCCGTTCCAGGAACGATTGGACACTGTTGTCAATTGGTTCCAAAATGAAAATGTTGACATGGCTACCCTGTACTTCTATGAACCGGACAGTACCGGGCATTCGTATGGACCTTACTCTGAGGAGGTCAAAGATAAAGTTAGGTATGTATACCTTAGGGAGCATCAATTCTCCATATTTTAAAACATATTTGAGAGTTAACCTATCCTTGAAATTGATTTTTGTTTCGCTTTGATAAGAATACAATGACTTACATAAAAATACAATGACTTACATAAGAATACAATGACTTATATAAAACAATGCTTTAATTTTAAGGGCTAGAAATGGGGAACTTGTCGGTCTTTTAAAAATAGTAACTGACAGAAGAGTTTGTTTATATGTGCATTGTCTATGTGCACAATTGACCATAGGTTGTCGTCAGCCCAGAACAACTCGGGTATGCTATATTCTCATAATTATTGACTGTGTTCAGGGGATATGGCATAAATCTTTCCATGATTGGGTAATAAAGAATCTATTTTACAGATATATGGACGGCGTCCTGGGAAATCTAATGTCTCAACTTAAAGAAGCTGGTGTTTTAGACACGTTGAATATAATATTAACCAGCGATCATGGTATGACTGCCGTTAACAAAACCACTCGCGTAAGTAAATGGTTTCATCGTCCACAATAAGTACGCCTTTTTAATAAACACATAGAAAGCGCATCTTTTCTTGGGTCCCTTATATTAAAGTGGGATTCGTTTAAAATTGACTACTAATTCGTCAGATATAACGAAAAAACATTGAAAGTTTGTGATGGGAGAGGAGGCGCAAAACTGGAATCGCAAATATAGTATTCGAGTTCCAAACCCGGATTTTCTTGTCATGTCTGGCACGAAAATCCGAGGTTTACCTATAAACACAATAGGGTGAATCAGTAGAAATTCCAAAGTGGATAAGGCGCTGGCTCGCTAGCTTGGTGGCCGCGTGTTCTATCCCTGCATTGACCGAGAAACTGCATCGGGATTTTCCAACGTGGTTTTTCCTTGTCAGTGGTGCAGGACGGACGGTCTGACAAGGACAGCTGTCTAGTCTACCGGATGGGACAAACATCCGAGGTCCCGTGTATACATTGGCGTGCACGTAAAAGATTCCATGGCAGTTGGATATAAGAAAATAGGTCATAGTGCCGCTGGAAGGCAAAATTTCCCTCATAGCACAGTGTATGGCGTATGCCCGTCTTCATTAGCCCAGTATAGGAGCAGAATAGTAGGATGTTTAACCTCTTTTCATTAAATGTTTTCTCAACATTGCAGGCGTGATTATGGAAATGCAAAAAGAACTAGTACGGTTTATTTCTTATTGTACGGCTTTAGCCAGTGTTTAGTAGATATTAATTCTTAACAAGCCAACAGCGAGGCTGATGTCTCCCGCCGAAATCCCAAAATAAATAGATGACACGCATTTATTTTTTTTCAAAAGCATCTCTATCAGATAGAATCAAGATTATCTTGTCTCAAAGCATCGACCAATGAAATTGATTAGCTCTGCTTAGCTTTAGCTCGAAATGTTAATCATTGAACTCATTCAAGACATTCACCTAATGAACATCTACATCAAGTTTAAATATTCTACCACAATTAAAAGCAGAGTTTTTATGATCCAAAGTCTTGACCAATCAAATTGCTTATCGCTCCTTAGCCTAAGCAGAAAATTCGCCCCATTGCTCTCACTTCATTATAACCAAAGTTATCGTGCCCCAAAGCATCAATCAATCAGATTGCTTATCTCTGCTAACCGTAAGCAGGCAATGTTCGTCATCGAACTCCATCAAGGCATTCACCTAATGAATGCCTACACCAAGTTTGAACATTCTAGCTCAATTAGAAGGAGAGTTATAGCGTTCCAAAGTCCCGACCAATCAAATTGCTTATCGCTCTGCTTACCCTACGCGGAAAATGTTCATTACCGAACTTAGTCAAGACATTGATGTAATAAAGCTATACACAAAGTGTCCTCACTCTCACTTATTTAGAACTAAAGTTATCGTGTCCCAAAGCATCAACCAATCAAATTGCTTATCTCTGCTTACCCTAAGCAGAAAACTCTCATCTTCGAAGTCCATCAAGGAATTCACCTAATAGTGTGAACATTCTAACTCAATTAGAATGAGAGTTATTAGAACTAATGTTATCGTGTCACAAAGCATCAACAAATTGCTTATCGCTGCTTACCCTAAGCAGAAAATGCTCATCTTAGAACGCCATCAAGGTATTGACCTAATAAACACTTGCACCAAGTTTGGACATTCTAGCTCAATTAGAAAGAGAGTTATTGTGTCCCAATAAGTGTGACGGACAGACAGACGGATGGGCGGACGGACGGACGGACAGACAAACGGACGAACCCATTTTAATAGTCCCCTGTTTTCTTCGAAAGTCGGCAAAAAGGGATTAAAAACGACTTATTTCTCAATTGGTGGGGGGGGGGAGAGGGGTTTAACGCCAACTCTTTAGATCGTAGGGTCTGTCATTAAGTGATGTGGTTTCGATCCACAAGGGGTAAAGACGCCTGCCCAACCCCATAGCTCATAGGTATTCTCTGGAACCCCCGGTTTGCTCCAACAGCTAAAAAACTTTTGGCGGAAGCGAATTGGTGAAATAAACGTGAACCATGTCCAAAAATGACCTAGTTTGTGTCGAGTTGAATTTAACCTTATTTCTATCTCGCTCTCTTTTTTCAGTTAATTGATATCTCCAACTATGTAAATATGTCGGACATTGTCAGGATGCCGGACAAGGGAGCAATTATGCAGATTGAACCTGTTGCTGGTAGAGAACAGGCTGTTTATGATGGTTTGAAAAATGCCCATCCGAACATGACCGTTTATTTGAAGAATGATATCCCAGAACATTTCCATTTTAAAAACCATAGGAGAATCATGCCTATACTTGCTATAGCTTCCGACGGCTGGTTAATAGTAAGTTTATTATTTTGAGAGATTTTTGTAATTGTTGGGGATATTTCTGGGTTTATGTTAGTAGAGATAGCCGTGGTCACTTAGCGATTAAGGCTTTGGCTCGTTTAACCAGGAAAATTTTACCTCGTGGTACACTGCATGTCGTATTCCTGTCTTCATTGGTGCAGAAAGGTTATGGCGTTAAACCCTGTATACATGCATGGTAGTAGACTCGAGAAAAAAAACGCTTTTTTTTTCCGCGCATATTTTCTCTTTCGCAGACACGCTTACATGGAAACGGTTCCTTTACATTTGCTTCATAGGGCCTGTCGATTTTTTTGCCGGCGGAAACGCGCGCTTAAACACGTACATTGAAATCTGAGAGCTTGTTATTTACACAGTCCTGTAAGACAGTCAACACTGTTTATGGATACCAATTACTGAGTTCATGGGATCTTTTAACGCTTTCGGTTGTTAATTCAATCAAATAGTTATTGATGCTAGCTCATCGCAAAGCCGAAATTCGGAGTTGCTTAAAACTTTGGGATACCAACGATTATCTTGGTGTTGTGTGCTGGTTTGATGAAGTGTTTCTCATCATCTTTCAGTTCCCCCATTTTTCCCCTTTTTCTTAAAAGATAAATTAATGGTCTTGTCAAATTTTGACAAAGTTTTTCTTTTTCTTACAGGATCATGGGCCACTAAGCTGGGATCCACATGGGCAACATGGTTACGATAATCGACTATTAGACATGCGTCCTATCTTCCTAGCTCAGGGCCCTAATTTTAAGAAGAACATGACGGCCCATTCCATCAATTCTGTTGATATTTATCCAATGATCTGTGAATTATTAGACATTAAACCAGCTCCACATAACGGAACGTTAGATATAGTGTCTAACCTTCTAAATATTTCAGTAAAAGATATCAACGGAGGTAATAAAAGGGAAACAACTCTAATTACCATAGTTGTGATGGTGGTTCTGAGCTCCGCTTGTACCTTTTAAATAGACATATAATAGCAAGACCTTTATTATCTTAGTTATTTCTGTAATAAGAAGTTGATGTTGTTTTTTTTTTCTAAATTTAAAATCTCCATAGAATAAGCGCTACACATAGCTAAATAAATTTGTCGTTTTGTAATAACCAAATCTGATCTTGAATGAATTTACATCCGTCTATATTTAAGAGCTCATAATATAGTCATCTAGGTTTGGCGATTTGCTTGAGAGATTTCAAACGAAGTCTTACTTGTGGTGACAGATTTTGACTGAACTTGCAAAAAAGGTAGGCTATAACCATCTTTCTTCTGGTGACAGATTTAGCTTAAACTCGCTGGAAAGGTATAGCCATTTTTTCGCTATTTTTGTAATAAATTTATAAATGTTTTAATTAAATACGCATTATGTAAGAGCTAAATCAGCCTATTGCAGTCTTATTTTGGCTTCAGGAGATATTAAAACTATTATCTAGACATTTATTCACTCTAGAACATCGGATGGCGGAGATTTAAACGGATTAAAACATGGTCGCCATCTTATGATTTAATAATTACTCTAGAACAATTAAAACACATAACATAGCTAGGTTTTTGTTCGTTGTTTTGTAATAAATTAATGTTTTTATTAATTACCTTAGAACAAGTAAAACACATAACATAGCAAAAATTATTTTTCGTTATTTTTGTAATAAAATTTATTAATAGAACACCGTTTTTATGGGATACAATCACTAGTTTTATTAAAAAATCACGACGTTTCAACCAGTATCCCCTTATCGTTATCAAGCACAATGGCATATATAGTAAACTTAATGTGTTTCCCGATCCTAAATGCCACTCAAAGATTATTAAATTTATGTATTTATTAATTGCTCTTGAACAAGTAAAACACATATGGTAAACCGATGTATTTTCTTTTTTACTTTTTTTTTTGTTCTTTGTCGAAGCCACAGAAAACTGTTACGATTTAGAGTACGTTTTGCTGTTAAAATTATTTACAGTTTTATCCCTAGCTACCAGTAAAGCAGCCTTCGCGTCTAAAGAGGGGAGTTAAATGGGGTTATCCCAATGGTCTTGACGACGGTGGTAGTCTTCTGAATGGAATGGCGATGGTCTGCCAATTGATGTCACGAGTGAGAATGTCACAAATTAAACAATAATAAGGGCGATAATCCGAATAAAATTTTGGAGAAATCTAAAAATTGATAAATAAAGTGCTGTGAGCAAATAGGCGCTAGGCCGAACAACGAGAACATTGGGGCAGTACCAAGGGCTAAAACTCTACTCTTAATAGTAAGTGCAGGGGAACTAGAATTCAATGGAAGGGAAGGGATCCTTTCATGACTAATAGTGAGTATCAAATACTATGCCCAAGTGTAACGTCCCCTCCACACTAACTAGGTCAATAATTCGCTTGCACGTAAGGGACTTTAGATGTGAGACGAAACCGGGGAAACTCCTCGAGGTTGGCCCATTCGGCCACCCAACTCCCTATTTCCCCGATGAGCCACACGACTGTTTCGCCTGGTCATTAAAATTTTCTAGTTTGTTTTATCACGATTTACATAATGATAGAAGACATAAGAAAACGGCATGTTAAGAAATCGTCGTGTTTAGAAAATCGATAGGGTAAACGATCCCTTGGAGTTTATGTATTAGCCATCGGTTCTCATGCTCTGTTTATGAAATGTAAATATTCAGTATTTGTTTTCGTATAGATCTATTGATTCTTTGACATACAATGACATAAGAAATTTATAAGCCCTAAGATCATATGTTGCGGTTTGAATCTGTAATAGAGACTTGAATGAGTAGGCATTATGTACGTCTACCATTTTCCACGCATTTATATCTAGGCTATAAGGTGAGGATGAGATTAAACGAGAAGATCCGTGTAGAAATGAGTGACAGCTCGTAGATGTCATATTGATATTATACACAGCCAACATAATAATATACAGGTTTGTTTCATTACGTTTCTATTACATTATTACGATTACGATAAACACAGTTTCTTATATATGTAACCAGCGGTTGCCAAGAAAAATACGCCCACATTTTGTAAGAGTTGGATAGAGAACAAGCTAAAAAACCAAAATGCGACTTTTGGTACCATCAGGGGCCATAATTCTTGAATTTACGGTCTGATATACACGAATATCGAAAAGAACTGAGATCTTTTGGATATAATCATAATGCTCCACGAAATTATACAAGGTATCAGTTTCCGACATCCCTCTGTTAAAATATTGAGAAGGCACATCCTGTTTTAGGCAATCCATAATACACAGCTTTATTTTGTATATATCAAGAAATTGGTTGACAGGGGATATTTTAGTTTTGATAGGGTGCTTATTTATCTATCGTTGTCTTGTTTAGTCCCTTTCAATTGTTATGAAATGATGACAATCTTCTGTACAGTATATGGTATAAAATCTTTCTACTACGGAATTTAAGCCTATTCGGACTGACATCCCTACTAGAGATTCAACTTTCACAATATTGTAGTTCGCAAGGAATTCCATGGCACTAATCAGCTTGTTAGTATCAAAATGTGTGGACAAGATGTATTATTATACGCCCACATTTTCACGTGGGCGTATATTGTCGTTGCCCTTGTCCGTCCGTCCATAATTGTTTGTGGACACTCTACAGGCCACAATTCTTATCTGATTTTGACGAAACTTGAAATATAGGTTTATCTCCAAAAGATCTCGGTTGCTTTCGATATTGGCATGTATTGGACTGAAACTTCATGGATTATGGCCCCTGATCGTACGAAAAATCACGTTTTTAGCTTGTGGACCCTATAGAGGTCACAATTTTTATCCGATTTTGTTGAAACTTGAAATGTAAGTTTATAACCCAAAGATCTCGGTTTCGTCCGATATTCGCGCATATCGGATCGTAACTGCCTGTATTATGGCCCCTGATTGTACAAAAAATAGCGTTTTCAGCTTGTGGACCATATAGAGGTCATAATTTTTATTCGATTTAAAAAACCGTTTTAGTATATCACCGTTACACCCTAAGGATGGTTGAGTTCGAATTTCGTGAAAATCGGCCCAAAACTGACTGACAAAATGGCCGCCCCTCGTTCTCAAATAGCGTAAAAATATGGTATATCAAGGTTGTGGAGCCTCTAGAGGTCACAATTTTCTTCTAATTTTGATGAAACTTGAAATTTAAGTTTATAACCCAAAGATCTCGGTTCCTCTCAACATTTGCGCATATCGGACTGTCACTTCCTGAATTATGGCCCCTGATTGTACGATAAATCACGTCTTTAGCTTCTGGACCCTATAGCGGTCATAATTTTTATGCGATTTAAAAAAACGTTTGAATATATCACCTTTACACCCTAAGGATGGTTGAGTTCGTATTTCGTGAAAATCGGACCAAAATGGCCGCCCCTCGTTCTCAAATAGCGTAAAAATATGGTATATCAAGGTTTTGGTTTTGATGAAACTTGAAATGTAAGTTTATAACCCAAAGAACTTGGCTCCTTTCGATATTTGCGCATATCGGATTGCAACTTCCTGAATAATTATGGCCCCTGATTGTACGAAAAATCGCTTTTTGTTTAGCTTGTTCTCTATCCATCTCTTGCAAAATGTGGGCGTATCCTGCCTGGCAGCCGCTGGTTTTTCTTTACAGATACAAGACAAGTAAGATGATCTGGAATTACATCGTTTTAATCTCTGTTTACCAGCCTTCTCATCCGGTAATGAACGAACGAAGAAGGTTCTACTAATCTCCATGGATGAATTTAGATGGGATTATCTAGATATGGTTCTAGATTTACCCAACATCAACAAGATGGCGGGTAATGGGGTGAAATTGCAGTATGTAAACAACACTTTTATCACAACCACTTTTGCTACACATTACTCCATAGCAACGGGTAAGATTACACAATGCTCCATAGCAACATGTACCTCAACATAATACTCCATAGCAACATGTACGTCTGGAAGAGGTCTGATACCCCCAGAAAATTGGCTTCGGTATGCAACAGACATTTAGAATTGTAAACTAGGTACAGAAATGTTGTAAGCAACAGTTTTTCATTAAAAAATAAACCGAATCTAATTTAGGCAAACCAAATGTTTATTACTCCATCTTGGCGCATGTTTTTCAAAAATCCGTTTCTGGTAGTCGGGATCATATAGGCGATATTATGAGGACAAATCCAGCCACAAGGTTTATTTGGTCGATTTTACTTAGAAGCAGAAGTTCATATGCCTGAAAACAGATTTAAACCACTTTAGATTAAGTATGACACCACTCTTTAAACAGCTAATACAACAAATTTGATACGTTTGATGGCGTTCTGACTATAAGGTGAGATTTTTTTTTTTTTCTTTCAGGATTGTGGGAAGAGCACCATGGAATTGTTGGTAATCAAATGTATGATCCCGTGTTTAACGAGGAATTTAGTTATGGTCCAAATATAGAAAAATGGTGGAACGGGGGAGAACCAATCTGGATAACAGCAACTAAACAAAAGTTGAAAACAGCTACTTATTTCTGGCCCGAAAGCGAGGTTGAACTTCAAGGCCTACGACCGACTTTCTGGAAGCCGTATAACAAATCTGTCCCGTTCAGTTGGTTCCAAAATGAAAATATTGACATGGCTACTCTGTACTTCTATGAACCAGACAGTACCGGGCATTCGTATGGACCTTACTCTGAGGAGGTCAAAGAGAAAGTTAGGTATGTATACCTTAGGGAGCATCAATTCTCCATATTTTAAAACATATTTGAGAGTCAACCTATCCTTGAAATCGATTTTTGTTTCGCTTTGATAAGAATACAATGAATTACATAAAAAATACAATGACTTACATAAGAATACAATGACTTATATAAAACAATGCTTTAATTTTGAGGGCTAGAAATGGGGAACTTGTCGGTCTCTTAAAATTAGCAACTGACAGAAGAGTTTGTTTATACGTGCATTGCCAATGTGCACAAGGGACCTTAGGTTGTCGTCAGCCCAGAACAACTCGGGTATGCTATATTCTCATAATTATTGACTGTGTTCAGGGGATATGGCATAAATCTTTCCATGATTGGGTAATAAAGAATATATTTTACAGATATATGGACGGCGTCCTGGGAAATCTAACGTCTCAACTTAAAGAAGCTGGTGTTTTAGACACGTTGAATATAATATTAACCAGCGATCATGGTATGACTGCCGTTAACAAAACCACTCGCGTAAGTAAATGGTTTCATCGTGCACAATAAGTACGCCTTTTAATAAACACATTGAAAGCGCATCTTTTCTTGGGTCCCTTATATTAAAGTGGGATTCGTTTACAATTTGCTAGTAATTCGTCAGATATAACGATAAAAAACCTTGAAGATTTGTGATGGGGAAAGAGACGCAAAACTGGAATATACTAAATATACTAAATATACTATATATATACTAAACAGAAAAAAAACGTCAGTACGATTTCAAAATCAGAGAGGCACTTTAATCAAATCATTCTAGAAATCGACTTACTAAATGGATCAAAGCATTTTTATGTGAACAGTATGTTGACACATTAGTGATTAATTTAGCACAATTCCAAGACATTAGGAGAAGATTTAGAGTCTGTACACAGTCTATACATCAGTTTCTGGTGTCCACCGCGAGTGTCAATAAGAGCAGCGCAGCGTCTGTACATGGAGTAGACCAGACGATTGAAGAACGCCATTGGCACCTGGAACCACACTCTCAGAAAAGTCTGTCACAATCCATCGGCTGTATTTGGTCTCGGTGCGACGTTATTAAGTCTCCTCTGAATTTCATCCTAAAGATGTTCAATCGGGTTTAAGTCCGGATTAAGGGCTGACCAGTGGATAAAGTTGCCACCGTTCTCCTGTAGAAAGTCCCGAGTAACTCGGGCGGTGTGGGCACGGGCGTTGTCATGCTGGAAAACGTTGTTTCGATGACGTGCGAAATGTGGTATGCCTTGGGGTCTGAGAGCTTGATCGATGTAGCGCACTGCTGTGGTGCCGCCTCCTCTCCCTGGACCAACCTAGGTTTTGGAACACCACAGGACCCACTCTCTGGTTCAGGCCGATTCCACCCCAAACCATTTTGCTTGGACCTCCCCATGAGTCTCGTTCCATGAAACATTGGCCAGAATAACGCTGGCCACGTCGACGCCATATTCTGGTCCTGCCATCTGCAGTTGATAAGCAATACCGACTCTCATCTGTGAACAGAACAGTTCTCCTTTGCCTGTTGTTGGGCAAACTGTGGACGTTTACGTCGATGGCAAGGGGTGAGGATCGGTCCACGGTAAGGTCTACGGCAATGGATGTTCTCCCTGGTGAGACGTCGCCGCACTGTATCAGTACTGATGGATATTCCCTGTGTTCCCACTTTCTGACGTGCTGTCCCAGATGCCTGTGTGGAGGAATTCTGTACGTGCTCTAACGCCAACTCTTTAGATCGTAGGGTCTGTCATTGAGTGATGTAGTTTCGATCCACAAGGGGTAGGGTCGCCTGTCCAACATCCTAGGTATTCTCCGGAAATTGCTCCAACAGCTAAAATACCCTTGGCGGAAGCGAATTAGTGAAATAAACTTGGACCATGTCCAAAACTGACCTAGTTTGTGTCGAGTTGAATTTAACCTCATTTATCTTTCTCTTTTTTTCCAGTTAATTGATATATTTCTAACTATGTAAATATGTCGGACATTGTCAGGATGCCGGACAAAGGAGCAATTATGCAGATTGATCATGTTGCTGGTAGAGAACAGGCTGTTTATAATGCTTTGAAAAATGCCCACCCGAACATGACCGTTTATTTGAAGAATGATATCCCAGAACATTTCCATTTTAAGAACCATAGGAGAATCATGCCTATACTTGCTATTGCTTCCGACGGCTGGTTAATAGTAAGTTTATAATTTTAAGTGATTTTTGCAATTGTTGGGGGATATTTCTGGGTTCTGTTAGTAGAGATAGCCGTGGTGACTTTTTCTGTAGTTACCTAACCCTGTCTGAATTACCTCCCTTATTTTCTATGCCTTTACAAATACACTTACATAGTACGATTTCTTCAGCTTACCTGTTTTGCATTTCATGTGTGGGGTATTATATTAATAATATACTATAAATTGTACAATTACATAACTTAATAATTCCGATTAGTCGCTAAAACTTATAGTTTTTAAGCTTTTAACGTTATTTTATCTAGATTATCGCCCTTATTATTGTGATTTTTTTATCACCTTCTAAGATATGACGTCATTCCCAAAATAACGTCGCCACTCAGTTAGCAGACGGCTGTCTCTCGAGACAGTCTACATTTCCTATTTGCTTCTTTGTAGGCCTATTCAGTTGTGTTTTTTGTTTTTGTGACGGATGGAACATGTGCCCTATATGTATTGAATACTGAAACGTTTCTTGATTGATTTTAGAGCATTTGGGTTTAGACTACTTTTTTAATACATTTCACCGATGATATGGTTACTTGTATAGTTGAATTTTACTACATATGCTTACATTCGTATTTCGTTTAGCATATAGCAGATCATGACTCATGCTGGCATTGCACAATGATTTCTTTGGGTTGTATTCCTGATTGTTTTCAAATTTGAGTGAAGTCTGTGTCACTACAGACCCGGGACTGTACAGCGCAGTGGACGCTAACCGCTAGCCCCCGGATCCATAAACTTTTTTTTTAATTGTCTGTCTGTTTGTATTTTCCTGAGTATGATGTCTTGTCCGTGTATTTGTTTTTGTGTAAATTGTGTGTGGTGCAGTCCCCCTGCACTTACTATTAGAGATTAAGGTCTTGGCTCGTTAACCGGGAAAATTTTGCCTCGTGGTACACTGCATGTCGTATTCCTGTCTTCATTAGCCCAGTATGTACAGAAAGATTATGGCGTTAAACCCTGTATACATGCATGGTAGTAGACTCGAGAGAAAAAAAACGCTGCCACTTTCTTTTCCGCGCAAATTTTCTCTTTCGCAGACACGCTTACATGGAAACGGTTCCATTACATTTACTTCATAGGTCTTTTCGATTTTTTCGCGGAAACGCGCGCTTAATACGTACATAAGAGAGTTTACTTTTACACAGCCCAGTAAGACAGTCAACACTGTGTATGGAAATCAACTGAGTTCATGGGATCTTTTATCGCTTTCGGTTGTTGATTCAATCAAATGGTTATTGATGCAAAGCTGAAATTCCGAGTTGCTTCAAACTTTGGGATTACAACGATTGTCTTGGTGTTGTGTACTGGCTTGGTGAAGTGTTTCTCATCATCTTTCAGTTCCCCCATTTCTCTCCTCTTTCTCAAATTTTGAGCAAGTTGTTCTTTTTCTTACAGGATCATGGACCACTAAGCAGGTCTACATGGTTACGATAATCGACTATTAGACATGCGTCCTATCTTCCTAGCTCAGGGCCCTAACTTTAAGAAGAACATGACGGCCCATTCCATCAATTCTGTTGATATTTATCCAATGATCTGTGAATTATTAGACATTAAACCAGCTCCACATAACGGAACGTTAGATATAGTGTCTAACTTTCTAAATATTTCAGAAAAAGATATCAACGGAGGTAATAAAATGGAAATAACTCTAATCACCTTAGTTGTGATGGCGGCTCTGAGCTCCGCCTGTACCTTTTAAATACACATACCAAGACCATTATTATCTTAGTTATTACTGTAATAAATTGATGTTGTTTTTTTTCTCTACATTTAAAATCTCCTTAAAATAGGAGATACACGTAGCTAAATATTTCACCGGTGGTAATAAAAGGGAAATAACTCTAATCACCTTAGTTGTGATGATGGTTCTGTTCCCCGCGTACATATTTTAAATGCACAAACAAGATCATTTCTTCGTTATGTTTCTAATAAACTTATGTTGGTTTTTAAAATTTGAAATGTCGCTAGAACAAGGAATACACACAGCTAGGTCACTTTTTTTCTTTATGTTTTTGTAATTAGCTGATGCTGTCAATAACCCGAGTTTTCCCTCTCAGTACAGTAAAGGCCATAGAGGAATTTATCGGGCCATTGCTTCAGGTAGAACTAAAGAACATTATTTATATAGTATTAGTTTTTAAATGTAATACTTTAAAATTCTATATCTATGGAAAATACGCAAATGAAATGAAATGGGATTTAACATCCTATTGTTCTTCTCCGACTAATCTAATGTGTGCTAAGAGGGACATTTTTCTGGACAGTCAGTGCTACGGCCTACTCTTATACACCGGACCTCGGTATATCGTCCCATCCGAACGACTATGCTTTGTGCCCTGCCAGGCCACCAGGCTGCACGGAACCACGCCGGAAAATCACGATAACCGTTCTCGGCCAACACCGAGATCGAACAGGGAAAAACCCTACAAACGGCCAATAAACAATATTGCCAGAAATAATACGTCTTGAAATTTTGAGAGAGATCAGTATTTCCATGTTCATTGTTCAAAAACGGGTGACTTTTTGGCCGACCGATGGGAAATTTCTAATCATATAGGCGGTTTCTCACTTTTCTATAACATAAGTGGCTTTCCTATAACAAAACACAGATAATTAACCCCTATTATAGTAGCTGGTCCCCTATTCCATTCCTTTTATTCATAGGCTCTTGATAAAGTTTGGCCCTTTATCCCCAACTGGTATTGATGCGTCCCCTATACTTGTTGATCCATTTACTCTCGACTTAAGACTTCGATCAAAATCTATCGGAGGCATGCAGCCACTTGTTTCGTTAAACAACGTCAATAGCTTAATCCATTGTTTCATAACAGCTTTACTATTGTCATCGACTTGATAATTCGCCCTCTTATAATGACAACAATGCATGTCACTTCCGTTAACGTATTGACGTCATATCACGTGGATCCATCAAGTTACTGTTGCACAAAACCACGCTTAAAATTGGTTGAGAAAAAGAAGACAATAGTAATCCTACCCCGGCACAGTGTAAATTTACAATGCTCCTAGCCTACCTGCATTATTTCAAATTCATGATTCCCTGTCATAGTCACGTGTCACCAATCAAACGTCACTATATCCGTAGACGGTAGCTGCTATTTTTATTGATTATCACTTCAGACTGTCGTAAATGTAATAGACAATCTGTAGTAGCTTAACAGTATTCGGATAATTTCGTATTCATTACAATACTGCGAAATTGTTTTCTGGTCATAATACATTTTATTCGATATAAATAAACATGTATATGATTTACACAAGGTGCCCAGTGAAAAATACAATCAATATTGAAAGAAAGGATGTGGGACATTATGAATGGGAATCTCATGAATTGTATTATCTTCTTGATTCTCATTTTTCAGTTTCTTTATCACACACTGATAATCTTTGATTTGGTCTTGTTTTTCTTATTTTTTAAAGATATTTTACTTGTCTATTATCATTAGGTTTACCTTGCTGTGTTTAGTAGGCCTACTGTATGCCTACTTGTTTATCCCTTCCTGGGACCTGCAGTCAAGATAAAACAGTCCAACATTTCATTTCCTGACGCATGTTGCATATCGCAAATCGTAATAGTACCACGTCATGGGAGGATGACTCCTTTACTTGGTCGCTCTTTTTTTCTTACCAAAAAATAAGATACCATGTCAAACTGGGTAGCAAGTCAAAACACGACATAGACACTAATTTAAAACCAATTCGTTGCATATCATTTGACAAATATTGAATTTTGAAACTAGATATATAATTAAATGAATATTTATTAAGCATTCGATATATACATGTTACATACAAATATATATATATATTATATAGATAATAATAACATAAACAACATATTCTAAATAATAGTAGATATATTACACAATAATAATAATATTAAACAATCGCCAAAATTTACAATGACACATGAAAACACTACTCGTCTATAGCTAATCATTTCTTATGTGATTCTTATAATCTTTAAAATGTTTTAATTGGTTTTCTGTATTTTTTTGTTATTTTTTTTTTTTTTTAGCAGAAATCGCTTTGGGTAAACGGTAATTCGCAATGGTGATTTCATTTCGTGTCCACAAGACGACTTTCCGATCAAATATATTTTGATCGAATGAAAATCTAACAAAGTCGAACCATTAATTTCACAAACTCTAAATAAATAACAACGCGTTTTGTCTGTTCTCGTTTCTTGATTTGAAAACTTAGTCATGTGATAGTCACGAACTGCTGACGTTTGCTGATGACGTACTGTCTTCATAATCACTTTCTGTGTCTGTGTCTACGTCATTATATAAGTCCATCGTGGCGAGTTTAGCTTGTTGTTGTTCAAGGTTCTGTTTTCGCCATTTTATTCTACGGTTCTGGAACCAAACTTTAACTTGAGCTTCTGTGAGGCCGAGCGATGCCGCTAAGTAATATCTACAAAAGAAGAAAACAATACAAACATCAACCAGAAATTCTAAAATTAATTCTTGCGATGCTTATCTTTTATTTTCAATGTGTAGCCTACTCATAATTATTTTTTTACCTTAATTAGATTACATTCTTGAGATATTCAGTACAAAATGAAAATAGATTGTTAGATGACAAAATATATATAAAATGAAATTACCTTTCAGTTCCAACCATGTATTGTTGTCTTTCAAATTCAGCTTCTAATTTTTCTAACTGTTCTGGTGTAAAAATTGTTCTGACCCTTTTTCCTTTCCCACCTGTTCTTCTCTCTGACTTGTCTAAAATTAAAGTAAAAGGAAAATTAGAATCAATTGCCAGACGTCAAAATTACAAAAATATCCAGTAAGAGTCATAAAAAAGATTGTGTTACTTATATTTCAAAAGTTATTCACAAATTGTAATTCTTCTTCTTGAACATTATTTATTGTGTATTTTAATGCAGTATTTTGTAGAACATTATTTTCCATAAAAAGCGCCTGGAGTAACGTTATGTTATGCGTATTATAACACTTTACATTACGTTATATTTGAATAACGCTCTTCTGTAATAAGTTGGTTTGTCATATAACGTTTCAATCGTGTTATATCTGTGTGCATAATGTAAGCAGCGGCCATTTTTATTCATAGCCCTACCATTTCAATCGTTCAGATCTTCCGATACAATAAACAATTTCTTGTTCCCATGGATTAGGATTTAATCCCTTTTAACCCCTAAAGTACCTCTTTAACGTACTTAATTCCTGTTGATTGAAGAAGTGTGTTACATTTGCAAAAATATTATTACTAGAAGGTGTATTCATTTGTCTATAAGTGTGACCAAGTGGATAAGGGTCGTTAAAGGTGTTACTTCAAGGTGCCAGAAATAAGGCTTCTGTCAATCGCTTTACTTAATCGAAATGTTACTTGATTAATCCTTGTTAGCACCCTTTTAATTCGTATTTTAACCATTCCCTACTGGAGGGAAAATGTTCAACATGAACCACATGATATTCACGTTATAGTCTGAGATAAAGTTTGTGAAAGCATTTTCTGGGGGAGGTAATAACACTTTTGTATTTCATATAAATTTTGATTTTCAAATAAACTGTGTTTTTTTTTCTTTGAAATTTTTTTAAACTCAAAGTACTGTTACATTTACTGGCGTACAGCATTTTACACGATTTTTACATCTGAGTACTGTGGCTAATAATGACGATTACCTGTAGGCAGGTAAGATTATCAACTTAGATATTGGCACATTTTTAATAATACGTTTTTTGTTCTTCACAAATGAATTACACCTTAACCGAAGCTATTATCTGAATTGCTTTTTACCTTTGGTTAAAAAAGTGGCAATCTATAAATCTGTTAGTTTTCGAGTATAAAGTGTTAAATGTGTGGGCATGGTAATTATTTGATTATCTCTAGATCTTTTTAATTCCTAAATCGAAAGCATGAGAAAGTTGTGTACTTTTGAAAGTACACATTTTTGTTTAAGAATTCTAAATAACTATAACTGCTAGTATGTTTGTATTTTAATATAATGATATAAAACTCTTTACATTGATGAAGTTGTAAAGAAAATAACCATTTGTAAATTCTGATCGGCCCTTTTCATGGCAAATTACACAGCGCTAGACTAAAAACCAAAAGAAAGGTTTTAAGCAACGTAAATCTCAAAAGAAGCCGACAAAAATATTTACTTTGAATATCACAGTAACCTCGAATGTCTTTTAACCCGCTGTATAATTTTACATTCTCCTCAAAATATTTGTCTTAATAATTACAACCTCCGAAAATTGGTTTCCCTTCTTTGTTTTAACAGACATAAGTGCTGTAAGTTGTACTCCCTTTGTTTTGACATCAACATTCGATTAGCCATCCATTTTGGGGTTAAACAAAATTGTATGTTTTAAAGTGAGAAGACGAAATTAATGTAATATTTTCATTTCGCTAGACAGTCTGGGTTTTCTGGGATTAATTCGTTAAAATATTTGTTTAAAATATATAATTAAAATTCCCTTTAACATCTAACTCCGACTTTCTATGTTTTATTTAAAATATTGCCAGTTGCCGCGCACTTAATTAAACATTTAATCCAGATTGCAAGCTGTATCGTTGTTTAATACTATCAATTAAACGCAGAGAGGGCTATAATTTATTGGTTGCTAAAATTCAAATAAAAGAAAAGTAGCAGCACCCATTAACGTAAATATTTTAGAATTTCAACAAGGAGCAGATTCTGAAATAAAATATATATTTACTTCCATTAATGATCAAAACACCTGCTCGAATTAATTCACT